TGAATGGGGTGTCAGCGGGAGATAGTCCAACATATTGGCCTTGAGATGAGAAGGGGGTGACAAGAAATGTAGAAAAGCTGGGCACGTGGGGGAGTACCCAACGCAGTCCAATAATATTCCGTAGAGACAGACCCAAACGAGGCGGTCCAGGGGCCCGACAAACTGCTGCGAGAATGGGCGGGGAGCTACATAGTATTAGATGGTTGATTCAGAAGTTCAGATAACAGCCGCAAGAGGCATGACTTGATCATCGCTGACAACAGCATGGGTTATGGATAAGGTTGAGAGAGGTGAAGCGGCATCCGAAGACCAGGACCTAAAAAGCAGCAAGGTAGGGATTCATGGTCTTTAGTGGGGCATGAAAAAAATTGTCCGCCTCAAACGAGTTCTATGCTGACAACTGGTTCTTTGTTCACATCGTGATGATGATGGAAAAAAGAACCCAAGAAAATCCATCTTTGAAAAAGTCGGAGCGGGGCAACGACTCCTGGTAATCTTCTTCCTATGAGCGTTTAGGGTGAGTTGGTTCTTGGCAGCAATCAACATCCAGCACCGGACTGGGTTACTAGCTGCGGTAATCCATCCTATTGCGCACATGGAGAGCACTTCAAAGTCTTGGCAGCTCCGCCTTACCAAACCACACCACAACAGAGAAAGGAGGGTCTCAATCCCGCTGAAATACAATCTTGACAACCACCGACAGGCGTCGGATTCGCGTTAGATAGGATACGTACCGCTTTTTGTTGTTCACTCTCTAGCACTTTTTCCAGTCGTTAACCCAGCTAGAAGGATCATGGGACGAACTGACCTGTCAACCTGGCAATCCCTCCTCAACCCCCCCCCCCCCCCCCCCCCCCCCCTGAGCGGCAAACCTGGTCTTTGGGTTTCCATCGCCACTACGACATAGCAGAGCTCATTATCAACATGGAAAGTCGCCCTCCGATTGGACCGCATCGTACCAGACAACGGTACTTCAACTGTTTACTGTCTCGCTGTCACCGTGCCATGTATATGCACCCCCAGGAAATGATATCAACTGCCACATGTGGCAGCTGTGTGTACCCGCGCAGGAGGAGTGGCGGTGGCGGCGCCTCTCGCTTTCTTTCTGTGCCCCTCAGCTACATACTGCTCCTGTTCCTGCGTCTTCCAAGAGTTTCACCTGGCATGCAGTCTTGATTGCTACTAATTGCCAAAGCGACTCGTGATCTGCCGACCGCAAGAGCCAAATCTCCACGCAAACGCCGGTACGCGGAGCAAATCTCCAGATAGACTCCATCATTAACAGGCATCAAACAGAAGCAATCATGCAGATATCTCCCGAGCCCGCTTTCTCCATGTCCACCAATGGTTTTTCGACCCACGTTTCTCTGTCTAACTTCCCTTCTCCCTCGGCCGCCCTCTCGGAGCAAGCCGCCCCTCTCAGCCTCCACTCCCTACCAGGCGAGCTGGTCGACCCCGGCCTCCGGACAACCCTGGGTTAGCCTGCCGAGAACTCCCTCTCTGAGTCGTGAAGTCGCTCTCATGAAGAGCTAAGCTTGGGTATGCCTTGGCATGGTGTTCCTTCTTCAACAAGGAACCTCTGTCCTCGTAAAGTTTGTATATAAGTCGTCCTTCTGCCCGGCTTGTTCAGGAAATTCACCTCGCTCATCACCCTCATTCCTTCAACCTTAAACCAACTACCACATTCATTCATTCTTTTATCCCTCGTGGTATATCCAATCTTTCAAGATGCACTTCTTCACTTTCGGCCTGGTGCCTTTGTTGGCTGCTGTCCCTGCTCTTGCCTGCAACGGCTACAAGGGCGGTGTCCCCAAGGCCACCAAGACCGTCACCTCCAAGTCTTACATTGAGATCAAGTCCGGTCAGGTCTACGATGGAAAGTGGCAGCGCTTCGACCGTGGCTCTGGCGCTTGCGGCGGCCAGAACGAGGGTGGTATGTAAACCTTTCTCACCTGTATACATTCGCATGCCCAATATCTAACGTGCTTTCCCCCAATAGGCTACAAGGACTCCGTCTTCTACATTCAGGCCGGTGGTACTCTGAAGAACGCCATCATTGGTAAGAACCAGGCTGAGGGTGTCCACTGCAACGGACACTGCACTCTCGAGTTCGTCTGGTTCGAGGACGTCTGCGAGGACGCCATCTCCATCAAGAACGACAAGTCCGGCGCTCAGTCCTGGATCATCGGTGGTGGTGCCTACCACGCCTCCGACAAGGTCATCCAGCACAACGGCTGCGGTACCGTCAACGTCATCAACTACTACGTCGAGGACTACGGCAAGCTCTACCGCTCTTGCGGCAACGTAAGTCCTTTTCCCACTCCTTTTTACCCCGACATATCCTCGACGGTTCGGCTTCAGTTGGACCGGCATCAACCAAAATACTTCACCTCCTACAACCAGCACGATATCTTTTTTGAGAAGCACAGCATGCTAACTTGAAATCACAAACAGTGCAAGTCTCAGTGCAAGAGAAACGTCTACATGGAGGGTGTTACCGCCAAGAACGGTGGCGAGCTCGTCGGCATCAACTCCAACTACAAGGACACCGCCACCCTCAAGAACGTCTGCGCCGACGCCAAGACCAAGTGCCAGATGTACAACGGCTGCGCTGGCGGCTGCGAGCCCAAGAAGTCCGGCGTCTGCTCCGGCTAAACGCCTTCTCGACCACGCGCTCAAAAACCTCCCGCCGATGGTGTTTGCTGTGATGGGAACAAAGCGATTGATTGTCCAACTCAAGAAATCGACTCCCATGACGACAAAGCCTGGGAGGTAGACGGCAACACAACAAAACCTTGGACTAGGGTGCATCATATTCTGTGCCTGGGCTAGCCTCGGGCTCAATTTCTTGTAAATAACATATTGGGAGACCACGTATATAATTAACACCATGCACATATTGCACATATTTGCCTTTTTAGAATCAGTGACACCAATTTGCGACTTCATCATGCACAGTTGATTTCTTAGATCTGTTAACATAATGTAGAGTTTGAAAACATCAAAACTTATATTGACGTGTTCGCGGATATGGTTTACCTAAAGGTGAAACCTGGCCCACGAGAGAAAGGCCCTGGTCAACTCAGTCAGTAAAGAATTTTCAAATATCCTTCAAGCGTATGGTGAACTAATCATGTGTTTTGACCGTGTAGGTAGACCTTGGCAAATTGTTCGACGACCTGTAGTAGTATTTACCCCGCCTTCGTTGCATCGTTTACGAGTCAGCAAAATTGCATTGTTTGATAGCGTTACTACATCCCGCATCACGACTGGACATAAAGGCTTGTGTCGGTTAGTACATTAGAAAGACATCAGATTTTGTCATTAAAAATGCTACATTTCTGCCGTGTTCAACCCCAGCCCCCTAAAATGCGAAAAGCTTGTGGTCCCGGTGGCAGGGGAAAGTAAGAGCAGGGGGGAGGGGGTTAAGCGGTTAAATCAGCAACTGCTTCGTCCATTGCGGATGTCGGCAATATCTTCGTGCTTTTCCACCACTGGCTTGGCGCGTGAGAATCAACAGTAATGGTTTGTGTAACAGGGACAACCGCTCTCCCGCCAGAAAGCTGTCTTTCTTCTTCAGGATGCTCCACATACTCTAGATATAATCAAGTACATGTCGCATTCGACCAGATATATATCAGCAGTATTTTAGCATTTCCGCCCTCAGGGACTCTGGTATAAAATCACATCAATTTCTGCCGCTATTCTTTACAGACGCGGATGCCACTGCCACACCGCATTCCTCTGCTTACTTGAAAACACCCCAAGTTCACAAAATGCAGTGAACTTCTAGAAAGACATATTAGCCACCTACATCCCCAAATGAGTACGTATTGTTTCAAAGGGCACGACATTGCAGTTAAGGATCATGCTTTGATGGTGCCACTTGGCGTAGACACGATGACTTGGTCTGACCACGCTTTCGTTTACGTGTCTCCTGTCGGTTACATGCACGAAGGGTACATAATTCCACGTATGAGGGTATGTGACTGTACATGATCAGACTCAGTTCCCAATATACGGACGGGTCCCCTTTTCTGCGCAGATTTATTTGCTAAAATGTTAGACACGCAATTAATTTTTCGGTTCAGACCTCACATCATAAGCATAAAAGGGCGATTCGTGGGCATAATTGCTGTGCGTCTTTCGAAAAAAAGAGTCGCTATGTGCATGCAATTTAGGCACCGAAAAGACTGAATACCTCTGACTTCCTAATATGGGTTAATGCCGGGCCGGCACGTTGCGGAAAGAGGCACATGCAAATAAGATACGCTTACCTTGAATCGCTAAGAGGTTTAGTTTCACTTCGCGTGTATGCAGTGTTACTCGAAATGACTGGGCAACTCACCGACTTGTGGAACGACCGGCGCATGCCATGGGAGGGGGTTCTGCAGAAACAAATGTCGGAACATCAAACTTTTTGAGGATATCTTCGCCAAACGTCCATTCGCAGCCCCCTCCATACCCCAACTCCCCCTCCATCCCTTGACTTCACTCATATCTACTCATATTCTGCATTGGCTCTGTATGCAGGTGTGTTGTAGTCGGACCATCACCTTTTTTGAGAAAGAATGGCACAACCGACTGGCCCGGGTCTAGATGCAGGACTGCGTACAGATGGGTTTACAGGCATGTCACCATCATACTATTGGGCAAACGAGACCTCTTTCGCCCGACTTGCTGGGATTTCCATCTGTACATGGGAGAGTGAGACACGGCTTTCATTCCCCTTCCATCATTACGAAGCTATTACGGCCGGTCGCTCATCATGATGATCATTTCCTACACCAGCCCTGGAGCATAAAAAGGGCTACTACGTTACAGGTACTACTATGTGAGTAAAACAGATCCAAACACATGATCTGCTCTAGTCGCGCCCGGGGAAGCCCACTGGGATATTAATAGTCGACGGTTTTTCCTCTGCTTTAAAACTTTAAAACCTGGCCTCTCTGGAACTTCTTCGCCATTCCAGTAATTTCAATTGTCACTTTCAAAAAACCATGGTCTACCCCGTCGGCTTATCCGAAAAGGCTGCCGGCGAGCACACTTCTGTAAGAACGCCTTCAGAGAGCCATGACGACGCAGAGGCAGCCCACGACCATGTCATCGATCCGAAGGCCGAGGCCAAACTAACTCGAAAGGTGGACCTACGGGTAATGCCAATGGTGTTCGTCTTGTACTTCTTCACATTCCTGGACCGGACGAACTTGGGAAACGCAAAGGTGGCGGGCATGGAGGCAGACTTAGGGCTGGGGAAATATGGCTTCAACATTGGCGCGTGCCTGTACTTTGGCATCTACTTTTTCGTCGATATTCCCGCGTCTTTGAGCGTCAAGAAGTACGGGAACATCGTGCTGCCGCTGAGCTGCATCTCGTTCGGCATCGTCACCCTCTGCACGGCTTTTATCAAGAACGAGGCAAGTTTCTTCGCGATGCGGCTGCTCCTTGGCATCACAGAGTCGTTCCAGCTCCCTGGGCTCAACTACGTGGTATCGCGGTATTACCGTCGCGGCGAAGTGACAACAAGGATCTCTTTCTTCATGCTCTGCGCTGCTGGTCTCTCTAGCGCCTTTGGAGGTCTCCTGGCATCTGGCTTGTTGTCTCTTGGGAGCATCGGGGACGTTCATTCGTGGAGGAATATCTTCTTGGTTGAAGGGTTTGTCATTTGCTCGAGAGACGTGGTTTGTTATTGACGTTAATTATTTTCCAGTATCATCACGATCGGTACAGGTTTCATAGCGTTGTATCTCTTCCCTGACGACCCGTCCAAAACACGAATTTTCAACGAGGAAGAGCGTGCCCTTGCCATGGCCCGCATCTTCCACGACCAACCGGGCATCCGAGAGCACAAGGAGCGCATCACCTGGAAGTTGGTCAAGAGCGGCGTTCTCTACGTCAACGTCCTCGTCGGTGCCTGGATGTACACCTGTAACCAGGTCACCGTACAAGGTCTCTCCATCTTCACGGTCACTATCCTAAGGCTCAACTACCCTGGAAAATCCACTGTCGCCATTCAGCTTCTGTCAGTGCCGCCGCCGATCGTAGGCTTGGTCTTCGGCTTCTCCCTGGCGTACGTTAGCATGAAGACGCGCAGGCACGGTATCGGCATTGCCGGGTGCGCGGTGATGAACGTCATCGGGTACTCGATATGGCTCGTCTCGACCAATGTACAAGCGCGCTATGCCGCCATCTTCATCAACACAGCCGGTGGTTATGGCACCGGGGTGTTGGTCATGAGCTGGACGCTGGCCAACGCCGCACCGGATACCGTGCGCAACGTTGCGAGCGCCGCTGTATCTGCGATTGCTAATATCGGTAAGTAATGCCGGTTGCGTTAGTTTTGGCGCCATGCCACAATTTGAGCTAACGATTCTGATTATCAAGGTTCCATCGCCGCTACATGGAGTTACATCAACACCGATGCCAAGACTGGATATCGTATCGGAAACAGCCTGAACACAGCTACGGCGGCATCGGTAATTATTGCATCTCTCGGTTTAGTTGCCTATCAAACATGGGAGAACAAAAAGCGCGAACAAGGGGGCCGTGACTATAGGCTGCAGGCGCCTGAGGATGAGGTTGCAAATCTTGGGCATCGTCATCCCAAGTTCAGGTACATACACTAGGAGTCATGCTTATGGGAGAGGCTGGTCAAGAACGTTTGTTGCGAGGGTAAAGATATACTTGATGTTTCAACTAAGCTATTCCTGTCGCCGTTTCCATACTTCATACATAAGTCCAGCGAAAGTCTATCCGCTGCCTGTGGCCTCAGAAGCCCTTAACCTGTCTGCCAGCTTGTATTCTCATCCCGCAATTCCCATTGACCCAACAATATCACACCAGTTTCAAGACCGATATCATAACCTGGCATGTATCGTGTTAGTTTCACTGAGTGGCCGCTGCGAAGGCGGGCTGAGGATCCGTATTTGTCAATCGACCGTCTTTTGTCTACAGAAACACGACGACTTGATAGGGACGTCCGATACAGCCAGGGCCAGGGCCAACTGCGGCTTCAGAATCTTGGCTTCATCTGTTCGACCCAACTTCGTGAGACACTCGTAGAAACCGTGGAGGGCCCAAACATTGTTCGGATGTCTTAGGGCACGGGGCAAAGTCTCATCGATCCCGAGATCCGCACTGTAGACAGCAGCAGCCTCCTCTACGTGTCCTTGCTCCAAGAGTAACGCACCAAGCGCGTGGCGCGTCGGCTGCATCCAGCCCCATGGCTCATCATAGGGTAGTGCATCGTCTTTCTCCACAGACTTCCGCAAATATGCGAAAGCGGTGTCGTAGTTGCCCTTTCGATATGCCAATTCGCCATCTAGCATTGCCTCTGCAATGGCAAGGGTTTCTTGGCAAGGGTTGTTGAACACAATCCGTGAGGGAGGGACATTTTTAAGGGCTTTTGCGAAATGAGCGCGCTCTTTCTCAGCCTCTTCTACCCTTCCAGTTGCCGCAAAGGCGACACCCTTTGCGTAATGCGTCATAGCAGTTGTTGTACAGTAGAGAACAGGGTCGTGAGGAAGCTTGAGGGCGAGGATATCTTCCCATTTTCCGAAGCGGATGAGAGCGTGCATGCGCATGCCCAAAAAGCCTTCCAGCCAGTCCGCCATCGGCGGGGATCTGATCCGTAACAGGTCCTCCGAGATTGTTGACTCGAGCTCATCAATAGTCTGAAGGGCGACCTTTGACTGTCCGCACAACATGGCGGCATACAGCCTGAAATGAAAGTCGTGTGAGCGATACAGCGTGTAGAAATTAAGCGGTCCTTCTTTAGCAAGAAATTTGGAGTCAGCTCGGATAGCGTCGGAGTTTGAGGCAATAGCGCGGCGGTAATCGCCACACAGTATGTCAAGATGAGTAGGCATGTGCTGTAGGTGCCCGGCGTCCGGAACGAGACCTCGCAAATTGTCTGCTATTGTGAGTGCAGCCTCAGGGGTCGGTGACATCTCCATCAGATGGATATACAAGTGGAGGAGGCCTGGGTGTCGAAGGGAACCCTCAAGCTTGAAGGTGCGATCCATCACATCTTTGATTTCAAGCGTCCTAGCTCCAGGAGTGGGCTTTCCTGTCTTGTAATTCCACAATTTCCACGGTGTAACATTCATCGTGGCATCTGTCCAGATAGCGACAACATCAAGATCGTTCGGGTAGGCCTTTAGAACGGTGTCCATGGCCTTGGCGTAATCTTCATTCCATTTCGAGCAGTCATCCGCAGGCTCCTCTTGCGGATACCGGGCAATCAGGGCATTTATCATGGCGATCTCGACGGGTGATGCATCTGCAGAGTGGCCCTTTGCCTGCATAATGGTGTGATGGGCTCTTTTCGCTGTGGCGGCGAGGTCCTCTCCGTCAAATACTTTCCACGGCTTGTTGTAATTGGGGCCCAGGACGAAAGCAAGTCCCCAGTACGCCATAGCGCAGAAAGGATCGTAATTGATAGCCCTTTCGAAGCATCGTGCTGACTCTTCGTGGTTGAAGGCATATGCCCAAGTTAGGCCGCGATCAAACCAAAGCTGAGCATCCTTACTTTGGGTAGTCACTGGACGGTGGAAGGAACCAAGATTGTAATACACGGCGGTAGGAGAGATGACCGCCGAAGATGTCCCCTTGCCCCTCATATTTGAACTGCTCAGCGCTGAGTTTACGAGTAAAGGTGATCTTCAGGTGTGGTGGTGGTGAGCGCCCCCAGGATCTTTGTTGGGGAGGGATGACAGGGCAAGAGTCGATTGGCCGGGTCACGCAGTAGTCAGTGATGTGTTTTAGTTGACGTTATACACCGGACTATAGTTTGGCCGCGGGTTCCCCTCATTTCACTAGTTCCACCATACTGAACCTAAATCTTTTTGGCCTAGAAAAACCACTGAAACCTCCGGAAGTCAAAGCCCTGATTTGTTAAGCGCAGTCGTCCGAACGCATTCCATGCCATCACGAATGGCTTCTCCTGAGCTCAGAGATGAAACGAAGAGGACAGCTGCCGTGGCACTGTCAGATTCTATCACATTGCACGGAAGTCCTTGCACAATTTTTAGGGATTCTTTCCCTTTCTATCTGTGATCACAGATGGCCATTTCTTCCGGGGACGGGTCTCCGATGTCACCGGAATTATCGGCGACATAGTGGAGTAGAATGGCGGACTTTGGGCCGAAATGGAGTAGGTAGTGGAGCCAAAGAGTACACTTGAAGTAGACAAGCCACCGTTGACTACGGGTATTCTTACATCTTCTATTAGACGTCATTGTGAGCGGCAAATCTTCGCACAGCTTGTTGCATCGTGAACAACCGCATAGACTGTAAAGTAGGTCGCCGATCGTATAGTGTGAGCTGATCTAGTGCGTGTCTCATGATCAACCCCGCTAGTGTCAAAGCTATACATAGAACATAAGGCAAAATAACACTGGTTTAACTTCTGAGATGGTCAAATACCTACGTCATCTGCATTTAAGAGGCCAAATAGCTGCAAATGCTTTCGCATGCTCACGATGGAGATTTAAAAGAAAAACCAGTTGCGACAGCTGCCTCAGATCTTCGTAAAATCGTTGCTATGCTTCACAACTATATAACAAAGGATGATCAAGTCCTCGTTGAGCGTAACTACGCATATATAATGAAGGCATAAATTTACTAAATGACATTGTTTTGGAGCATCAATATTGCCAATTAGATTATTAGCTAGTTACTAGCAACAGCCCAACTCTTTGGGGCCACCAGTTTGTGAAACGGCTTCGGAGGAGATACACATTGGATATTGGTTTCCAGGGGTCTAGCACGTGTATGTTACTCATGTCTTATTATCAAATTCGCAGCGGTAAAGAGGCAGCGATTGATAAATGGTGCCTGATATAATATGCTGCAAAGACCCCTGACAAAGATTAACAGTGGTCTTATGGTTATGGGGCAATCTCAGCTATAGTCGAGTTACCAGTCTTTGTCTGGCCACTCAGCCGTAGCTCGTACCTATCTATGTGTAACGCAAGCTTGTCTTCGGCAATCGTTCCGCAAACTGACCCATTGTGGGAAGTTATACTACATCTTCTAGCCTAAGTCGATTGCCATCGTGGAATACCTGGGCACTGGCAGGACGCTTAATTCCATCCATATACTTTTCATGGTACATTGCTTTTCAATATTTAAACGAGAAGTGATGCTATTAAACAACTGTATATTGTTTGACTGCTTCCACAAAACAATGATGAAACTCCAATCCATGCCGTACAAGTCTGCCAACGAATCGAATTGGGAAACAGAATGTCACTCACTACGTCTGGACTTTGCAACCTTTTTCTTGTTTTTATACACCTCGCCACATCTAGGCGGACAAACGCATCGCTTCCGTCTAGTCTCTTTGCTCATTTCATTCGGTTAAGTCTCACGTTAAATAGACATTCCAAAGCGTCATCTATAAGCCTCTCTAATCCCCAAAGTCAACGCTAGTCTCGAATTTCAGACTCGACGCCATCTAGAACACTCGCTTATGCGACTCGGTAAGACACCTTACTTGTTCCCTTGGATCGAGAAATCTTCTTCACCTCGATCTTGCCCACCTGACTGCAATCCAAAACATGCGTTCCACCGCAGGGGTAGCTTCCCAGGCCCTCCATCTCAACCACGCGACCCAGAGTCTCTCCCTCGGGCAGTGTGAACTCCTCGCTAACGTGGCACTTCTTCAAAACCTCCTCCATGGGCCACCAGTGGATCTTGACGGGGCTGGCTGACTTGACAAACTCGTCCGTCTTGGCTTGGATAGCATCCTTGTGCTTGGCCTCGAGGGTGCCAATGAACACAACGGAGGCGGAGTCAGGGTAATGAGAGGCTTTGGACTCCTTAAGGGGAGGGAGCACGCCCTCGCGAGAGAGCGCATGAATGGCCAGACTCATGACATGTCCCGCTGTGTGCAGACGCGAGTGGAGACTGCGCTTCTCTGCATCGACGTGTTGCTGGAGTTCCTCCCCCGCATCGAAGCGGGCTGTGGCTCCGTTGGTTTGGATGAAACGGCCGAAGTGGAGGATTTGGTTACCCTGAGCCGGCTGACGCACCGACTTGACTTCGAAAGTTGAGTCGGCTTTGGCGGCCGTGGAATCGGAAGGGGCCATGGATCCGGTGTCAGAAGGCTGACCGCCGCCTTGGACGTGGAATATGGTAGAGTCCGTGATAACGGCGTGCTCTATCTCTGGCGCATCCTTCACGAGGGCTTGGTCAGGCGCCTCTAGATCGGCGACCGGGACTACGGAGAGAATCTTGGCGGTGTGAAGTAGCTTCTGCCCATCTTGTTGATAGACAAGTTGTGTTGAGGCGGCCATCTTGAGGAAGGAGAGGCTCGGTCAGCTGGTCTTGGTTTCCATGATTTCAGTGTCAATTTGGGGAGGCCTAAACGTACCTTTAAAACACGCTGGAACGCAGAACGCATTCGATTGTAAGAGTAGATGGATACTTGGGTTTTGTTTCGATGCAAGGTCAACAGAGGCTGAGCGATGTGAGATCCGAAGTCGAGGGTGGTGGGCTATTTATGCGCTTGTACATTGTGTAGAAGGTAGAAGGTACCCCCTAAGCGGGGCCGTCCCAGATCCACATAAAACTGTCACCCCACAGTTCACAGTGGAGTGAACGACAGTGGCCTTCGGGCAGTTCGTACTTTTTTTGTTGGTGTTGTCCAACGCCATTTTCGGTGTGGGGCCTGGACCCTTTCAGGGGCTAATAGCCATCCATAGGCCAGTAAGCACAGTTGGCAGCGTTGTGCATGAGCAGGGCCCAGGGCCCTATGTCGCCATTAATATGGTGTCTGCGGCTAGATTCAAATCTACTGCAACTCCCTTGGGCAGGGGGTTTTCCGTATTTGCCACTGAAATACGCAGGCAAGTGGCACTTTGGAGGGACAGCAGAGCCCAGAAGAGGATAAACGGGACCACAAACATTGAGAGTACTGTTTTATTCTGGAGATCCTAAAGAAGCTACAAAAGAAATAAGAGGCACTCCACACAATGGAGATTTCTGGATTTCAAGCATCTCCGCCGCCCCCACCCCCGCATTCCCCCCCACGCCATACGGTTAAATCTGCCAGATTGACTGCTGTGCTCGCTCCCAGTGGTCACGATCCCGAATGTAGCGAGGGTTCTGCGCCACGATAGAGCAGGGAAGGAAACGCGATTGATCGATGTCATAGGTCACGCTGCCGCTGACGCCTTGCAAGACGGACGTGATGGCAACGTCGCACATGGTGTGCAACTTGCCTCCCCAGTGGCCGGCGATGGCTTCCCGGACCCATCTCTGCTCCAGCTGTTGCTTCAGCTCCAATGTCTTGGTCTCCAGCGAGGCGATCTCGAGGTGGCGGAGCGCATCCATGATGATGGCGGCCGCCGGAGCCTCACGGATCTCCAATGCCTTGTCGTCAGTCGAAAGGGGCTCGAGTCCAACAAATCGGCCAAGACCGAATTTGCCCACTTCCTTGTTCAGCAGCGCAATGGCTTCAATGAGGGGGAGCTTGTCACCATCGACTGAGACAAGGTTGCCATTCTCGAAGCTGAGAGTGAGCTTCTGGCTAGGGTGGTCCGCGTAACGGCGTGTCCACTGGTAGGCATCTTCGGGGATGCAGAAACCCTCAGGATCACCGAGAGGACCATCCTCGAACTCCCTGCACCACAAGTTCTCATCACCGCTCAGCTTGCGCTCAGACATGATGGTCAGTCCGGCCCCGGCCAGTTCTTCCGCCTTCTTCTCTCGAGAGACGACAGAACGAGGGTAGGGGCTTCCGAACCGTCCAGGGAAGCCAAGGAGCTTGATGCAGTTGTTGAGACGAGGTAGGCTGTTCTGCGACAGGTTGGCCGTGTGGAGCAGTAAGCCTGCACTCACGTCTTTGGCGTAGTCCGTGATGAGGCGAGCAATGACCGGACGAGTGAGCGAGCTGCTGACGGGGAACAGGCCCAGGTACGTGGCGTGAGCACGGATGGCGGGCACGACACCTTCATTGACAAAGGCCTCGCGGCCATCAAGGAGCTTGAACTTGGCGCCAAAGTGAGCGGCATGCTTGGTCAGGCCATTCTCGTCTACAGGTGACCCAACATCTACGGCGACAGCGTGGATGTTGGTGAAGCCGAGCTGCTGGAGTCGGAGGAGCAGGTAAGTGCTGTCCAGGCCACCGCTGAACATGGTAACGACGGGAGTATCTCTGTTCTCGAATTTCTCAAGTTGCTCGAAGCTTTCAATGGGCCTCTGCGTTTGCGAGTGAGCGCCGTTGGCTTTCAGGACGCCATTGCCATTTGCTTTCAAGACGCCGTTGGAGACGCCGTTGGAGACTTTATTTGAGACGCCGTTCGCAACGCCGTTTACTCTCAAACCCTACTCTGCTTTAGCATGATGATTTGAAGATCGAGGAGTATGCACATACCATTTTGTTGGATTGTTCTTGACACAGGGTGTGAAAACAAAGTAGTTAGTCTGTATCGTAAGAAACAGAGCAAAGATGAAAAGTAAAGTGTTTTGAATGGACTGCGAATGAAGTTGTAAAGCGTGTTCGGAATGCAGATTCAGTTCATTATCCAGACGACTGACCAGACTATATACTTTGGAGAGCAGCACTTCTTCTTTGGACAGATATTGCTCTTTCTGCTAAGATCACGACGAGCCAGTGATCAGTGTCTCTCACGTCTCCCCAGTATGTTCGTGATGCCAAAGAACGTGCATGCTTTCCTATGGGTCACATTCAGCAAGGATACAACATCCGTAAAGTCCTACACCCCCTCCCTCTTCCCAGAATACTACTATACAACCGAAGAATGAAGGAGATACATCCAAATACATCAAGATACATCAAGAGACTTGGAGAGACATTATTCCTTCACGATCCCGCTGCGGCTCTTGGGACAGCTTTTCCGGCTGTGAAGTCGTATAGTCGGCTATAACGATACGGCGTTTCAGAAAATGACAACAATCACTTGCAAAAGAACTCGGCTTCATCTCCCCGAGAGATGACCTGCTGCATCATTTTCGCCACTCATTGCGAACACAGTTGCTGTTTCTGGAGTTATTCTTCACCGAAGATGTAGTATTGGCCGTTGATGCATCCTGAAGTGCCCTGTCGCAATACTGTCTAGATCCACGTGTGTGGTGATATGTTGTAGCAGCCGATAGCCTAATGCTGCACGTCGGCCTACATGAGTTTGAGATGACAACTAAAGCTTAGCTTAGCCTGCATTAAGGCTTAGGACCCTGTATCACCCACCATAGTGTTCTCTCTCTCTCTCAAATTACCGGCTGGCGGCCCAAGTATCCCCGAGACCCACGCCAAGCAGTAAGGCAGGGGGCTCCGTCGCCTATAGACCTGCTGGCTGCCCGGACACAGCATCCCCGGGACCCACGAGTAAGCAGCTAGACCAGGCCTGGCCTGGCCTGGCCAGAGGAAACTGAGTTTCGCAATACAGACAGCCTCGGTATGCTGTGGGGGGTTGTGCTTTCCTTTTCAGCCAATCATACGTCGACACCCTGCGCGGCCCGCGCGGGCCGCCCCGTTGGCAGCGGCTACCGCCAATAGCAGCGCAAAATCCTTTGGACGAACGCTCCAGCGAAACTCCACGGTTACTACAGCTTTTTAAGTAGTTTTATTTTTATTTTATTTTTTGTCAGAGAAGAAATCCTCAGGAACTGTAAATGATTGCGAAAGTTCAACAAAAACAGTGCTGCGCTCTAAAACGGCGATTAATTATACCGATTACATGAGCTTACTGTGTTTTACTCGTAATGAAAAATGACACCTTGTGCGACTCGACATGGCGGCGCGTGGGGGTACAGGACGCCGGAAGCTATACGCGCGGCTGAAGTTTCGTTTTTACGGCGGTTTGATTGGCTCCAAAGCGTATTACTGTCCGGAGAGAAAGCGGTGTTTCCCAGAATGGATAGCCGGCTTTTTTTCTTTTTTTCTTTTTTTCGGAAACCGGGGAATCTTCCTGTATCATTGGGCTTTCCCCCCGAAATAAGCTGACTAGTCGGGCATTCTGCAATGTAACGCTAAACAGCAGAATCTAGATCTTGCACCATTGTCGGAGAAACTGACATCAAGATCCTTCAAGCACCAAATACTCTGCCTGCTTATCCGCCTCGCTTACCCGCACCGTTTGGGCATTCTTGGGTGTGCAAGTCGGCTTGTTTTGCTGCAAGGCTTATGGAGCGCCTGGGCTGGCAAAGAGAGGCGGCCGATCCTCTTGGACTGGCGATGTAACGAACTCGGGGTCCAGATCTCTCGGGCCAAGGCGTGGACCTTCGTCTTGCCTCTCTGAAGGATTCTTGAACGTCACATCAATGGGTTGCATTTAGGGGTCCCTGCAAGAAGGATCTCTGCACTTAGGGTATCTGCAGTTTGGGGTTCCTGCAGTTACGAGTCCCTGCAAGTCACCGTCGCTGTGCCGCTGGTGCGCTTATACGTGTTGAGATGTTGGGCGGCTGACTTAAAGTTTGTACGGACCAATCATGCACACCATCACATATGTTGAAAGCCTATACTATACTGAAACGACTACTGTGGTCTAGAACATCCTATACACCTCGCTTTTTCAAAAGATCTTTTGTAAAACTAGCAATGGCGTGCGAGTATACCTTTGGCACGACAGAAGTCGCAACTTGGGATAGAAATTAGCGGATTTGGGAGTAGGCGCGGGTAGTCCCCTGCAAGCTCTCTTCGGCTAAGGTCTCACCCCAGCCTAACAGTCGTGCTGAAAGACAGATGTGAGGACATGTACTTACCAGCTCCAAGGCTTGGTGATACGTGTGATACAGGCCTCACTTTCCTAATTGGGAAGTAATATCACCGGTGGTAGTCAGCAGCGGATATTATCACCTGCATCTGTTGAGCTGGCCATGCAGAATATCGCCACTCGGAAACCTTCACTCTCTCAAGACTTCATCGGAGCAATTCTCTACTCACAAGTGACAAGGGAATTGAGAAATTAGGATTCAGAGTGCGTTTTTCATTGTAGAATCATACGATGTGTAAGAAACGATATTTTGAAGTATTGAGCCTCATGAAGAGAATGCCTTCTCTCTGGATATATAAGATGCATTGAAGCCGCAGATATTTCCATCTTCAAACTCACACTTCAACACAAGCTTCCCTTTCTACAAACACATTCCTAGCAAGCATCATTTCAACCTCCAATCTTTCACAATGGCTATCACTGAAAACATTATCGTTTCCAAGTCTCTTCCGACTATTCACCTCGATCTTCTTCGATCTGAGGACGTCCAGGAGAGCAGGAACTTGCTTGACGCTTGCCGAAGCCATGGTTTCTTCTACCTTGATTTGACCAGCGATGCTGAGCTTTGCCAACTTTGGAAAGACATGCTCGCAAACATGGCGCAGTACTTCAAGCAGCCCCTTGATGTCAAGATGCAAGATGCTCGTGGCAGCGACAACTTTGGGTGCGTATTCTTCTACATATCACAGCACGGTCTTTGATATCAATCGCTAACACTTTACCAGCTACGAGCCCATGGGCACTGAAGAGGGTCCCAACCCCAAGACAAGAGATGGATACGAATCCCTCAAGGTAAAGATGCATTCTTTTGCAACATGAAAATCCAAAGTTAACATTTCCCACCAGTTCTCCCGCCGAGAGTTCCTCAAGGGATCATCTGACCTGACCACCTCGGTCCGCTCCAAGGAAGACTGCTTCTTCTCTTTCATCAACCAGTCTCACAACATCACCCTGATGATTCTCTCGCGCCTCTCTACCGAGCTGGGTCTTACCGGCACCTCGCGCTTTGAGGCTCACCACGCGGACCCTGGTCCGTCTCTGTCGACCCTCGGTCTCCTGCGCTACCCCAAACACGACAAGAAGACTGACGTCACCAACGTTGGCCACAACAAGCACACCGACGTCGGCTCCCTCACCTTCCTGCTAGCCGCGCAGTGGGGTCTTCAGTACCTCTCGCTGACGAGCAAGCGCTGGGAGTTCATTGAGCCCCGCCCCGGCCACGCCATCATCAACGTCGGCGACAGCCTGCGTTTCCTGTCGGGTGGAGAGCTCGCTAGCGTCGTGCACCGCGTCGTCCCCCTCAAGAAGACGCAGGAAGAGGACCGCTACAGCATTGCGTATTTCCTGCGCATGAACGACGGCGGCATCTTCAGCGACACAACCGGCAAGGCCTGGACGGCGACCGAGTGGCACGACTTCAAATTTGGTGTCTTCAAGAACCCGAGTGTCTTGGACGCAAAGGGCAAGTTCCTCACTGGTATGATGATTGAGGATAGCGAGAAGTTCCTCAGGGGCGAGGGTCAGGTTGCTGTCCCCGCATAGAGGATCGGCTTTGAGTTTGTTTGCATAGTGTGTCCTAAAATGGTGGTGTTTTTTCCTTAGACGAAATCTTCCTTTTTTATCTTTACTAGTCTTTCAATATACAAGTTTGCTTTAAAAATTCTTCACCGGAGACAATTATGTGCTGTCACAATGGGTTTGGTTCATTAGGTGGTTGGTTCATGGTTATCATTATAATTGGCTCCAGCTCTGACTACCTTACCAACCAACATTGAGGCTTAAAAGATAGGCATGTTTAAGATTGTCCAAATCGGGGCTTGTGTAGGAAAATCTGGAGAACGACCACGAGCCATGTGTTCGTGATCCTAAAGTTCCAACCGTTTCTTGGCGTCTATTCCCCCACCAGCCGACCTGGGGTAAACGGCGGTGATGCAGAACAGGGTACGGATACAAAGCGGATTTTACACTACGACGGTTTAGTCAAGGTCAAAATGACCAACCAATCTGTAAGGCCCCCCCATGCAACACAAACGGGATTCCCAGGCGCGTTAGAGGTCTCCGTTAGTAAACGGAGTTTGATCCGATTAGGACACAAGAGTCGAAGTTGAATGCGACCCACTTTATTATTTGCGGGTTCTTCTGCTACAGGGTACAGGGGTCTTTATCACAAACTTAGCCTATCCTATTAGAACAAATCCATTACAGCAGGCTCTGCCTAACTCGATATGATATGATTGGTTAGATGGTACCCCCACGGATGAGTGGCAACGACCGTTTTGCTAAGGCGTTGGAGCATGGTTAGCCGCGCAAAACGGCTTGTAGCTTCCGCATCCTCTATTCTCAAGCAGAGCAGAGCCTTTTCCGTTCCATACAACGACAAATGTAGCCACGGTAGCCTATTACAGCAGCACTGCATCCCCCACGTCTGCTCAGAGGTCGAGCTAGAGCTGATCAACACTAGGTCCTTGGTCCCCAGCAGCGGGCCGGGCCATCATTAGACAATCCTACAGGATGGTCATGTAGGTCTCTGCAAGTTAATGCGGGTCCAAGATCTTTTGAAGTAGAGATGAGAGATACATGCATGGAGTAGGATGGAGTAGGTTTTCAAGTTCATAGTGTAAAGCCCTTATGATGCTACCGTCTGGGTGCATTAGTGCGCCAACAGCACCCTCCCTCGGTGAGAAGAGTGGCTTCTCATTTCCTAACTCCCACAAGTTGTATTTCCGATTAGCGGGCGTGCTGCTCGGCTGTCTGGCTTGTCACCTTCCACAGGGGGAAATGACCCTGTCGATCTTACGTAAATTAAGAGTTGAAGGCTTACGGTGCAACTGCTTACGCACCTGCTACACGCACACACAAAGCACAACAGAGAGACTGTATGGCTAAGGTGAGCCTACGAATAGGCGAGGCGCTTAGATGGAGAACAGCGTGGGGGGAGGGGCATCTATTGTGAATTGCCAATGCAACCTCAACCTCGTGAAGATGACCGGGCTTTAAGGCAAACACGTCCCCCCTTAGTTGAGGACTCCGGTCTAGATGCTTATCCTAGGCGTTTGCTGATGTCCACCTCGTTCTCGACTGGCCAGGATTTGATTTCGCTCAACAGCTAAGCCACTAGGATCACGCATACCAGAACGCGATGTGGAGCGCATAAAATCATACATTGGCGGCTCGAATTCCAGACCGCGACGGACGGACTTCTTTGCACCGCCTAATTACACGTCGCAAGCACGTTTTTTTTCTTGTCTCCCCCATTCAAACTCGTTCCCGAAGATCCGAACACATATCGTTGGCCGCCTTACGAGTGCCTCGGTGTGGTAATACCCCGGTGAATGTAAATGACACCTTTTTAGGCCGTTCTAGATGGGGGGCCCACCCATCTTGGCTATTGGCTAAACGAGCCCCGCGGAAGCGTCAACTTAAAGGGGGCATTCTCTGCGCTTGTCGGTGAGGAAGACGACGAAATTGGATCAGAACCTGCCCATGCTCATATGCGGGTTATGCTGCAGAAAGGGTCCCCTGGCCGCATGTGAGTAGAGCTATGAGTGCAGCCTTACCGTCCATGTCACCTCGCATGTTGCATTTGCAGCCTCCTTCTCCCCCGTGGGAAATCTCCGTTCGCTTGCGTGTCCCTTGGGGGAAGAGGGGTGTCGGAAATGGACGCACCATGTCCGGAGCAGGCTGCCCGTCTGCGTGTAACCAACATTTCGCCACTATGGGCTGAGATGTTGTTTGGGTCGAGGCACCCCCCGGCGTTGAGCTCCACAACAAGGGTCCAAACACGTCCTGTACCTGTTGGATCTCACCCTGAAGCGACATAACTTGAACTTCCTGATTACCCGATTCGGTTAATACAATCGGGAGCCGCGCCAGTATTCCAAAGGACCTCCTGCGCCGATGTCGGACGTTGGCAACCAATCTTGAATGAGTGGTTGACATTGATCATTAGGATTTCTGCATATTGCAATAATGCAAGCAAGGTCACTGGTGCTGGAAAGGAATGGAGATGTCTCTACGGTGGCGCAATATGCTGGTGAATAATGGGGTGTCCATTGAAAAGTAAATCAACCTGATTTTTCATTCAACGTTGGTAACTAAGAGACAACGATGTAGGGCAGTTTGAGTCACGATGAGTGATTGATGTGTGATGTTGATGGACGGTTCATGCTTATTATTCATCATCATATCACTAGCCGAGTATTTCTAGTAGACAAGACATAGCAGCAAAGGGCTCAACAATCTTGTATATTTCATCATCTTTTCTGAGACGTCACGCTGGAGCGTGTCCCATTTAAAGCTACTATCGTTGAGACCAATATGTAAGACGATACCAATACGTATTCAGATAGGGGGGTTGATATCAAGCCCAGTGACGGTCAATTTGAACGCATCGTTTCTTTGCAGCCATATTAGTGAAAATGCATCATAATCCCGATAAGGAGCATCAACATACCTCGAATAGCTCCCAGCGACATCCAAGTCCAATCTTCCTCTCACGCAATCATCAAAGTTGACCCCAACGGTCAACATGCCATCTTCATTCTCCCACAAGGGCCCCTGAAGGACTTCACCCAGCGGAGACACAATGCAAGAACCGCCACTGGACACAAACTCCTCACTCTCAGACTTCTCACCGTAAACCCAAGCCGGCTGGCTCTGCTTTTTGAAGCATTGATTGGCGCTCAGGACGAAGCATCTGCCCTCACAAGCTACCGTTCTCATAAGAGCAGACCAAGTGTCACGCGCATCCGCCGTCGGCGCTAGATAGAGGTTGACGTTCTGGCTGTAGAGAGAATGACGCAACAGCGGCATATAATTCTCCCAGCAGATTGCCGCTGCGAGGGTGATGTGAACGCCCTTAATGGTGGTCGTCACAGCACGGAGCGAAGACGGTTGTCCTTGACCCCATATCAAACGCTCGCTTCCCGTCTGCAAGGGTAGGTTCAGGTTAGAACATTCGCCAAGGAAATATATAGGGAAGTACTTACTGGCATAACCTTTCTTCTTTTGCCAATGACTAGCAGAATCGAGTTAGCTCCTGTCACTTCCATTTGACCCTCTTTCAGTCGGGGTGCATAGAGTACTCACCTCCAAGCTTGGGACAGACATAGACGACAGCACAGTAAAGAGTCCCCCCAGATCGCTCAACCAATCCCGTGACGATGAAGATGCCAGTCTCTCTAGCCACTTTTTCAAGCTGCTCTCGGGTACCGTCTCCACGTCGGACCCGGGTTGCATCACCTCCTTCTTGCCCCTCCAATTCTCTCCTCACCCACTTCTCCCCCGCACCCTCGGGAGTATCCCCCAAATCGACAGCATCCTTGAAGTAGTTCAAGAACTGCTCTCTACCTTCAGGGGTGCGACCTCCCACAGCAGCGCCAAAGGTAGCTCCTCGGGGATAACCACCGATGTAGGCCTCGGGGAAGAGGATCAGGTCTGGAGAGGGTTCCTCCTTGGAGGCTTTCTGGCATTGTTGGGACAAGGCCTCGAGCGTTTCTGGAGTGCTGGACAGAGTGTGCTTTTGGCACACTGCGAGGTAGATCGTCTCTGGTGTAGCTGCCATTTTGGATAATCAAAATACGTGTGATATAATGCTTTGGATAGTACAGATAGGCTGGATATGAGGAAGATGTCCCTCATCAAGCCAACGGGTCATCGGTTTATATGTATGCGCTTCTATTGGACCGTGTTCTGTAGCTCCGCAGCTCGGAGCTGGACTTCATCTTGAAACCCTGATATTGGACTACTTGATGTACCTACCCTGCTAAATGGCTATTGTAGAACCTCCAACACGTATACTTGATCATGAAGGACTGAATAGGGGTTCAACAGCATCAGAACGCACCCACGTTGCTCAGCGAGGGGGCAAAGTAGTACAGCTACGGAAAAGGAGAGTTTCGGCTTACCTCTAAGGGGATACCCCGGGGTCCGATTGACCCCTGGTCAAATGTGCTACGACCCAACTATACCCGACGAACTACAGCCCAAATTGGAATGATCACGGCCGTGGACCTTTACGAACTCTTCTAGACCCTTTTCCAGGGTCGCATATCGGTCCCCAGGGTCCATGTACCCTGTGTCAGATCCACAATGAATGGCGAGCGGTCAACTCCTTGGCGCCTTGAGTCACTGCAAGTACAGCCGACGGCGGAGCTGGGTACCTCTGTACTTGTCAGGTATCAGCCAACACGTTGCAGTTTTTAGCGCTGGTCCCCAAATCAAATGTCCCGCTAGGCCCGAACTCCCATTCGTCTGTATTAAATGTGCACAACAGGTGACGATGATGTATCTTGATTGGCTGAATATTTACTCCTACATATGTTTTACTCAGTGAAGGATAATGAACATGTACTAAGCACGGGGAATGAAAAAAGGGTCCATTAGACAGTCATATCCTAGTTCTCCTCCTTCGCCCCTTCTCTCCCATCTCTTTCGCATCCCTCATACGAGTCCCAAACGGATTTACGACTCCTACTTATCCATCGTGCATTTGCCACTAGATAGGTTGGCTGGATTTTCGTGAAAATTCAGGAAGAAGACCGATTTAGCCTGTAAGTTTCTTCATTTGGTCATCGCCAGACTAACAGACGATTGACGCTTTGAGTGCCTCGGAGTATTCAAGATTTAAAGTGCCTAATTGGGACGGGTTCGTCGACCAACATTCGTCAAGATGGCTGAAAAGAACGGCCTTGTTGAGGTGTATCCAGAGGCTGTGGATGACTCTCAAAGCGAGACTCTCCAAGAAAGAGATCGCGGAGTACTGGGGCGGCAGAAGAGCGCGGTAAGTTGGAAGGACCCGGGTCCTCCTCCAGATGGCGGAGTCCTCGCATGGAGCCAAGTCCTGGTAGGACATTTGGTCATCATGAATACCTGGTAGGTTATTCTCGCATCACGAGTGCTTTCACTGGCGGCAAGATTATGGAATGACGCTAATGTTGACAAAGGGGCAACATAAACTCGTTTGGTATCTACGAAACCTATTACGTTGATTTCCTTAACCGCTCTCACGCAGATGTGTCCTGGATCGGGAGTGTGCAGGTCTTCCTGGTCTTCTTCATTGGCACCTTTTCTGGTCGTCTCACCGATGCAGGCTACTTTCGTCCGGTCTTTCGTAAGCTCCAGTCCCTCTAACCCTCACTCCGCACTGATGACAGCAATGACGACAAAGCGCTTATTCATTCCAGTTTTCGGGACTGTTTTGACTCTACTCGGCGTGTTCATGGCATCCCTAGCTACGCAGTACTGGCACCTATTCCTAGCTCAAGGAATTTGCGTCGGACTTGGAGCTGGGTGTCTGTTCTGTCCAGCGCTAGCAATAGTATCAACATACTTCGCCAAGAGAAAAATGTTAGCCATAGGTATTTGTGCGTGCGGTAGTGCTACAGGAGGATTAGTCTATCCGGCCATGTTTCAACAGCTGCTCCCAAAGATCGGCTATGGATGGACCATGAGAGCCTTGGGCTTTACTACTACGGCCTGCTTGGTTGTATCTAATATCCTGGCAAGACCAAGACTGCCTCCTTACAGCACAGGACCTATCGTCGAACTCGCTGCCTTCACGGAAGCATCGTACAGCTTGTTCGCGGTTGGCATTTTCTTGGTCTTCTGGGGCGTCTATTTTGCTTTCTACTACCTGAGCTCTTTCGGTGTCGACATAATCGGCATACCTCAAAACGAATCATTCAACCTGTTTCTAGTGCTCAACGGTGTTGGTATAATAGGCCGCACTCTCCCTGCGTATTTGGCAGACCGCTATACTGGTCCTATGAACATTCTGCTCATGGTAACCATTGCGTCGATCATCTGTGCTTGGGCTATGGTTGGTGTCACCTCCCGAGGAGGGCTCTATGCGTGGACTGTGGTTTACGGTGTTGTCGGAAACGGTCTTCAGGCCATGTTTCCAGCCACGCTGAGTAGCTTGACAACCGATTTGAAGAAAGCGGGAGTCAGAATGGGGATGATATTTGTAGGTGTTCAACCAACCCGCGGAATGTGAAGGAGTAACCAAGACTGACCCACAATTAGACGATCGTAAGTTTCTCCGTGTTGACGGGTCCACCGATAGCCGGTCTATTGATCACGAGAAACGATGGCCACTATGTGTATGCGCAGATCTTTGCGGCCGCATCTATGGTTGTCGGGTTCGTACTACTCTGTGGAGCTAGACTTGCGGTTACTGGTAAAGTCTTGTTTTACAAAATCTAGCGACACGCTACGAAGATGTTTGAGGAGTATCACACGCCGGGACGCAGGACCACAACAACACATTCGACCGTCAACCTCAAATATGAAGAATGGAAGCATAAGGGAATCTTGTTTTCAGTACGGCTCCATCAAAGACTCCATCAAGGCCATGTGCGCGGCTGCTAGCGCCTGCATCCCGCTGATCGAAGGAGTCGTTAGTGCTTGTCCCCAAAGTCAAGTGAGATCAATACCAACTTTGGCTCAGAGCCGTTGCACCCGATGGCAACAGCAATACAAAACAAAAACGGAGGATACAGGCTAGGCATCAACAACTTATTGGTGTAGACCTGAGAGCGAAAGAGCCAGCCAAACAATATACATGTTTGGCTGCGTACCAACTTTTCTTTTAGTTAGAACGGATTCGTGGGAAACATCATAAAACACAGTCGCTACCAATACATTTGTTTTGCTTTGTTGTTGAAGTCCTTGCCTTAGTAACAACCTTTACATTTGGTAGCACTTCTGCTTCCTATACGAAGTACACAACGTATCAGTATAGTAGATCGCGCAGTCAGCGAACCACGGATCGTTGTTCAGCTGCACAAAAGATCAGAGTGAGAGAGTATTAGATGAACATCGCAAGCAATAGCTCATTATAGGTAGTTCTTTTCACGCTTCGTAACTTCCAGTTGCAAGTCGGTTCCTTTCGAAGGCTCGGGACCCACCTATCATAACAGCTAAGTCGGAGGTGTTGATAGAATATAGTAGCTGTTGGGCAACGTGCAGACGACCATTCTAACAAGTCGCCTGGATAATGTCCGTTAATTGCTCCTTTCTTTGGGGTATTATTCGCAACGAAACATACTAGTTACATTGAGAGAACAAGACACTTTTGCAGTGGAATAAGATGACTGGGGAACACGATGTAGTGCGGACGAAAATGTTTGCCAGAGAACGGACATGGCCGTCAAATATAACAAAAGCGTCACTTGCACGGTCTGGGGTTGAGAAGAAGAGCGTGTATAGAAGTTCTCTGGCAATCCTCATAATCCTCTCCCAAGCTTCATTTTTGGCGTCAAAAGAAGCATTGTACGAGTTGCAGGGAAACAGTTGTTGAGTTTATGGAGGGCAAGGGAAGCCGGAAGAGTTACAAGCGCTTTTGGGAAAGGTGATGGAAGTAGATTGATACAGATTTGGTACTTGATCTTTCCTCTTGATATGTCATCTGGTATTTCCTTTTTTGAACAAAGATAATAAACTGAATACCAACAACTGCACTGGATCGTTGCATTTTCCATACTTGTAGTTAACTGTTTTTGAAAACATCGAAAGCCTTTTGAGAAATGTTTCGTTTATTGATGAAACTTGACGTTGACGATAGTTCCCTCTTCGAATCAAAATTTCAAGGCCGTGGTATTTATGTCAACGACAAAAGAAGGAAATTGAACAAAATTTTAGTGTCTAATAACGTGTAAGCGCAGGAAAAAAGCTAAGTTCTTTGCTAACGGTTTACGGGAGAAAAGAAAGGTGTTCAGTATGCAAACATGTACTTGAGACATGTAAGATAGTAAAATGACGATACAGTCTTAATTCGTATATACTCTTTTAAACGTCGAAGACACTACTGCTAATTGACAGTATCAAGCCGCATAGTGATGATGACCTGAAGCCCCTTCAGCCTCAGTTCCACCTGTAGTTGTAGGACCTTGGTATCCCTTCCTGGCACCAACGAACCACCATACTCCAACAAAGAACGTGAGACCACCCCAAATCAGACACGCGTAATTCATGCTCTGAGCAGTGGTAGGGAGGGCAAAAGGGAAACTGTAGATGACAAACCACACAAGCATATATGTGCACGCCACACCGTTGATAACAAAGCCGACCCATCTACGCATGTGAAAAGGCCCATAATGAACTCGCTTCCTTCCTGCCAGGAGATTGGGAAGAATAGCTGCGAGGTACGAGCTACTAGATAGAAGAATGAAGCTGCCGACAAAGGCGTTGAAAGCCGTTGTGCTGCCCACATAAATTGCGCCAAGAACGGTGACTAGTAGAGCCGATGACACGGTGGACCACATAGGCATTCCTAGCCTGGGGCTTACCCGTCCCAATATTTCAGGTCGGGGACTTGCACCGTCACGAGCAAGAGCCCAAAGTGTCCGGCCACAAGTAATGTAGAGTCCCATTATTGTCAAGCCAATGCACATTAGTACGAGGGCAAGCAACCCGGTTGCGCCAGCAGGTGAACCAGTGGCCTGGCGATAGATTTCGGCAATAGGATACGGAGAGCTGAAGAGTGCATCGTAGTCGTTGATCGCGTACATGATGGTAACCAAGTAACAAAAGCCAGTCATGAAACCAATGCTCATTTGCAACCCAAGAGCGATGGGAACGTTGCGCTGCGGGTTGGGGATTTCTTCTGCCAAGTGCGTTGTGGCGTCAACGGCACCAACGCTGAAGGCGCCGTTAAGCATGCCAGCCAGAAACACGAAGCCATCCGGATAGCCGACGTCGGCGGTCCATTCAGCCCAGACGAAGGAGGAGGATGCATGTGGTGGTCGTCCGTCTCGGCCGGGCATGACGGCCACAACTATAATCGTGACGAGGAAACCTGCCAGAATCGCAAACACCCCGAAATCATTGATCCGCGGCATCGCGCTATTAGCAAGGCATACCATCGCACATGCAAGCCACGTCACGATCAGATAGACGACGAAGACGTGCCAGGGCTTCGCTTCAAACCCAGCATGGTTGAGCGCGTACATCTGCACGACTGTATTGCCGAAGATGGAAGCCATGCTGGCCGCGCCGAGGATCCAGGCCAGGTAATTCCACCAACCTGCGAAGAAACCGACGGCGCGACCCCATCGCCGACCAGGTGTAACGGAAGCCCAGTGGTAGACACCGGCGGAAGAGGGAATGGCACTAGCAAGCTCAGCAATGCTGGCGGCGACGGTCCAGTAGCAGACAGAGACGGCGATGAACTCGTAAAGGACACCTGGTGGTCCGCCGTTAAAGATTGCGACGAGGATAGAGCCGCCGATCGCGGGCCAGACGTTGCCGACGACGAGACCGACGCCGGCAAGGGAAAGAAGATTGAAGTTCCTCTGAAGCTCCTGGACGTGTCCTGACGCGTTGATCACGACATCCTTTTGCTCAGCCGATTGCGACGTGATTGCCTTGTTGATGTCAGACGTGCCAACATCATCAGCGTCACTAAGCTTTTTGGAACCACTCATGGTTAACTCCCGCGCGAACTCAGATGTACGCCAAGAATAGTGTGAATAGAGAAATAAGTTGAGGGAGTGATTGTACGCATCATTATCGGAAGGACTTGTTTCATTAGACATATGGAACATGTGCACCGGCCCGGTGTTATTTCGTATCAATACCAAGATAACGCGTAGGCCTGGTCTTTACGCGGCCGATTATCTCATACCCATGCTGCTGCATTTTCCTACGTCGCAGTCGGCGATTGCAGCCTTCTATCGCCTAGATGCACGTCGGCCTCTAGTATGCTACTCCTGCAATGGTGCGACCTTTTGCTGGGGAACCATCTCCTTTTGATACCCATCTCGCCACTAGCTCTGTAAAACCCCTGAGCGATCCCGGCCCGGACAGTGATGGCCATCGCGCAACTGACAACCTCTCCCCTGAGCTCAACACGCCCAGTAAGGGCATTTCCTCGTCAGGTGTCAGGATGTAGCATTGAGCTATCTGTGTCTGGTTAGAAATTTGGCCAAGCTTTTCGAAAGACCGGCAAGTATATGCCGTCATGAACAGCATTTACGTACAAGAAGTATGAAATGCCGTCCCCCGCAAACCTCAAGTCAATGGAACTACGTGTTGAGCTGGCTCGATCCACTGATTGCACCGGACGGGAAGAAAATCTTACGCAACAGCTTGACCAAGCAATGCGGGGGAATTGATACCCCAGGTTACGACATGTTATGCTCAATTACATACTCACCATGTATTTGTGTTGTGGGCAGAATCATTTACATCGATTAACCCCTTTCTTACATAACCTCACTACAAGCGTACATGCATATACTCACATCTCAAGGATTTGCAGAAGTAAATGTGTCAGGGCGTTTTGTTAGCCGACTCCGGAGCCGGTAGTCATGGGTGCGTTACTAGGCGCTTGGTCCATTTGATCACGCTTGATTTCTTAAGTTGCCGGTTTGTGGAGTTTCTGACAAGATTGGGGACAAGATCCGGCCCTTTCCTTTCTTGGGCAAAGTTGCCGACGAGAAGTTATCTCCGGCGAAAGAGGGCTTTAATTTTTCAGATAAATCCTTCGGCCACGAGGCTGTCTTGAGAATAATATCAATTACAACGACTTTCATGGAACGAACCAAACATCAAAACTTTCTCCATTAAGTAGCTAGTGTCAGGTTACCGAATCTAGTTTACCAGTCATTTCAGCCAGGGTTCCATAACAGCATTCACCAAGTAAAATGGGCTCCCAATAGGTTCACGGGTACCCGTGCGTGTAAAATTTCACGGGTACCCGTGGAAATGACTAAGCAACCTGCCCACGTCAATGAACGCGTCTTGTGTCATACACCTTTCACGCGTTATTTGCATCCAGCACTTCAGTCATATATTCTTAAAAATGGAAATAGCTCTCAAAGACTCAATACTCACATTCCCAGACGACAGTCTCCCCCCTGAAAGCGATCATAAATCTCGCGATGAGCTTTTTATGTCAATCAACAACTGGGCGGCGACAAAGGGATACGCATTCACTACCGGGAGATCAACAAAGGAGAAAAGCAGACGACGGACGATTACATATTCATGCGATAGGTCGTGTCATCCGCCAAGCACATCAATAGCGCGGCAAAGGCAAACTACTAGTAGGGGGACTGGTTGTCAATTTTCCGTCCTTGCTAAGGAATCTTTGGATAAGAGCACATGGAGCTTGAGACACCGGCCCGATAAGCGTTTTTCTTCTCATAATCATCCCCCAAGCCAACATCCGTCTGCTCACCCAACGCATCGCAAGCTATCTGAGGAGGATCAAGCCAAGGTGGCCGGTCTTTCAAACGCTGGCGTCGCACCCAGGGACATCAGAACATACATACGACAAACGACAGACTCTATAGCGACCCAGCAGGATATCTACAATCATATTGCAGCTGCTAAACGAGATGTTCGTGAAGGGCAGACCTCGATCCATGCACTTGCTAATCAACTTGATGAGGAAGGCTTCTGGAGTCGCATGCAGTTTGCACCAGATGGCCGAGTTACGGCTGTCTTGTTCGCTCATCCAGATTCCTTAGCCCTTCTCCAAGCCTACCCAGACATCATGTTACTAGACTGTACCTATAAGACTAATAAGTATGGTATGCCACTTCTTGATATAGTTGGCGTCGATGCTTGCTAACGGTCGTTCTGTATTGCGTTTGCATTTCTTAGCGGCGAGGCAGAAGATGACTATACCTGGGCTTTGGAGCGGGTCAAATCCTTGTATAGTCAGTGCAACGCTAGCCTACCTGCGGTTATCCTCACAGATCGCTGCTTAGCATGCATTAACGCTGTTGCAACCATCTTCCCCTCTTCTGCATCTTTGCTTTGCCTCTGGCATGCGAACAAGGCCGTTCTTCAACATTGTAATCCAGCTTTTGACTCTACTAAGCCAAAGATAGTCAACAATCCTGCAGCGCTCAAACCTTCAACTCAGAGCTGGGAAGAATTCTATAACTCCTGGCATTCGATCATCAGCTCGCCATCTGAGGTGGTTTTTGAGGAGCGCGTTTCCCAGTTTGAGGAACGCTATCTTCTGGACCATCTCGAAGAAGTCGGCTATGTTACGTCCGTTTGGTTGAAACCATACAAGGAGAAGCTAGTGAAAGCCTGGGTCGATCAGCATACCCATTTTGGCAATGTGGCTACTTCGCGAGTTGAGGGTATTCATGCACTACTTAAATCGCACTTGAAACGATCCACATTAGACCTTTTTGAAGCTTGGCGAGCAATGAAGCATGCTTTACTAAATCAGCTATCGGATCTAAAGTCAAATCAAGTTAAACAGCAAATACGGATACCAGTTGAGCTTTCAGGGTCAATGTACGGCGCAGTGCTTGGCTAGGTATCGCATGAAGCCTTGCGCAAAGTAGAAGAGCAACGGAAGCTGCTCACGAAGAAAGACACAAATCCTTCCACAGCCTGTACGGGGACGTTTTCTCGAGTATATGGTCTCCCATGCTTACACAAATTGAAGACTTTACAAGAACAGAATCTTGTTCTTCTACGTGAGCACTTCCATGCACATTGGCATTTGAGGCGTGATGGAGCGCCGCAGCTATTGCTGGAGCCTCGCCAGCGCATAGAGCCCAGGTTGCAATTAGAGAATCCCAGTATTCCCAAATCAAGCACTAGACGAGAGCCTAGCGGGTTCGAAGTTGTTGAAGTTGCTTCACGGGCCCCAAGCAAATGCAGTAGGTGTCATACAGTTGGCCATACTATGACTTCAAAGGCGTGCCCTCTGCGATACACGCATTTATTGCCTGAACCGACACCTACTCCAGATCCAGCTACAGTATCAACTGCGATATTTACCGGGACGACGACAGATACACAAGAACCTCCTTCAAACGCCGTGCAGGACGTACCAGAGTTGGTTCAACCGACTATTGCTATAGTGGTAGAGACCAGTATATCACCACCTCGGGTATTATCACCATTTGCGCATTCGCATTCACCTTCGCTGCCAGGATACGATTCACCTCAGGCGATATACGGACGGTACTGTGCAGCAAGAAGCGCCTGGTACGGTGCTCAACCTCGTGGGAGTGTCAAAACAAACCAGGAGTATCGAAGGGCAATGGGACTTCCGCTACGTTATGACAAAAAGTGTTATGAGTAGTGTCTTGACTATAAGCAGATGAAAGGACGCTGCACTACCTCACACGGGTCAAGGGATTGGACGAAGGAGGAGATGATGGCTTATCTGGACTGGGATAGGGCTGAACACAAACGGGTCGATGAGCTGATTATTGCGGAAGATGGACAAAACCCCTTTAAAAACAGTGAGAGAGGTATGAGCGAAGTCTGGAAACGAGTCGAGCAAGATAAGGCAGAGCAGGAGGCGTTATACGCTGGTAGTAAGCCCGAAGAGTGCATCGTAGTAAAGTCGTAAACTTTCCGGATAAGTTTGATGCAGGCCGTGCCTCTCATTGGCTCATGAGCCCCATATCAGAGTTGCTTAGTCATTTCCACGGGTACCCGTGAAATTTTACACGCACGGGTACCCGTGAACCTATTGGGAGCCAGTAAAATGGTTGGCCTTAGGTAAGCGTGAGCAAAGGATATGAAGAAGGTTTACCAAAACAGTGATCAAGTATTAGGTTTCTTTGTCAGAAACAATGCTTCTGAGACGGAAGGATCCACGAGAAGACTGAGAATTACGACACCAAGGCTGTCATCACAGTCGAGGGCATAAACTTGTGACGAGTATCTGAACAGTTTGAACTAACTTATATTAGTAAGAGGGTAAGACCAATAATAACACACAGATAAAATGAAACTACTTCGTACCAGAGATCTTAAGCTTTCAACTGTTATCTCCTGCTATTGCTGCTTCGGACATTCGACTGAGTGTTACTCCGTTTATTATGAACAAGGGCCTTTTTTTACAGGGTTGATTAACGGCCACGCGCAGCGGCGTGTTTAATGGAAGAAATGATCTGATATGTCATGTTCGAAGTATCGTCCGAGCCAACTACATGTAGCTAATCACATAAATGCTTGCGCTTAGGACTGTGTTTTGGAAACTCGGAGGAACCCGAGGAGAAAAATTCGCACCATCTTGTATCGGGTCGGTGGGATATTAGCATTCAGTGCTGGCAGCTACGGAGTTTTACATCCGTGTGCTTGCTCGACGGCTGAGCGGTCTGAACTTGACTTTAGTACTTCTAAAGCCCTCTACATATATCTGAGGGTATCAAATCGCGAAACTGAGAGACGAACTAGTACTCAATAGGTATGTCAAGTTTGGGGGGTGCGTTGGGTGATGACATTAAACTTTCATAGCGTAAACTCACACAGAAGTACCTATGGGATGGGTTTTAAGAGATCAATTAGAGAATCATGTGGAGCTCCTTTTGAGAGAAAAAAAGAGCGCTTAAGGTTGAATAAGCTTTTCGTAAGTGGACCAACCTCCTTCTTTAGAGCATTCTTTTACCGACGTAGACCCTGTCAAAGTCCCATGTGTGGCCATTGTTGACACATTGTAGTAAAGACATCTAGGTTGCTTTGAACATGTATGATGATCCCGATCAGTAAACCAGGTAGAGCCGAAAGTGCTTTTGAACAGGCTGTAATAAATAACCAAGAGTGCTGGGATTTAGATGACTGACAGCCTAACTCGCTTTGAAGATCACGTATATGCCAAAAGAACATTAGGCTCCTTTAAATAATGTGTACTAATGGAATCTTGCCGATGCGGAATGAGCTTGACTACCTAAATAGGCATTTCTTTTTGCGAGCCCCTATTTTACCCGCTTGGGATGTGCTGACGGGATACGTTTGTGTTGTGGCTTTGCACTATAATATCGATACGAGTCACAATGAGACGGTTTAGAGAAGAAGGATCCCTGCTAGCGTGACAGGATACTCAGCTGGCATATTCAGTTCAGGGGCTGTATTACACCGAGAAATAACCTTTCCGTCTCGAGAGTGCTAGCAACACTAAGCACGATCTCTTCACACATCCCTGAGCTCTACGACAGCCTTATTTAATTTACTTTGAGCCAATAGGGGGCTTCTGATGTTCCGTATTGATATTCACTTGCCCACGAACAAGCCACTCTGACTGTATACGCTCCAAACCCATATGATCACACAGTTATTCGCCAATAAGCTGTGTTCACTCACTTAAACCTCTATCCCCTTGCCGCATTGCTGTGGAAGCCCCCTGAAGCATGGGTAACGTAGGCTTGTCCACAGTCAGGGGACTACATAAATCGTTTGCAAATGTTCAAAAATCGTGTACTAGTATTTAGACACCAAACTCGTGGGCTCCTGATCCGGTTAAAAGTTGAATCAGGCACGGAGTACTAGGGCAAGGTACCGCTGACAATTCGGGGATGCGTGTCATGGAAAAAGCGGTGGTTGAATTAGCGCTAATTCTATAGTCTACACTCTATGCATTTTCCGACCCAGGATGATCGAAAGCTGATGCTTCTCGTGGACCTAGCAAGCTTGAGCAGCAGGAAGGTAGCCAGGGTAACCAGCTGGTAATTTCGGTTTTTCACAAGCATTCTTGAAATTTTCAAAGTTGTCGGTGACGCAGCACTTAAGATTGCCTTTCAACTGAAACTGAGGGTCGATATTCCCCTTTACCGTTTTACAGGCGTTTATCGTCAAGGTGGCCGTCAGAGTTCCGGAGGGCTCATATCGCAGTGTGTTGCCGTTGGTTCCTGCGCACTGGAAGCGCCCTGCTTGGCTGCCCGATTCATTAGCTTCGAGTGGCGGTAACGCTAGTTGAGGATAACCAAGGCGTAACTTACGCGAGGACAGCCAGACTTGACAGAATGATGGAAGTTAGGGCAGCTTTCATTTTGATGATAGAAGCTAATGTGATTCTGAAAATCCGCTTGATGTAGTTTGGTAGACGTAATCTTCGATCTAGACAGCAGTACTGACTCTTAATAAACCTCAAGTAGGAAGAATGAGCTGCTCAAGGAGATGATATCGTTTGGATCGAGCTATAGAATGCTCTTTAAATAGTGAAGCCTCACTTACACTGATCCGGTGTATGCAATGTTGACTAGAGTAGACTAGAGTGGGCCGGAGTAGGCCGACGGTAGTGAGTTATCTTATTGGTCAATTCGGTACTACTGATTTAAGTAAAACTTTAAGCGTCTCGCCTCGTAAACTTGCACAATGATGCCTGACTCGTACATGAGACGAACTACTACTGAACTATCTTACAAATTATGGTTCATGAGACGAATGAAAAAGATCTAGCCTCTCGTAATCTAATTTACTTCTGTTAGAGTCATGCTGTATGCTTAAGTCTAAGTGGCAATTTCTCTATTTCCTGAATGTTATTGGCTAGGTACGTATGTTAAGGTTTCCGTAGATTTCAAACTGACTTTGGCTGACTGTGATGCCATATTTCCGGAACGGATGTAATTACTTCCAGTTAACGACTCTGTACAGAGGTAAGAGAATGGCAGCCTCAGCAAATCACTATATAATCCCTCACGAGCACCTTTTGCACCTAAGGGACTCAACAACATCTTTGACATTGTAGTTGCCAGCTATCTCTCGATTCCTCATAATGAAGTTAACCGTCATCCTGCCCATCATCGGCGCAGCCCTAGCTGTTGCATCTGCCATTCCAAATGACGCACTAGGTATGATACGACGCTGGATAACGTATTCTACAGCATCCGCTGACTGGATTGCAGAAAGTCGGCAGGCCAAGAGGTGCAAGATCTTCCAGATCTTCAGAACACCGGATACGACTGCGGGTGGCCGGCCAGGATTTGTCGGCACACCCCAGTGCTGCTGCCAGAATGAGCAGTGTCATGTCATTGATAGAGGCAATGGCATTAATACGTCAGCGAACTTGAACATCTTCCTTACCGGAGACTTCACAATTATCGACGTCCGCAGCCAAGACAAGGGGAAGGTTGGGTCGAACGATATTCGGGGTGCTACTTACACTGTCGCGTCACAGGGAGGTTGCACTAAATAAGGGTGGGCTGTCAACAAAGCCTGTCATCATACAGCTGCAGACCTCACCAATACTCGGAAACTATCAAGTTACCATAGCTAAGTAGTCAATAAGGATATCAGGTCACTATACTTAGTTTATATAGACCAAACGATAACAGTCAAGGTAGCAGATCAATGAGCATCGTTGCGCGTTAATTCACCTTCTTTAGTGACTACTTAATATATATCCGTACTTAAATCGCCTGGCAAACACGCCCAGAAAATTGCACTGATATTTCCCAGTGAGCTATAGCCTCTAAGCAGCAGGGGGTAGCCACACATACACTGCCACGCTGACAGGGATCCCTTCTTAACAAGCTGTTACATCGTGATTCGCATTAACCCCATAGCGATAGCTACGACATAGAGACATCCGACCGTCACGAGTAATGGACGAGACTAGTTTTCTTGTTATTACATCAAGCTTATGTAGGGAACACCGGACAAAAGGTTTATACCTCAGCTATGATAGACATTATTAGCTGTCGAGTCACCTTCCACAGCTACCTTCGAGCTGTTTTGACAATTTACGCTTATATTACTCTTACTCTACACATACACTGCATACTGGGTATGGTGCAGGAACAGACACTGCAGTTACTGTTCTTTCCTCAGCTGTAGAGGTTGTCGTCCCTGCGGAGAATGCGTTAGTTGCTGCAATCAGTGTTGGGGATGAGCTTATGTCGGGAGAATGCGCGTCCAAATTCTAGTAGTTAGATGTCAATGATCAGTCTGGTTCATCTATGTTCAATTAGCAAAAGCCTTCGCCGCTGCATTTAACGCGAGGGGCGGAGGAGCAGCACCAGGTATATCCTTTACCGTCTTAGGCCGAGATTTTGGTATTAGGGACATGGGTTCCGAGATAGACTTGTGCACAAACATAGTTGTGTGTAACTTGATGCGTGTATCGATTTTAGGTAAGGTAAGAGAAATACAAAAACTAAGTATGACATATCGGGCTATCACCACCACTGCGCCGACGGATGATCAAACCCGCCGCCAGATAATATAAGAACTCGTTGCCAACAATTCTGGACCAAACACCAAAGGGGTAAGCTGTCCAGCATAGGCATAAGGTAAGGTGGGTTCGGGTGGTTGTGGTAACAACAGAATGAGTGCCAGGAATGAGCTATCGCCATTGCAATAAGCGGTTACCCCTTACTTCTAAGAAGAACGAACGCCAGAGAGGCAAGCTCAAGGCAGGGCGCCCTTCCGTAGGGGGCACGGCTGAGCAGAGCCGGACCTTCTTTCTCAGGAGACCCGTCAGCCGTCTCAACCTGACAAATATGGAATCTCCGTTATGGCTGTTAGCTGCTAGGTGTTCTGAAATTCGTCCTGTTGCTTTCTTTCCTGCGTTACTGATGTCTCGTTTCGTGAGCTACAGTCGACGAGTCACCCGGAAAAATGTATAGAATCTCCAATGACACTATGATAACGTGCCCTTGTTCAAACGCATCCTCAAAGGCAACATGTGGATAATTGAGGTTTCGTCTTCGAGGTGGGCACTCGGAAGGAAAGGAGAAATAAATCCCAAATGTATGCAATTCAACGCCTCACTAGTCCATAGTCTATCACCCTCTTTCTAAGGAGCCTTACCTTGTATCGACACTGATGTTCCGTTGACGTGGTACAACCTTTCCACCATCCATTTACTTACTCTGACTTCCGCCCGAGATATCAAAGAAGCTGACGACAAATCCGTAGAATCCTGATATATCACGAGTTTTGTGTCTTTAAGGATCTAAAGGTCCTTAAGGCGGCGATAAGACTTCAGTACCAGACATTCGATTTGCGATTGATTGTTTCTTATTCAGAGACAGATAATAAGTATGATGCAACCTCTTGGGAACTTGTCGGGGAATAATAATGATGTCAATCTCCATTCTGATATAAAAGAATTACATCGGGGACAAGCGCTAAATTAAAGGCGACTTGGTTATTATCAGCGATAAAACGCTTCTTCAAGACAACAACGAACCTTGATTATTGAAGGATTGAAAAAGGCGCGAACAAGAATATTACTGAATCGGTCTGATACGTAACTGCTGGAGGGAACGTGGCATCTGGCAGTGATCGTAGGCAAATAAATGGTTGCCAAAACATCTGGAGCAACGAAAACAGAACTAAAGGTCTCGAATCGCCGATTTCAACTTTGACTACGGTTTCTTACTGTTGGTATCACAGGATACCCGTGAAGGGGGATAACTGATGGGGAAACTCTGTCTGTTGTTCTGTATGTCTATGGAAGAAGTTCCAGCAGAAGTGCTGGAGGAAGTGGCTGTCGGTCTTATAGCCGTCAGCCGGCGACGGAGCCACTTCAACCCGGAGTTCCAGAGTTCCGGCTATTCCACCACTTATCTCATAGAACAAGTGGCACAGTGGAGGCTCATGGCAGTCAACGAACGGAGATGCGGCATACTGAGTTTCTGCCTCAAGTCCGCCGCTGATACTTGGCAACAAAGCCTCTGATCCTGAAGGATGGCACTTACGTCCCCTCCGGCACAAAAATGGAACTTCCGACCAGCGCTATCAACTTTGATCCGTCTATATACCCAACTCCACAGAAATTTAATGGAATGAGATCCTATCGTCAATAACAAGAGGAGAAAAAATAACAAAAACATTCGTTCGTCAGTGTACATCGCACAGAGCTTGGCTGGGGCTTTGGGAGGCACGCTTGCGCTGGAAGATTCTTGGCTGATGTTGAGATCAAACTCATATTTGCCGAGTTTCTTCTTAAATATGAGATCAAGAATCCTGACGGTGAACCTCGTCACAGAAACGTCGAATTCGCAACCAACGTTCTTCTAGGCCCGACAAAAGATGTTTTAGTACGATTGCGTAAATGCTGAACATATTCGTTTTCAAGACTTCTTCCAGCATGCATAATTCGTATCACATGAAAACGAAATGTCAACAAGTCTCTCGAACGAAATTAAATCCCTCGAAAATATTAGATATGAACTTTTGGACTGTTTCTCTTTTATGAAGATATCAATTTTCTTGCTAATTTAATTGCTAGGTTTGAATGCGCAGATGTTAGCTCTTGACTTGTTCTCAATTCTATGACTCTTGTGAATGTAAGTCCTCGTTCATTCCTTTAATCACATCGATTCTAATACGACAACAGTGTAACAAATTAGTCTTTGTCGCATGGAAGATCTTGAATTGAAATAGCAGAAGTTCCATTTTAGTTCAGACCAAAAGATGCTTCTTGAGAAACCTTTCCTGTCGCTTGGTAGCGAATTCTGATCTCCCACAGCCATGCTCGCCTCCAGGAATGAAAAGAAGCTCATATTCCTTGTCAGCATCATTCAGAGCCTTAACCAACTGTAGAGTCGAAGCAGGGTCAACATTGTCGTCTAGATCGCCCACTATTAGCATCAAAGCTCCCTGTAACTTGTTCGCATGAACCACGTTTGAAGAGTCTTCGTATGACTTGTCAACCGGGTACCCCATCCACTGCTCATTCCACCAAATCTTGTCCATCCTGTTGTCGTGGCATCCTGAGTCCGCAATCGCCACCTTGTAAAAGTCGGAATGGTGAAGAAGCGCAGCGACAGCATTCTGTCCACCAGCTGAAGCACCCATCACACCAACCCGAGATGTGTCCATCCAGGGACGCGTCTTCGCAGCGGCCTTTATCCATGCAATTCGATCCGGAAAACCAGCATCTTTGAGGTTCTTGTAGCACACGTCTTGAAACTTCTTCGACCTCCAATTTGTCCCCATCCCGTCAAGTGCGACGACAATGTATCCTTGATCTGCCCATTTTCGATACCTAGAGAGGCTAGAGAATTTCTTAGGAGTATGAAAGTCGTGGGGACCGGCGTAGATATCCTCAAGAACAGGATATATCTTGGAGGAGTCGAAATCGGATGGTCGGATAATGATTCCGTAGATCAATGTCCTGCCATCGCGCCCCGGAGCTTCGAATCTCTCAGGAGCTACCCAGCCGTCCTGGACAAGCTGGCTGGTGTCATTATTTTCTGCCCTTAGGTGCAAGACTAACTCCCCGGTCTCCATGTCTCGTAGAGCGGATTCTGGGACAGAGTCCACACGTGACCATGTGTCAACAAAGTACCGTTTAGCTGGGGAACATGCCCATATATGTGTTCCGTCACCTTCAGTGAGAACTTTAAACCCACTCCCATCAAAGTTGACATGAGCCATGTGTGCGTGGTACGGATCCTGACTAGCTACCATGCCGTATCCTTCAAACCAGATCTCCCTTTTATCTTCGTCAATAGATGTCACAGAGTGGACGTTCCACTCCCCTTTTGTTATTTGATTTTTCAGTTCTCCGGTCGTCAAGTCAAATAGGTACAGGTGGTTAAACCCATCACGCTCGCTAGCCCATATCAGCTCGTTGGTCTTCTTGAAGAATCGATGGTAGAGCTTGGAAGAATAATCGATGAATGTTCCGCTGCTGTCTTCAACAAGAGCCTTTACATTGCCAGATATGTTGATGCCGATGACGCGAAGGGTTTGATGTCCGCGTTCATTGAACACGAAGTAATATTCGGAGCCGTCGGAGTTCCAGCCGATATTCTGAATTTTGTACGGGTTCTTGAATACGGCGTCGTCGGTGGGGACTTCTGACTTATATTCTAGGCTGAACAGCCGAGGCCTGTCGACCCGAACACGGTCACCCGGTTTTAGATACCGAACGGTCCGCACTTTTGGCTGAAGCTGGTCGGCGGGGGCTGATTCCCTTAGATGCAGTTTGTGTTCCTCCTCAGGAGTGAATTGCCAAACAACAGCAAACTTCAGATCGCGGGACGTGAAAATCCTAGAGCCATCGTACTGATTTTCCACTGTGTCATTGGAAGATACTGGCGACTTTGTACCATCAGGATCCGTGGCCCATAGCTGATAGTCTTGAATAAACAGTAAGTCGGAAATTTTCGGGTTGGTCTTTTTCTCCTTCTCTTCTTCTTTTTCCTCTTCTGTGCATTCTTTCTCATCTTGGCAAGCTGCTTCTGCCATGGTATTGTCGTCAATTACAAGAGTGTCTTTGCCTCCATCAATCGCAACAAATATTGCTTTCACATCTTCTGTTTTGTCATCGACTAGTTTCCAGACATGTTCTGTTATGGTCTGCTGTCGATCAACTTTTCCTGTACCTATTTTGTTATAAAAAATGGGCTTCCCATCCCAGCCGATCCAATACTTTGACAGAACTCCACCAGTCTGGTTGACAAAGTTTACTGCTACATGCTGATGTTTTCGCCGCGAGGGACGTTCCTTGGTCAGCAACTGGCGTTTTGATTGTTCGAAGATGCCATCCCATTCTTTGAGAGTGCAATCGGACTCGTATGCCCATTTCTTTCCATTGCAAGTGAAACGGGTTGACGTTCCATCAGGGGAAAGGTCAATCCAGGTGAAAGGCAACTTATGAGATTCGACATCTTGAATGCCTTGTTGTCTTAATGCTTCTGCAAGCTTGGTATGGTCGAAGGCGGGCTGGCGCTTCTTACTCGCAGCATCCACGAACACAAATTCGAATTCTTCGGGTGACAAGTAACGACGATACCAGAAAGTGTTGCCACCAGGAAGCCAATGAGGTGAGACGGTTGCCCTGTTGGTGTATATGTCCTCTATTTTAGGATTATCCATCTTGCGGTCGGTTATAGAGAACAATAAAAGAGAACGGGAAGACGCTGTCAGCAATCACAGTTAAGGGCATAGGTGAGATTTAAGTAGCTCTTCTGGTAGCTCTGCTGCCTGCAACTCCGCCTTACATCGACTACCTTACCTACATGTGTGCCGATCAAAGCCGATAGGTCTATTGACTTGGACGACGGAATGCACGTTGCTAAACCGAGTTACTCGTATCATATTGCAAGAATTGAAGGCGTTGAGTAGACCAATCATATCACCAACACAAATCGACAATTCCCTAAAGGTTGTCGCATGACTTCAGCCATGATGCGATCCTCCAATATCCTCTGCAGGGATCTTTAGTCTAATTGTAATTTACCGACTGAGCCGTCCGCTCAGCGGAGATCGGCCGGTTGCGCGGAAAACAGGGAGTGAACGGCCCCGCATTTGACAAAAGTTTCAAACAGGAGCCCAATGACCGGCTTGTGGTTGCCTCAAACCTCTTCCTGGTGCAGAACTGTTACGCGCATAATGCCGTTGAGAGGAAACAAACGCGCTGCAAATACAAATACTTTGGCAGCAGGATCAAACCCCCAGAAAGGTACAATCTTTGCTACACTCCATACTGCCTTGAAGGCTGACATCTGGCAGGTTGCGCAAACTGTGAGCGACGTCGAATCCGTTGTGATTTGAAGCGACCAACATGCCACAAATGCTCTAAGAAGGGCCTAGAATGCCCTGGCTACAACCGTCAGCTTCGATGGGTAAACGGTGTAGCTGCCCGAGGGCATCTTCGGGGCCAGTCGGTTCCAACTAGACCACCTCGCTCCGAACCCTTGCAAGCACCAGCTCTCGCAAGCCATTATCCACCTGGAATGAATTTAGAGCGCAAAGACTCAGATGGCGGATCCATAATATCCTCTTCAGGGCCCGGTCCAGTTGGCTTCACAAAAGCTCTGGGCCTAGATCTGCCAGCACCGAGTATGCATTTCGTGGATTACTACAGAAGCAACCTAGCAGGTCTTATGGTCTGGTTAGACTCTGAAGAGAATGATTACCGAAAACGTGTTGTACCACTCGCCCAGCTAGTTCCGGCCATCGGATTCGCAATCATGGCATTTGCGGCGCAGCACGGGGCGACGACCTTTCTTCATGAGGATATTGCAACTATTGCCCAAGGCGCCCGTGACAAATGTCTGCAGCTGATCCAGCACCGTGCTCAAGAAATGACCAACAGACTTATCGGAGGCCAAGACTTGAATAATGATTCTGATATAGCGGATGCTGAATGGATGTTGGCATCCATTCTCATCATCACCAACTATGAGAATGCTCGGTGCTGTCCTGAGGTCGCCGACGAACATAGGCGAGCCGCTCGGACAATCGTTAACTTGTTTAAGGGCTCTACAGCAGTAGAAAGCCGGGAACTCTTTGCTTTTCTACGCAATCAGCTTGCAATTGACGGCGTGCTGGCGGCCACCACCTCATTTAACCCTTCTCTCATCAGGGACGCAATCACGCCTGGTCCAGGGTCAGATTCTCTGTTGTTTTCCAAGTATCTCACCTTCCTTCACAAAATTACGCTCACGACCATCGAGTCTGCGGATTTGACCTGGCCTATCCATCCTGGGAGAGACAGCCTCACCTTAAGGATGGTTCAATCCGAGTTTGAGCAGGCACGAGGAGCGACGCTGATAGCGGCGGGAAAACTTGGCCTGGAAAGATCCTCATTGACTTCCGACTTCATTCGCCTGGTGGGGGTGTATCATAATGCTGGGCTCTTGTACTCGTTTAGATGTCTTGGATGTACAAACAAAGACAGTGCTGAGTGGACGACGGCATGCAATAATTTGTTCGACCAGCTTACAGGGTTCGAGGATCAAACCGCATTCATTCAAAACCTGCCCTGGCCGGCGTTCATCGCCGGAACGGTGAGCCATGGAGATGAGGAGAGACAAAAGACAGTCCTAGCATTGTTCACTGCCATTCATCAGGCGACTAAATTCAACCATTTCCTTGACGCGGTCAGCTTTTTGAAGGACTTCTGGTCCGGAACGAATGATGACTGGCGTCCTCTTGCGAAGGATAGGGAAGTTTCTGGCAAAAGAATTATTGTTTCTTGAGTAACGACGGAATATCTTGGTTCGCACATACGAACAAGCTGTCTTGCACAGCCCTCACGTCAATCACCTCAAAAGTCGACGGTCTCCTCATCCTCAACCCCAAAAAGGACTCTCATAGGGTCCTGATACTTCATGAACCCAACACCAGGCTCACACAAACCGTAGCCTAACAGTCTCTGGGCCTGGGGTTTCATTTTTCTGACCTTCTCTAAGGGAACCATGAGAAACTGGTTCTCCGCGGGGCGTAATGTTGGCTGGCACAAAAAGATCCCAACAGTTTCCCGGTACTCATCTCTATCAAAACGACGCATCGATCAGTACATAACTTGGAGAAGCTTCGCCGTAAGCGCCGGTTTGATTGAGGGAAAACTCACTTGGTGATGTTCCCGCCGCCTGCGTGATAGGTATTTCCAAGGAAGATCAGCGCATCTCCGGGCTCAAGCTCAGCTGGAACAGTCTCGGAATCCAGCGGTCGACGTTCCGGCCCCCAGAGGTGCGATCCTGGAATGACAACGGTAGCACCGTTGGCAGCTGTTGTCTTGGTCAACGCGGTTACGCAGCCAATCATTACCGGGAGTGTCTTGTCATGGGGGTGGTAGTCGCTTCACATCACATCAGCCTCTTGCAAATCTCCAGACGGGGATGGGTCGCTTACTTATCATCGCGGTGCAAAACCTGTTGTGTTCCTCCCGGATTCACTCTGAATCCAACTGTAGAGGAAATAATCGGCTTTCCGCTAACCGTCTTCTGTTGATCGCCTCTCCAGAAGGTATATGACGAAGAGACGAGCATGTTTGCGACGTCGGTATAGAGCTTGTTACAAGCGAGTTCTACACATCCATCTGAGATACCCAACAAGCCGGATGCCCTTTGGGTGGTTGGCGGAAAGAAGCCGTACTTATCCGGAATGTCCTCGTCGAAATATGGTTTCAGGTCTTTTTTAATGGACGCCGCTAGCTCGCGGGGGATCAGATTCTCGACAATGACACCACCATCACGCTTGATGATATCGGCCAGCGCCTCAGGAGTGGTTGCAGGGTCCGTAGCGTCGTAACGGGCAATACAAGGATGAGCGCCGGATTCTTTCATCATGGACATGATGTTTGTGGTTAGTTGATATGTTCGGGCGAAAAAATCCTTCATGAGCTGCTGGAATAGTCTCTTTATATAAGTATTGATCTCGCCTTGGATCTGTTATCTTCATGTTTGTATCTGATGAACCCTAGCACAGAAACGCGTTTCAATTCTAGATTCTCAACATAATGCCCATCTTGGGAAAGTTTACTGGGGTCACAAACACACCCGTGAGTGGGCTTCGCCGCTTGCTGTTAGTTCAGGGAGGCCCCCTGCAAGTACATTGGCAACGTCAGGGCCACTACAGGATAGTTCACCTCCACTCTCTCATTCGCACCTCACCCACTCAGTCACCGTGAAGTGGCTGCTTGGTTCGATAAAATGATGTTGGACGGGAGCTAAGGAAGAGAAGGGCGAGCATGGTAAACGAAACAACTGTATGTTCACCCGCACTACCTTCAGCTCGAGAGTCCCAATAGGTCTTCTTTTGTACTAGAGTGGTGGAACATCCTGCTCTGGTCACCTGCTACAATAGTACAGGGCGAGCTCATAATAGGGTGCGACCTGGGATCAGGGGCTAGCAAACTGTTGGACTGCTTAGCTTGTTGAATGACTGGTCTTGAACATCAAGCCCTCTGCACAATGGTTCGAGTTCGACTTCATGCTGCCATAAAGGACGTGCACAGCCAGCAGCAGTGCTTCTGTTGCTAAATGTTCTAAAGTTTTCCGTTGGATGCATAGGCCTGAGACTATTCTTAGAATCTGGTACCATTACAGTCCCCAGATCCAAGGTGCAAAATACCGGAGGATGAACTCGGTGACGTTGCGGATGCAATCCACAACGACATCAGTTAACCACCTTGCGACAATAACTACGACAAAAAATGGCTCTCAGCACCGGATCTCAAATGCAAGAGAATCCGGTGGACAATGCAGTGGAGGAGACAAGGAACGGTGAACAGTTTTGGTTAAAAGGTAACTACCACGAAAAGCTGAGGTCACTGATTCATCTGATATCCACCCCTCCACCCCTGCTCACTAGCCTTAAAGATGTAGCTGATTGCGCACTAACCCAATATGGGCATTATTTTGAGAATTGTCCAGCAACGTGGATCCTGTGGGGAGCCTGTTCAGGTGCATCTCAATCATCCACCAGTCGAGGGTCGTACAATGCGAGTTAAGCAGGGTGAGCTAGGCACTTCTACAGAATACTGGTCAATAAAGCAGAACTTTTATTGCTATCGATAGATATTACTAATGCATTAGTGATTTGTTAATTTAGCATTACTACATATTTACCTCTCACAATTAACAATGAATTGATTTGTATGTTCGTGTAATGGGCGTCCGAGTCGAACGACACCATTATCGTCACCCGGATTCGCTTCTTGAAGGTAGTGCAGAGCTCAGAGGTTACGTCAGTAATTATTTGATGTAGGTTAAGCAGTAACTTAAGACAGTCTCAGGGATGATTGGTTCCTACCTACCTAAAGTAACTATTATGTCAGTGTAGGCAACATTTCAAACAATCTACATTTGCACGAAGTATCAATTCTCTCAGGCTTTTTACCAGCGTCGACTTCGACAACGAGGTCTTCCATTTACTTAAACTAGGTCCGAGTATCGAGTCCTACGATATCTGTCGCCGTCCCAAATCCACTGAGACGGGAAGTGTATTGAACGAAGTGACCTGCTTTGGGCACATCAGAGGGTTCTTAGGACCAAAAGTTGCTACAATCAATGAATCATGCTGTAGGTTTCACAGGGGGTGAAACGGAATTCCGTTCGTCAATAACAAATAACAGTAAATTGGTTCTAATCGATGGTTCATGATAGTTGAAAGTGGTGTTGTTGACTAGAAGGTGGGGATATTCCCCCTTGGCCTGTCACGTGGGTCTGGGAGGCTTGGGCCTCTCAGCCTGGCGGGCGTGTGGCTGGAAGTGCCACACGACTCCGTATTCCAACTATCGCAACACATGCCCTCCTTTTACTTGGACCTTCTGTGTTGTACTTTGAATGAACATCCGTCCTACATCTAAACTGGGCAGCGGCGAGTGCCGCAAGATTCTTTGTTCCCTGATCATAAGCTTTCCTTACTCTGATTTGAACTTTGTCTTAATGTGATCAGACTAGAATAGGATGATTGTCCCTCAATAAATCTACGTGGGTGTCACTTGATTAAGAAATCGAGGAACATTGAATTGGACGAATAAAAAATCGTTTACTTATATTGAAATACCATTTCAGTCTCTGGGTTTGTGTCGAAAATCTTGAGAAAATTGCAATGGAGTATGACTCCATTATGATGATTACTGAGAGGGCATATCTCTCCCATTCACTTCAACCTTTACCTCTACAGCCTTTTCACGAATACACTCACAAGAGAAAACTCCTCAACAGTTGGAAAAGAATCCTTCTTTTCTAAGTCCGTAAGGGTATCTCGTGATCCCAACTTTGTGGTCGATTCATATCTGGTTAAACATCTTACATTTTACCACCTGAGAAAGTCATGTGTTTAGGGCCTGGGAATTTTCGAGGTGAAGAATAAAACAGTAGGTGAGGTTCTTCATTCATGGCTCTTATTCCCTCAACGCCCCCTTGATTGCCGTAATTTCGTCAAAGAAGGCATAAAGCTACTACGTAGTACTAGGTCAGGTATTCTTCGATTGAAGGCATTTAGTTTGCGGACAGCGGAGCGAGCGCATTGCGCACAGCCCAAAACCTTAACAACTTGGGCCAGCACGCCACCAAAGTCCGCAAAGGTGGAGAAGACCTGCCGGCCATTATTTCCTGAAAGAAAGTCCGCAGAACTCCCAAAAAGGCAAGTCCGCAAGATTTACAGTGTAACAGGGCCTGCAACACGCTAAAGGCACTCATCTTGCTGTAAGTATCCAAGATGTTGAAGCACGTGGGAACTCACTACCATCGTTTCGCATAGGAATACCATTTTTCTAGCGGAAATCATATTTCAGCGGAAAGTAAAGGTGGGACTTGACGTTTGATCTAACCGGCGTCTTAGCGAAGACAGCGAAGACTGACATATGGACCCTGTTCAGCCCCCTTAACCTCAACTGACAACTAAGTATAAAGAGCCTCGACAGCCAGATGAGATGGAAATTCTTCTCAATCTCATCACTTCATAAGCAAACAAACATCTACAACTACTTCTTCCATGCACATCACTTATAAACATTTCATTGTATAACGTCCAAAAGCAAAATGTCTCCTTCTACCCCCATCCGATTTGATAACCGCGTAGCCATCGTCACTGGCTCTGGTCGTGGCCTTGGGCGCCAGCACGCGCTACTTCTGGGTAGCCTTGGAGCCTCCGTAGTCGTCAACAGCACCACTCCGCTTACGAGTCAAGCCACCGTCGATGACATTGTCAAAGCTGGCGGTAAAGCTGTCGCATGTGTTGGTAGCGTCTCGGACGAAGCTGTTGCCAAAGCATTGGTCAAGAAGGCCATCGACACTTTCGGTCGAGTCGATATCATTATCAACAATGCTGGTACCTATGAATCGATACCGTATGATCAAACTACTTCCGCTGGGCTGCGCAACATGCTTGCCATTCATGTTGAAGGATCGGACAATTTGACGCGTGCAGCTTGGCCCTACATGCAGAAGCAGAAGTATGGCCGAGTTGTCATGATCACGTCTCATACAATCTTTGGTATGGCTGGCACCTCCGCCTACGCTGCCGCCAAGCTTGCCGTTGTTGGTTTGGCCAAGACCCTTGCTGTCGAAGGAGAACCGTACAACATCCACGTCAACGCTGTTGCTACCACAGCCTTCACGGATACGACTGAAAAGAACTTGCCCAACGAAGAGTTCCGACAATTCATGAAGGCAAACTTGCCTTCTTCGGAGCCGGCACGTGCAGTAGTATGGCTCACACATGATGATTGCAAAGCAAACGGGGAGACCCTTGGTGCCCAAGGGAAAATTATAACTCGCATTTTTCTGGGAGAAACCAAGGGTTACCAAGGCTCGCCTCAGGATAAATGGGATGTCGAGACTGTCAGGGATAACTGGGATCAGGTGGTCGATGAGAATGAGTATGATGCACCCCCCAACGGTAATGCCCTTGGCACGGTGCTCTTCCAGAGATTCTCTGCTGGCTCATCCTAAAAACGGGATAATTGCTTGAACTTCACAATGGGGTTGTAACTTTTGTCTGTAGCCATCATTTATGAGCTATCTGTATCAACTGAATCGATATAAACATGAAATACTAAGCTGCCTTTTTTGTCCTTTATCAGCCTTACGGACTAACAATCTCAAAAGACCGTGACACACAATGAGTTTGATTAATTCCAATGGCACTGTCTCTTTAAGCTGCTTAGTCATCCCTACTTTGAGCAGATACTCCACCCAACTTCAAAGACAACTGTGTTGATAGTAGTTCTCTAAGACGTCCTTGGATACCTCTCACCTCAGATGTGTTGTAATGCAGCGTCACTTCCTGTCAGCGTACTTCATCCTTGTTGCTACTACAAGCTAGTCTTTCAGAAGCAGGGTCGCACACTCTGGGCATGGGCAGTCTCTGGCGCCTTCAGTTGTTTCGAGATCGCAGCAAATTCATTATTTAGTACTAGGGTAGTAAGAGAAAGCACAAATTTATCTCACCTCCTCCCAACATGGAATTTAAGTAAGATTTCCTGCATCAGCCAAGTATATGACGAAGGGCCTTGGACACCTCCTTATCAAGATAAAGAAGGATGTCTGAGGCATCTTTGCGAGTTTCCTAATAAGATCTGATGCCAAAGTAAAAAAAATTTGGTGAGCCACCCGAGTTGCAAGAATTCACTGCAACAGGAAGGAGCCACTGCCTCCTCATTTGTACGCCCCTTCCTGCTCAATAACTTACCTGGGGGGCTTCTCCCAAGCCATTTTCATTTGGCATTTGAAAGAAAAAGACAAATCACATTTCCATGTCACATCACAAAGTAATTTGGGAAAGAGCAGGCTTTTACAAACATCGTCACATGCCGTTTCCATAATTAGCAGCAGCCCAAGTTAAGTGTGTGAATTTCTGTCGCAAATGTGCTTGATTAATTTCACTAAGGTATTAATATCTATTCTTCGTGAAAACTGATTCATTCTGTTTGTACCTAATTTCCAGTAAGACGTGAATGTAGTAGTAGAGTGTGCACCCGTGAAGAAGGTAATTATGGGTTTTTGCGTCTACCGTATCACTTCCGCGGATCCTCAAACGCCGTAAAGTCAACCAAGTTCCAAACCAATATCGACAAGTCTCTCAAACACGGGTGAGATCTAGTTATCTTTGGCGTCGTCCAGCCACTCCTCGACAAGACGAATCTGTTGAAGTTCGGAGAGGTCTTCCTGGACATCGTCTTGATGCTGGCCACAAAGAGCAAGGAGGCGGGCCCGACACCAATAAACAACAGTTGTCCAGTTCCACTTGCCAACGCGTTCTAGCTCGTTGGAGTCATAGTGGTCGGCGACAATTTCCTTTAACTCTTCTAGGCTAAGGTCGCCATCGTGATCAACGGAAGTAGCAGGGATCTTCTGGCCTTGCTCATCGATCCAGAAGAAAGCCAGTTGGCCATTAGCCTGGAAGCTAGCTTTGAACATAACAGGATGGCCAGCCCGTCGGTGAATAGGTACAGCACCACCTTTGGTTTTGATGGGCGCATCCTCATTCAGAGTGCCAACAAATACACCAGACTCGTCGTTGGTGCGCTTGGGAAGAGAGGCAGGAGCTGGATTGGCCTTCTTGGTGGTCCAGCCATTCTCAAAGACCTTGACCCACAGGTCGGCTCGAAGTGAATCAATGGTGGGCGCATTAAGAGGGTAGTTTCGCTGCATAAGCGTAGTGAGAATAGCATCACACATATGCTTCTGCTCCTTGGTGAGGTTTGCAATGCAAGTAATTACAGCCATTTTGTCTGTCTGTACCGGCGTTAGCCTTCGGGTATTGTGCTGTATGCAAAGGACCGGACAGTTGTGATTGAATTGAAGGACAGCAGAGGCGGAGAGAAAGTGTGTGATGAAGATGGTTTCTCAGGTGTGTAGAATGCTGAGTTTGGTGTTTTTGTGACGTTAACCAATTTGTGAAAAGGCTGGTATTGGTGTTTGTTTGAATTGTGAGGAAGTGAGTGCGAATCCGTTGAGTGATGGATGGGCCTTCCGAATTCGAGAAAGAGAAGTAAAATGGCCAGTCTTTATACTAGATTTGATTAAGGCTGCCTGGCATGAACTTCTGTGAGAACATTAGCAACATGAAGGTATAACGAAAAAGAGACAGAACAGCAGCCATGTCGGGTGCAGAACTGTCAGACTGTACCATCACAACGAGGTTCAATTAGCATTACAAGCACATTCTATATCAAACCAATGTTACAGAAGATGATTCTCTGTGTTCTGGTTATTACATACAAACTAATCAATAGTTATATGCTTGTTACGCAACAATACATGCTATTGATCAGCCCTTTCATGATCGGAGCAAGGCAGCCCTAGCAACACAAAGTCAAAATCGTGAATAATGTCTTCTTCAAATCGAACCTGAGCTTGACAATCTAGTCTTCAAACTTCCAACACAATATTGCTGTCCATTGATTAAGCACAATATCTTGTATATACAACTTTTCCAGCTGTTCAAACTCCGTCGTCAGATTTGGTGATGCCCGAGCGGAGCGATCGCAAACAAACCTCGTGATGCCTGAGTGCTGCTGTGGGATCAATCAAATTTTCATCCACCCACTGGGCCACGAATAGGGCCCGCGGGGTGGCTGTTGACTTGGGAATTCCCTACCGACAGTCAGATGGCTGCCAACATATCACAAACATGGCAATCTGGTATGGAACACATTTTTTTCATAGTGTCAATGAGAAAGGTTACTCAGTTCAACCGAGGAAAGGAAAGCGGTTAGTCAGTATGTATGTGCTAGTATTTGGATCCAAATAATTCGTGGTTAGCTTGTCAGGTTGCCGCATTACGAATCTCTGAAGCACCACGACAATCTGAATTATGGAGGGAAAGTGTGTTGAGCATGTGATATAAAGTTTTACATTGCATTACTGCCATCGTTTTGCAACAATTCTAATCGATAAAAGACTGCAAAATGGTAGGCAAGAGCAATATTGGAATCTCTCGTGAACCAATTTCGCATCTACTCGCTGGGCATTTTGGCATAATGGGGTGTGATGGTGATGGCCCTATCGCTGCACAGATGTTCTTCTTCAAAGGAATCGGTAGCCAACCATTAGTGACGGAATAAAAAGCTGTAATTACGCTATTATCACGTAGAAATCAAATCTTATATTTCTATAGTATCCAGAACCGCTTTATTTTAATATTCTTTCGCTTCAGAAGATCATTGACTTAAGCACTCGGAGAGCGATATCGCCGGGCACCCACTATGCAATCTCCACGGACAGCATCAATTTATCAAAACACTAGATGTTTCTAGGGTAAAAAGATATGACTTCATATTGATTCGAGTCTTTTTCAGATAACACTTTTGTTTGTGGGCAGAACACTGTCAGCACAGGCTCGTAAGTGGTCGGAAAATGCTTGATTCCACTATGGCTGACCACTTAAACAGAGAAATCAACAGAATGGTGAGATCGACATGTCCCTGAGTTCATTGATAGACGTTCTTTCAACAACATATTGTAAAGTCCTGCCTTTGTATTTCACAACGGCAATGTAACCTTTATCCCCGCCCGCCTCATTATACGCCCTGGCCGTAGAGAGCCATATTGTACCTTTGAAAGAATATTCACTGAATGAACTTTGCCTTTGTTAACTCGCTCTTATTTCTTACTAAGAAACCCTTTTGGATACCTCATGCCACAATCCCCAGCCCTTTCGCCATTCCCGAAAGTATCTCGTACAAAGCCCACGCACCAGGATCAGGTAACTCCTGCCCCGCCGCCTCTCCGACGTAAGTCGCCCGGCCAAACCTTGCTTTGAGATACCTCGTGGCCTCCGCCTTCTCAGCCGCCACCTTAACGGAAGCCCCGAAGTCTGCAGTTTTTGCAAAGCTGTCCGTAAATGGGATCAAAACATCCATAACGGTACGGTCACCTTCTCTCGCTGGCGTGTGGGACTTCAAAGACTCCACAGCTGATGCGAGAGACTTGGCGTAGAGGGCAGAAGACGAACCGGCAGCAACATTGCCATTTTCTTGTGCGTTGGCCCTGAGGGACGAGGCAAAAGCAGACAGCAGGATTCCTAGAATGGCACCCAGAGTGCCTCCCATGTCGTCTACGGCGTCGATGGTAGATTCCAAAAAGTGAAGGACTGAACCGCTCTTCGCAACGCCGTTGTCCAGGTTACGAAGCAGCGACTCGCAGAGACCCTTGACAGCCTCTCCGCAGTCGCCATCGCCCATAACCATGTCCCACTTTGTCAAATTCGGCTCTGCTGCAATCGCGCTTTCGCAACCTGATCTCACTGAGCTCTCAATCAACTTAGGATCAGCCTGAATTTTAACAGTCGACTTGGCGTCTGCTGCGTTGTTCTCGTCTGCGTGACCGTTAACAGCAACGCCATTCGTCTTCTCGTTGTTCGCGGTCGGGCGAATGATATTAGGCCATGATACAGCTGTCGTTTGGCGGTCAAGAAGGTTCAGCAACTCTTCTGCGCTCGTTTTCGATTGCCTGGCTGCCGCCGAGATGTTCACCAGGGAAATAGAGAAGCCAGGCGCGTTCAGGGAGGTCTCGAAAGCACCGGTTAGTGTACGGCTAGGCTTGATGTTCCACGTTGAGGCCAACTGTGTTTGGACCTCGTCCGTAAGCGCGCCTAGTTCCAGGACGGAGAGACCGCCGTAGTTGTTGATGAGTAGGGTGACCACGTCATCTTTTTCAAAGGTGACAAATGCCCTTTCAGCATCAGCCGGGTCGCACACCAACTTCAGCATTTTCTCAACCAGGTCCTTCACAGACGGGAAAGGAGACAGCAGCTGCTGCGCAGGTTCATTGTGGATTCCAGCACCGAGGGCACAGGAGTCCTCCGCAATGGAGTGGAACTGCCTGCCAGGCACATGGCAGTGGTCCAAGGCAGAGCCTATCGACACAGTCTGGTCATTGACTGCCCTGCCGATGTCGACGCACCTCTCGAAGGAGTACTTCTCAGCTGCTGCTGCGGACAGAATCTTCATGGCTGCAATTTTATCAGACTCGGTTTCTTCTTGCAGAGAGGCAAAGTAGGAGAATCCTTACTGAAGATGTGGCCGGGCATTCCTCTTCTGCCCACCCTGCTGCTCCTGCTCCTACCAATTGATACATCGTCTGTGGCGGGGAGGACGACAATGTTATCCGAAATTCCAGCAGCCTTTGCCCTTTCGGCGGCGAGGCCGAAGTGTAGGCGATCTCCAGTGTAATTTGTGATGAGAAGAATAGTACCGGCGTTTGAAGGAGCTAGCCTCATGGCCTCCAAGACCTGCTTCGTGCTCGGAGAGGCAAAGATGTCACCACACGCAACTGCCGAAAGCAGACCCTCGCCGACAAATCCGCTCCATGCCGGCTCATGCCCGGAGCCGCCACCGCCGATAATGCTAACGGTTGCAGGGTCATTGTGGGAATTTGCGACAACACGGTCAGCCTCGCTGAGGGTAAGGTGAGGGTTGGCTGAGACGAGAGCACGGAGGGCTCTCGGGACAAGCGTATTCGCTGCGGTATCAGGGAAATAATGCTTGGTCGCCATGGTTACGTGGTATAAGGGAGGAAATTATCAAAATTGCCCTTCAGCTATTGCTAGAACGGCTGCAACTCCTGGATATAAGGAGTGCGATGGGGATACCGAACCGCATGGCATCGTTGCGAGGTTTCTCGCATGCCGTCCATAGGCGCAAGACATTGAAGCGCAACGCGCCTCGATTCCATGCAATATTATCCATAGGTAGTCTTCGTCTCTGCAACGTCGCGGCTATTCTGTCGATATGTGAGTCCGCTGGCTGGGGATGACAGTGAAGCTGGGACGTGGCCCCGAGACGCGGGCTTCACCCCGAGCCGCGGACTACCCCCTTGTTTTACGCACGAGACATCCAACTTTTTCGATTTTTCTGGGGGTGGTTCGTTTTCCCCGCGCGCAGTTCCGATCAAGACCCCAGTTCGACTCCGCAATTAATGAGTAGCACAACATAATCGGACAAGTGCCGACTACTAATTCACGAACTACAAGCCGAAAGGGAGTTAGGGATGTCAGTTACATAGTATGCTCCGCTTCTAACGGAAATAACCGCCACGACTTCGCATTTCCTCTGGGTCACGAGTGATCCCCGGTTACACCCCAGACTCCCAGACTCACACAGACTCTACGGTGACTGAAACTGTAGATCCTAAAGTGCTGTTTCGTCAAATCTCATCTCTAGCCCCAAAGGTTTAACCAATTAACCCCCCCAGTTGAGAGCCCGCGTCTCGCAGTCTTTATGCTGGACTCCCGCATGCAAGGTTTCTCTGTACATTTGGGACGACCGCAGCCTGCCATGACCTCATGGACGGAAGACAGAATGCACCCGCAGCACCAAAGAAGCGCGTCAGAAAGCCCAGGGGTCGCGGTTTGCGCACCAAAACGGGCTGGTGAGTTGAACCTAGACCTCCACCTCCAGCGGTCTCGAGGCGCGATCACTGACTGACCCGCGCGAAATTTGCAGCTTGACATGCCGCGAACGGCACAAGAAGTGTGACGAAAAGCAGCCGGTATGTGGCCCATGCAGCATCTCGTCTCGACATTGCGTCTTTCCCCAGATCGCCCAAGATGCAGGCGGTAAGCAGGCGAGCCCAGCCGCCCCGGTGGTGGCCAACTCTCCTCGGACGCGGTATCGTCGCGCTGCGGATGTACAATCTCGCGTAGATCAGGATGCAGCGAGGAACTCAGCAGCCGAGTCCACTACTCCTGTGTCCCTCGTGACGCAGACCTCGGTGCCACCGTTGACCCAGTCACCACGCGACTTTGAGGCTACCCAGTCGTTGTACGCGAGCCAGCCGCCCGTCTCGGCAGGGCTGACGCTCGGCGATGTGTACAGTTACTCCCCCGAGACCGTCGCATCCGAGCTGTGGACCACCGACCTCGCCTCGACCCGATGGCTCGGCCTGCTCGCTACGGACGCCGCGCAGGCTGACAGCGGCTTCTCGCTGGCCCCCAGTCCCGCTCCGGAAAATGAGGAGCAGCGACGTGCGGCCTCCTTGCACGGCCCACCTGATGCGGGCAACCTGGAATCTCGTCTCAACGATGTCTCCGACCCGGAAAGAAAAGCCTGGCAGGCGGACAGGGACATCAGCTTGACCAACCGCGAGGCCGTTCTCTTCCGGCACTTCACCGAGCGATCTTCGCGTTGGCTGGATTTCTTGGATCCTTTCATGCTTTTCTCCACTTATGCAGTCCGCTTGGCCTTGCGGAATGCAGGTCTCATGAATGCCATCTTGGCTTTGTCGGCCAAGCACCTCTCCAAGTTGGAAGGGGCGCACTCGGGCCGGGATACGGCTGGTGGTAGTCCTGCACAGGAATCTGGCGGCGAGTGGATTCGGTACTACTATGAAACCCTCCGCTACGTCCAGGAAGCTCTAGCTTATACCAGCTATACCAATTCGGAAGAACTAAACGCCACAGCCATTGTCATCTCGGCTTACGAGATGCTCGATGAGTCGGATGGCCGGGGAAATTGGCAGAGACACCTGAAAGGCGTCTTCTGGATCCAGCGGTCTCAGGATGTCAACGGGTCGTCCGGTGGCCTTCGTCAGGCAGTCTGGTGGGCTTGGCTCCGTCAAGACATTTGGGCCGCCTTCCGAGAGAAGAGACGATGTCTAAGCTTCTGGGCTCCGTATAAAGAATACCATGAACTAGATCAGAACGGCCTCGCGCACATGGCCATCTATCTCCTCTCTCAGGCTGTAAACTTTTGCGCCGACTCCCGCTTGGCGGATGCGTCACCTGCGCCAGACGCGTCTGCCGTGGCCAACAGATCTCGCACTGGGAGCGAACTATTGGCCAATTTAGAGCGATGGAGGTCATATCTGGGCAGCGAATTTAAGCCTCTCCCAACGTCGACTAACCCTTCTGACGTCTTCACTCCGCTCTGGGTTCATCCTCCCCAATTCGGCGTTGCTCTTCAGGCTTACTGTTTCGCACGTATACTCATCCTTCTACACAGTCCTATACCCTCGGGATTCAATGGCTTCTTGAAAATGCAGCGGTCTCTCTCGGAAGCCGTTGACACGATATGCGGAATAGCAATGGAGCTGAACGACGAAGGCTGTCAAATCCTTTCTGCACAATGTCTGTATGGCGCTGGACTATGCGTCCAGGAACCCGTAAAAAGAGAAAAAATATTATCCCTCATCGAAAAAAGTGAAGCAAGAGTTGGCTGGACGCCGATGGCGACTTGGCGGGAGGATCTGAGGCAGGCGTGGGCGGATGCTGACACTAGGAGCCCGGATGCTACGCGTTGACGATTTCCGCGCGGTTTAACATATACCCATGTCTATTTGGTATCACTACATCTATTTCTAAGATAAATATGAATCATGAGGGGATTATGCCTTGCCAGTCGATTTGCATACATCCATCTGCCACTCCATTAACTTCTGAGCTTCCTTGACACCCTGCTCCATCAATGTCGTCAAACTAAGAGTCGGGGCGTTCTTTTTCAGATGGACCAGGTAATCGTCTAGCACCAACTTGTTGACGTTGACCTTTGACACACCCCCGCGGATGCAAGTCTGCATCAAATCCTCGGGGAAATCGTTGGTTCCGTGGAGAACAATTCGCACCCTACCAGCAGCCTTGGCCCGGATCTTTTCTAACCTGTCAAATCGAGTAAGTAACCGTGCTACCACGTCAAAATCTGATATCCTTACCTATCAAACTCCAAAACGGGGCCTCTAGCACCGTACTCGCCGTGTACGTTTCCGAAAGCGGGTGCCAGGAAATCAATTCCTGTCGCGACAAAGTCCTCAACCTGCTCCTCTGTCGTCAGAGCGCCCTCCAGGTCTGCCGTGTCTGCGATACCATCCTCGCCGCCCTCGATCCGCCCCGGTTCCGCCTCTGTCGCGATGCCCCTCGCATGGCAGTATGCCACGAGCTCCTTTGTCTTGGCCAAGTTCTCTTCCATCTCGTAGTGGCTCATGTCAACCATGATGGAGTCAAACGGCAGGTTATCAGCGGCATGACGGATCATCTTCTCGTCTTGCGCGTGGTCGAGGTGGATGGCCACCGGTACCGAAGCCGCTTTCGCGGCATGTGCGGCGGCATGCACGAGGAGGCCATTGGAGAAAGTAATGGCCCAGGGAAACACTTGGATGATGAGCGGGCTGCGCTTCGCCTCGGCGGCGCGGATGAAGGAGAGAATGTTCTCAATGTTGTAGGCGATGGGTGCGACGACACCATACTGACCCTCCTCGGCGGCCTTGAGGATTTGATAGGTCTTGTTCTTGGAGGGGTCCCAGCTCGCCATGGTTGCTATAGATCAACTTCTAGTATTTTTGAAATGTCGTTCCAGAATTGTCGTCGGTAGAGATCCTGAGATAATGCGCTTGATGGGGTGATATCTAAAACCTGAGTATTCAAGTACCATGACCACCTTTCTAATACCGGAGAGATTATTGGCAGTTCCTATGAAACCATGCTTAATCAGGTATCACAATTTCTGTATCTAAATGCCTCCCTACGACCTCGCGACGCACTTTACCCCGCGTCACGTCTGATACTTTGAGTGTGGCTCACAGCATTGAAGCTCAATTGCGGAGGTTGACCGGGGCACGACGAGGGTGTGGTCAAGGCGACCATTGGGGGGGGGGGATAACCTGACCAATTACCCACTTATTTTGTGATTTATGGGGCTACCCTGAGATCAGCTGACCATGGTCAGCTAGTTAGCTATGGTCAGGTTGAAATTCCTTAGCGCGGTTTGAAACCTCACCCTTGACATACTTTTTGTAAGAACATACGACATTTAAACGCTTCCAAATCCGTTCCGAATCGATTTACAATGGCTCTTCAATCGATTGAAAATCTCTTCCCTCGCCTAGAGGGAATAAGTCCTCTATTAGAACCTACTAGTCTTGATGCAGAAGCTGAAGAAGACTTAAATCTTTACTATCAACTACCAGCCCAGGCCCAGTCTGGCTTACCAGTAAATGAGGAGGTAGGGATATATGAGAACGACTTTGGAATTAGTTCTAAATCGATTCAGGATCAACTCGAAACCGATTCAGAAATACCTCCAACACTTGTTTCATCAGAGGCAACCCGTTCTGGGCATAATAGCCTCAGGGATGTTCATGTACTTGCTCAAAAAGTAATCTTTCTACCTACATTTATAGAATATCCAGAAACAAGTGAGAATGGAGTCCTTTATGTTATTGATATAAGGACTTTAAATGAGGAGGATATTAAATCGCCTTGGAGAATGGTAAACGAACTACTTTTGAATCGATCCGGGATCGATCCCGAACTACTTCAGAACTAATTACATCACAGATTCAGTACAACCATGCCCGGCAATTCCCACCAAAACGGACGACTTCAGCATTCCTTCAAAATGCTGTTTGTTTACGTTCAACTTACACTTGTACAGGTGGAAAGGCATGCTCTTATTTCGATCAGAATCTTCCATGCTGGAAGCATCAGAAAGTTACCCCAGAAATCTTGCAAAGTATTGAAGCATTACGAACAGAGGTACTACAGTATGATCTCAAACGGAAAGCAGTTTCGTAAGCATTCAGAATCGATTCCGAACGGGTTCGGAACCCTTTTAGAAATAATATACTAATACTTATAAATAGATGGGCACAAGCACAGATAAAACGTTTCCAACAACATACCGCCTGCCGACCGTTTACAGAAAGATGTAGTCTTGAAGTAGTTAATACAGAGTATGGGGTAAGAAGCCTTTCTGAATGGATTGGGAATCAATTTGGAACTGATTCGGAATCACTTTAGTATATTCCAGGAACTTCCCAGATTACAGCCCGCTGCATCTGCTGGTCACAAAGTCTCCAAGGAGAAAACCATTATATTGGCTTTCCTCCAATCGAATTCCAGCTATATTTACCTCTAATCAAAACTATACTTCAAGGGGGAAGTATAGAAGAAAGCTCCCCTACTGATAGCTGTTATCTTTTTGCTAGCAATAAGAGGAGAATTACACGATGCGGTAAGTAAATTAGTATCGAATCGATTCCAAATGGGTTCCCAACTGATTCTGAATCAATCTAGACGCTAATCATATCGTTCCTGAAACAATTCTTCAAATTACGTGTTCAGTAAAATGGAACTTCTGGGTCCCGCTTGATCTAGAAGCTACCCCAGTTATTCTTCTAACTTCTCATGGGGTCCATTTACATCCACCACCACCACCAGTTAGAGCCCCAGCTGGTATTATATCTGGGCTGCAACAGGTAGTCCAGAAGATCAATCAACCTAGAACGGGGTTAAGTGAGAATCCTTTTAGAATCGTTTCCGAACCGATTCAGAACTAATCCAGTATTGATTCTAGATGCATTCCTACAATCTCGCGAACTTCAGGAATTCTGTGATACTTATAATAGCCAGACTATTACAAGCGTTCATCAAAGTCTAGCAAATACAGACTTCTTACGCTCAATTATCCGTAAACAAGAAGCAATTAGCTTTCCAGCAGGCTGTTCACGTCTAGCGATTTGGTATGAATACCAGTATGCTCAAACTAGGCGTCAAATTCGGGTATGAAGTGATTCTGAATCGGTTCTGAGCGGGTTCAATACTAATTTACTTATAGTATATTCAGTACTTTAATGATGACGGCAATACATACCTATGTATTGTATTTCATGCAGAGCAAGCTGAATTATGGAAGAAAGAGGCTTTTAATACTTTCCAGGTAGATACAAACTATAAACATCTAGCTGGAAAGGAGGAAGTTGAGGTTATTTGGGGATGGTATAATTCGATATCTTCGAAAGGTGCGTAATCGCTTCTAAATCGATTTAGAACGGATTCTTAACAGATTCCTAACTATTTTAGCAATTCCACTTATCCGAGTTTTTACCAATTCTGAAAGTACAGAAATGTATCAGCAGATGTATACAATTGTGTTTAAACTACTTTATAAGAAATTTGGATATAAAGTCAAGTGGAAACACCTTCATGGTAGGGGTCTACTAGGTATTACAGTTGATCAAGACCATAAAAACCTTATTGGTATGGGTTCTTAATAGTTTCTAAACCGATTCAGAACCGATTTATAACTAATTATCTAGGGTTTGGGAAATATCTATCTCTGGAATGTGACCCAGAGCATAGACCATGGGCATGGCAGGTTGAACGCTCTGTACGCTTCTGTTTAATTCATTTCCAACGAGGGATTGAGGCATACTGTACAGAAGACCGTAGCCCTGACTCTCTATGGAATCAAATGCGCAGCCTACTATTCTGCCGTTCCTCAGAAGACTACTTCGCTTTATGTCAGGCATTTGAGAGTAAGGATCAATTCTATATCGCTTCCGAATCGCTTCAGAATCACTTGGGAACTAATTTACTTAGCTGAACCTCAAATAAAAGCATGGGCTCAACATAAAGCCCGAAAAACAATTGCAGCTGGACTTAATCAGAACTGCTCTAAAATCCCCTTATCAGATTGGAGTCAATTCATACCTAATACAAATACTGTTGAGGTTTTACATGAAGCCTCATATACTTGGAGTAATCGGTATTTACCATTACTTACATGTATCCAGAAGTAAGTTTGGAATCCCTTCTGAATTGATTCGGAGTTGGTTTGGAATGCGTTGAGAACTAATTCAAAAGTACTTAGATGTGCAGAATACGATCGCCATCTTTTAGAGCAGGATACAGTGTTTACAACACTAGGAATCCGGCTTTCCTGGAAAGATGTTTCTATTATTAGCCGTTATAATACAGCTGCAAGCCGTTTACGTAAGTTAAAAATACTTTAATATTTATTAATAATTATTTCTAAATTATTTTAGAACTTAAACGCCAACGCCAGAGGGAATCCCGTGAGCAACTAGATAATGAACGTGTTGAAAGGCTTTTATCAACCCGACTCTTTACGTCTAGTCCCTCAAGGGGTACTAATTCAAGAAGTCCATCCTCAATTCCGAATCGATCCCGAAGTCTTTCAGAAGCGATTCGGAATCGATCCCCTCGTCTTTCCCATGCTTCATCTTCTGGGGTTATTAGGTCAAATACTCTCCAAAGAACATCTATTTCTAACTTAAGAAACGAAATCAGACAGGGACAACAAGATGACTTTGACTTACAGAAGCAAAGTCTAGAATTAGAAGAAAAGCGATTAGAATTAGAAGCAAGAAAACTTCTAGTTGAAAAACAGAAGCTTGAACTACAAGAAAAGGAACTAGAGTTAGCAGAGCGGCGGAGAAGGTTAGGACTTTGATAGCATATAGGATAGGTAGAGAATCGATTCTAAATCATTTCTATATTGATTTAGAAATGCTTTTTTAAAAAAAAGCTTAAAAACCGAACGCCCCGGGTATCTATAAAGAATTGATTCTAAAGCGGTTCCAAATCGGTCCCGAAAGAAGTCCCAAACTGGTTCCAAACCGATCCTGAATTGATTCAGGCCTCATCTTCTTCATCATCCTCAAAGCGGGCCCAGACCTCACATTCCTGATCGCGAAGGGCGGGAGGACATTCTGAATCGATTCGTAATTAGTTCTGAACTGCTTCAAGACTGATTCTAAACTTACTAGCATTGCGGGCAGTGGTGCAGTAGGTGCACTTGCCCTTGGCAGGGAAGCCGGCGGCGCGACGCATTTCGGCGAAGTTGATCTGTTGCAGAATCGATTCAGAATGGGTTCCAAAAGGATTCTGGATCGATTGAGAATCACTTACCACAGTTTGGTTGCCCCGCTTGCGCGTGGGCACGGCAAGAAGGGGGGGAGGGGTCTGCGCCTTCCGTTTCTTGGAAGGAGTCTGCAGCTCGCTGTCATCGCGAGCGCCGATGGCGATGCCGTGGATGCGGTCGTAGAATTCTATTCATAATCAGTTTAGAACTAGTTCAGAATCGGTACAGAATCAGTTCAGAATCACTTACCAGCTGCATCATCGTTCTCCTCGACGGAGTTCGCGCCGGACTTGCGGCTCTTAACCTTGGCCGGGACCCCGTCGAGCTTGTGCTTCTTGATGTGGTTCTTGAGGTTCGACTCGCTCGAGAACCGCTCCGTCTAATCGATTCGAAATTAGTTCTGAACTGATCCGGAACTGATTCTGAATTACCTTGGTGCACGTGATGCTGCTGGATCTACCACCCCAGCGGCAGTAGAGTTGACTTCGCCAGCCTGAATCGATTCAGAACTGTTTCTGAATCGTTGTGGAATCGCTTCTGAATCACTTACCTCGTTGAACTCGAAGGGAGGAAGATCCTCCATGCGGTGGTTCTTGCCGCCCTGGAGAAGACCTTCTTTGTAGGTCTTGTAATCGTCCTGATTCTGAATCAGTTCTGAATCGATCCTAAACCGATTCCATTGTACTTACAGAATCCTTGTATGAAGGCATGATGTCGGACTTCTGAACTGATTCGGAAGTAATTAGGAATCGGTGCGCCAGGGGGGGGGGGGGGGCGCATACGATTTGAAAGGGTTACGGAGGGAAAAGGAAGAGAATCAGAATAGAATAGGGATTTAAATATTAATATGGGGTATGCACCCTAATCAGTAGTGGGACGCAATCAGTAACTGGTCCGTGCACCTGACCGATTAAAAATTCCATGGTCAGGTGGACCCACTTCACCTCAATACAGCCAATCATAAAATTGGTCAGATAGACCCATAATTCATTTAAATAAGTGGGTAATTGGTCAGGTTATCCCCCCCCCCCAATGGTCGCCTTGACCATACCCTCGGCACGACACGCGGCCGTCGAGCCTGCATTGGCCCCACTGGCCGCGATGCGCGGATGGCTGATCCCTGCCTCGCAATAGCGGTATCTAAATCGGGCGGATCAAGGAAACTTCGTCACGAACATTGGACATGGGCAAGTAGAGCCTGCGGGTGCGTTTATGTGGCTCGCTAGATAGATTAACATAGAAAAATACATGAACAAGAGCTATGGATTCAAGTTCCGCCATACCAGCTTTAAACTAAGATAGATCAAAAACTCCCACCCACGATTCTCATACAATTCTGCCAAACAACCCCAGCCAATCCTGTACAGCATTCGATCTTTTTGTATCCCCCATCTTCAAAATGGCTGGTCTTAGAATTGCCCTTGGAGGTGACGACGCCGGTTTCAACTACAAGGCTGTCATAGCCGCAGACCTGGCCAAGGATCCCCGCGTCGCCTCCGTTGTCGACGTTGGTCCCTCCTCGGAGTCGGACAAGACAGCCTACGCACACTTCGCCCTTACTGCGGCGGAGAAGGTCGCAAGCGGCGAGGTCGACCGCGCCGTCCTTATCTGCGGCACCGGTCTCGGTGTTGCCATCTCCGCGAACAAGGTCCCTGGAGTCCGGGCCGTTACGGCGCACGACAGCTTCTCCGTCGAGAGGGCCGTCAAGAGCAACAACGCCCAGGTTCTTTGTCTCGGTCAGCGTGTGATTGGTATTGAACTTGCAAGGAGGTTGGTCGCCGAGTGGTTGGGTTACCAGTTTGACCCTGTAAGTTTTCTCTACCCATGCCGAGAGCAGGCCGGATGATACTAACCGAATCATATAAAGAACTCGGCTTCAGCAGCCAAGGTCAAGGTTATTGATGACTACGACGCGAGGCAGTCGAGTGGATTGAAGGCTTCTAACGGGATTGCGCAGCAGGCATAGCTTGATAAGATAGGCCAAAATGAAGTAATGAAATGAATTTCTTTTTTTTGTAATGTTATGTCCTCCATATTCGTTTTCGCATGCCGACTTTGACGTACTGCTTGTATGCTTCTCGATTATTATCATACAATGGCCACGAAAAGAGGCAGAACACTGCCTCTTCTTCATATGCTCGACGAATCTTGTCGGAGTTAAGACGCCTAGGAAGGACTCAACGTCGAAACCATAAGTTATTTGAATATATTATGAGACAAGATTATTAAGATGGTAATGCCAGCTATCTAAGGTGCTAATCCACGGAACCCATCGCTTCTTCGATCATTAATCTCTCTTAATCCTGAGAATTCACCACATACACTCTCTTACAGTCGGAGAAACTATTTGAAGTATGTAGAAAATAGGGATAAGAAGATCAACGGCTAGGAAGTTCGCAGGAGTAGGTACACTATAACGAACAGTTACAATATCTTTACCTCACTCAACCAGGACACCCACTGGGCTACTTCTATTTGCTGAGAAGAGCGGGACATCGCACAACCTACTTATGCTTGATGCGCTAGGGTACTTTCCAGGGTGTGTGCCACGTGGGTGCCAAGCAGAGCCCTGGCATATTCAAAGCTGGCCGGCATCTTGTCACTGTTACTCTACCTTATAGTGGTATGATTAGAAAGGATTCAGAGACATAAAAGTCACAGGAGCAGCAAAACAACCATTTGTTCTGCTAACATCGCTTTCAGAGTCAATCTGAGCATGGTGATAGACGCCATGAAAATCCGCTACCCAAGGAAAGTTGATATGTTCATGGGAACAAAGCTCAAGGCCCATTGAATGATGTCAACGATAACTGTCATTTAGTCTATTGATTTCATGTCTACATTTTTTTATGCCTCCAGCCCCATAAGTGGTATCATTAAATTCGTTTACCAAGCGCCAACAATACCCGCAATCGGGATATCAATACCGGTAGTGTAAGTAGCAGTCTCGCTCAACAAGTAAACGTAGGCGCCGCCCAGCTCCTGGGGCAGAGCCAAGCGGGGCATACCGCCGTAGTACTTCATCTTGGTGTCCCAGTCAGGGGAAGTCTCAACGTAGTAGGTCAATGCGGTCTTGACAAAGCCGGGAGAGATGGAGTTGACACGGATACCGTGTTGCGCCCACTCCATGGCAAGTGTGTGGGTCATGTTGCGAATGGCGCCCTTGGTAGCGCCATAAGGTGCAGAGGGGGCAGCCTATCAAATAATACCGTTAGTCCCATAAGCTTCTCGGATACCTAGTAAGGAAGACCACTTACCCGGTTAGGTCTGTAGGAAGTCATGCTAGCAGTGAAGACGATGCTTCCCTTGCTGCCGAGTCTGATAAATGTCCTCGCGGCAGCGGTGGCGCAGTTCCAGGAGCCGGTCACGTTAAGCTTGAAGAGGAAGTCGAATTGTTCGGGGGTGAAATCCAAGGCGGGCTGATGCTTACTTTGCAAGCCGTCAGCATCAAGGCTCTACCCAATTCAACCAACAATGGTACTTACGTTGCGCCGGCGTTGGCAACCATGCCGTCGAAGCGGCCCTTAGCATCAACAATGGCGTTAAGTGCGCCTTCGACGCTCTTGTAGTCCGTCACATCGCAGTGCTGGAAGTCAAGCTTGCCTGGGAAACGCTTGCTCAAGGCAGCGAAGTCATCGCCAGGCGAAGAGATATCCAAGCTGTAGACAGCGGCAGCATCGTTAAAGAGGCAGACCTCAGCAATACCCAGGCCGATTCCCTGGTTGGCACCAGAGACTTTCGCAGGTGTTAGTGCTTGGGCGCTTGGGATTGGTTTGAGTAATCTTACTAGCGATGACCTTGTCCTTCAAGGAAACCTTCCAGTCATGGTCAGGCTTAGGAAGAGTGCTAAGGTATGTCGAGCCATTGGCTTCGCCGTTACCGTTCTGCTCACCGGCCATTGTGAAAATAGGTTTTTGTGATAGGTATAAAGAATTGCAAGCTCTCTAAGTGATTCAGGCTGCTTATTAGAATTGCAGTCCGTAGCTTACTATGGGCGTGGGTACAAAACAAGTATTGTTTTCGATGTAGCTATGCTTCAGTGTCACCATCACTGGAAAGTTTTCCGTGTCTTAAGTATGCAATCGTAGGTTCCTAGAAACACCCGTAATCCGCAGTCGGCGTTTATGCCGTGGGGCGATCGCATAATGGAGGGCCCGAAGCCGTATGGCCCGCGACTCGCGATTCAGGAAGAATGGTAATATGCCATCGGCACCTTGGTTGCGTCCAATGTGACACGCCGCTGCATGTGGCTCCCTAGGTAGTCAGTTCAGATAGAAATGTTGGCTCCACGTCAGTTCTTCAAGCAGCATCCGTGCGGGTAAATGACCGCGGCTCGCGGCTCAATTCCTGCAACGGCATCTAAGCGCGGCCAGCCCACGAAACGCGGTTTCTCATCAACTCCACGTTCAGCCCCTGCTCAACTACCTCACTTGACGGAGAAAAAAATGACTCTTGCAAAGCCCCAATTTTCCCTCTAGCCTCGACACGCGGTAACACATTCCCTTCAAAAACTTGCCAGAAACTTGCGCTACTAGATACTAAGTCCGGATTGACTCCCCGGACCCCGCAGAAAGTCGAAAGTTCAGTCAACCCCAGTTTCCCCCAGACTGGGGGGTTCGGGAGAAATTCTACCAATTACATTGGCCTGGCACCCAGGATGCTCAAGCCCGGTTGGGTGGTACGATCAACGCGCATAAGCTGGCATAAGAGGTTGCCTCCATGTTATGTGCAAAGCAAGCATAGCCGGAGACGTACAACACTCTGACCAAGGCAGCAACCTCGCCATTACGAGCACCTTGTATCCGGGCACCCGTACGTAATACACTCCTCGGCCGAAGGCAGAGCAAGTTCATCAACTCTCTTCTACTTAAGAACACACATTATGCCAATTGGCTCCTGCGCTTGAACCCTTAGTTCTCCGTTGACAACCCCTTTCTTGCCAGCGCGGTCCGTTGTTTCTTCGACAACTACACCGATCTCCAGTCCACGGTTTCCATCATCAGTGTTCACTCATCCCTTTCTCAGCTTAGCCCACCATGGAGAAGAACGAGACCTCCAGCAATGAGCATGAGCATGCCATTGGCAAGGAGATGGAATATCCGGTCGACGACTACGTTCCAGGAAGTGACGAGGAAAAGAAGCTCGTGAGAAAAATAGACATGGTCAGAAACCCCAATGCTCTATGCAATCATGACTGACTTCTACCAAACAGTATATCTTGCCCTTGATGTGGGTTATGTATCTACTTTCCTACATGGACAGAACCAAGTATGTTGAATCCAATCTTTGTAGAGCTCTATGTTTGGCTGCATACTAACCCCTTTTCCCTTGTCTTCAGCATCGGCAACGCCAAGATTGCTGGCATGGACAAAGACCTCAACCTCGATTCTGGAAGATACTCCATCGCCCTCGTCGTCTTTTTCATCGGATACGTCGTCTTCGAAGTCCCCTCCAACATGATTCTTACTCGGACACGACCTAGTATTTACCTACCGGCCATCATGGCACTGTGGGGTGCGGTGACAATCGGCATGGCTTTCACCCCTAGTTATGGAGCTCTTGTTGGCTTTAGGGCAGTCATGGGTTCACTTGAATCAGGATTTGCTCCTGGTGTGTTACTTCTGCTCTCTTCATGGTATAAGAAGGAGGAGCAGAGCAAACGTTTCGCCGTCTACATATCCGCTGCCATTCTGTCGGGCGCTTTCGGTGGCATCTTGGCCGGGTCAATCACCAGTGGCCTTCATAATGCGCACGGCATCGCGGGGTGGCGTTGGCTGTTTATAGTCGAGGGTGCTGCCACCGTTGGTGCTGCCATAGTTGCATCTTTTATCCTTCCTGATTTCCCCGAGAACACGTCGAAGCTTAAGTTCAATGACAGGGAGAAGGCATTGGCAATCCGAAGACTCAAGAGCGATGAACAGTCTAGGCGAACGGAGGAAGAACCACGACTTGGCCACTGGGCAGCCTTCAAGCTTAGTATGGTCAACTGGAGGACGTGGCTCTTCGTGGTTGGTTACATGGTAAGTCGGACAATCGACATCACCCACAGTGTCGTCGCGATAGCAGTCCCAACTGACCATCGATTGCACAGGCTATTGTCGGATCCTCAACCCTGTCCTATTTTTACCCTACTCTCGTCAAAGGCCTGGGGTACGAGTCGACGAGTGCACAGTATATGACGATTCCCATCTTTGGTGTAGCGTTCGTGTGCACCGCTATTACCGGATACTTCGCCGATCAGCACAGCAAGTGGCGCGGTCTGATACTCGGTGCTTGGATGACCGTGGCTATGCTGTGCTCCATCATTATCTGCGTCGTCTACAACTTCAAGGCCCGGTATGCCCTTCTTGTTATCATGGCCTCTGGCCTCTGGGCTTCCAACGGTTTGGCCCTTTCTTATGCTTCCGTCAGCTTCGGAAACATGCCTACTGAGACAAGGGCCATTTCCCTCGCATTCGTCAACGCGATGGGAAACCTTGCCCAAATCTATGGCGCTTATCTTTTCCCCTCCACAGATGCCCCCAAATACCTCATGGGCTTTGGTGTTATTAGTGGTCTGTGTTTCACAGGTGTGGCTTCTTACATTGCCCTCCACGTTTTCTTGAGGAAGGAACGGGAGTAAGAGCGGTTCAGATGTGTAAAGATCATTCAGAATCAAACGCCGCTAATATAGTCTCGGGGGCTTCATTGTCATTATTTAAGTTGATACCCAACTGCAAATACCAGCAAACAATCATAGCTGAATCAATACACTGCAAATTTACTCGTCAGGGTCGTTATGTATGTACCTTATCTCACGGCGCTTGCACTGATCAACCACACCTGGCTTCTGTCTGGCGCATTTCGGAGTCAAGCTACTTGTCACATTCGATTTGCGACATGAGATTGGGAGGCTGCGCTACCCTCGTCAATAATAACCGCCTGGCTATGGAGGTGAGACTTTGTCTGCACGGTCTTTCAGACCCCTCAGCTTTTCGACCCAACCGCCTACCTTAGTCTCCGTTGAGGAAGCGAGGCCAGAGTTAAGCCCAGGCGGCCAAGATATTTCGCGTTGCATGCGTCGTCAACTGATATATTCTTTTGTAAATGTATTAAATCTGAAGGCCGTCCTTGCTGTTGTCCATGGAGGTTCTGATACAGCTCTATGGCTCAGTAACTGGGCGCTGCTCATCCCTTTCCAAAACCGACTCATTCACCCTCTGGCGATCCTGCGTGCCCTTCCTTTTCTGGCAGCATCTAGGAACGGCCAATACATTTTTTCCTGTGTAATCCAATGCATTGACCGAGAAAGGTAAGTATGTATTCGCATACTGGCCATCGTCATTGTCAGTCTCTATAATATTAATTTGCAGCACTTCCGGATCGGCATCGTCGGTGGGAACTAGGTGATCGAACGTCACGCCATAATAGTCGATGTCCCTATTTAGAAACACGTCTTTCAGCTGCAAGCATGCAAGACACTAGATTCAGTCAGGAAGATACTCATTCTTACTCTAATATTCCGTTATCTGATTGAACCCACCCCAGGTATTCGTCTCGCACGACCATATCATCACGGACGTCTGGGCGGATGTCCATGCCGTAGATGTGGCGGAACGTCAATGCTGCAAGTGCTGGGCCAGCTGACTGGGGGAAAATATGGGAAAGCAGACTGGTTTTCCATACAATAGACGGGAAAAGCTTTTCAATTGATTCACGAGGACCTTCAATTTGGACTCGAAGGGGCTGCTCGATATGCGGCGGATGGAGACTGTTGGCAGGGGTTTCAATTCAGGGTTGGATATAGAGCTCAAGAGCCATGACGATGCGTTTGTGTTTTTGGAAGTGTTGATGTTCGTGAATGCTGGACTCCGAAAGAGCAGTAATGTAATTGCTTTAAGGATAATCTTATAATCAGGACTTCGAAGTAGGCGGCTGATTTCCTTGATTTAATTGCGCGGACTCACACCGCCTGGCGATCGGAATTACCTTTCCCGCGTTGTCCACTAATATTCTGCGTACACATAAATCGGTTCCTATGTGCTTTCCTAAGCAAATCCCCTCTTCCCAGATTAAGTTACTATTTTACACCTTTCCTAGCCTGATTGCTATGTACCTAGTTCGTCATACATGTCAAGATACTATGCGGGGACTCGGTGAAACAATGACTTTCTTCAGAATCGGAAGCTGGTACTCATTGATGACGGCAAGAAGCGGGAGCCGATACTATTCACGGTCTATATCTATTCTATTGCTTATTGAATGAGAAACTAAATTCGCTGCGGCCCGGCACTTTCTACGTCACCTTTCCGTCGTGGACCATTGTATTACGTGTAGAGTCAACCTCGCTGGTAACGACGAAATTGGTAGTCCGCATAATACCCGTACCCTTCATCAACTCTTCATCCGAATCATGCGGGAACGGCCCAGTATTAGACCGTACCTCAGTCTGGACCCGTCTTCCACTCATATTATTCATCCCGATAGAGTCCCCAGCATCCGGCACTGTGCTGGGACCATCGGCTGTTCTTATCCAACCCTGCTGACCAGTGTGGTATTTGCGGTTATAATACTCGTAATCTTTCGTAGACTTAAGTTGTGGCATCCATCGACGGACGAGGGGCCATAGGGCAGGGGCGGAAGCGGTGATAATAGCCAGGCTGCACTCGATCTGTGACACGCAAAAGCCAAGGGAGAAATTCTTATCTGGGCTCATGTCGGTAAAATTTACGGCGAGGAAATAAAGACGAACGACGCTGACGGCGGTGACACTGTGATGAACTTTTGTCAGATGGAGAGCCAAGGGCTGGACTAGCTCTAGAGGTTGACTCACGCGATACCCAATGCGAACACTACCATCAACCCGATCTTCTTTTTCTTGTTCATGTTGAGCCCAAGAAAAACATAGAACGGAAGTCCAACAATGATGATGTCAGTGAGGACTGTCAAGCTTCCCGCTGTAACAGCGAAAGCGAACCCGTCAATACACTTGCCGGCGATTGCCTTGTTCCAAGTCGCCTCAACTGGCGTACATTGGAAGATGAGGACCAAAAAAGTAGCAATCATCAGCGCAATGTTGAAAGTTGCGGTGGCCCAGATGACATTCCGGACCACATTCTTTACTCCAGAGAATCTCAGCAGGAAGATGAGGACCGACTGCTTCGCAAGAGCCAGTATGGGGTTATATATGGTGCCGACGATGAAAATCCACAGCATACCCTTCCTGGGGTCCATGGGCTGTGGGACATCCCAATAGTGTATGCCGATGTAAAGCTCTTTTATGCCTGGAAGACGGTAAGCATTCTTCAATTTGGGATTCCGCACTGCCAGTTGGACATACATATGATGGAGCCGACGCCCAAACCAACAGTTAGGGCCACTGCAACGCAAATGCACGCATCATCTACGAAATAGATGTTAGAAAACTGCCTCGAATGTTTTTTAAAAAGACCCACCCCATCCAAGATTCTTCGTGTCGATTCTGATATACAGCCTCAGGGCAGTGACGATGAGGGAAAGGGCAGGACAGAATATCTCAATGGCGATGCCCAAGTTTTGGAGCCAGCTAGTCGGTTCTCCGGCCATGATGGGACTGCGGATATGTCTGCACTGACCAAAGGTTAAAGCAATTCACACTGAAATTGAAGAGCGGCAGTTGACCGCCTAGATATCGGCCGGGCAGATAGCCGTGGCCCGCCATATATGATATCTTTCAGGGCCAGACCAGATGTAAGCGACCGGGTAGGTGGCGGTGGGCTAGAACGACCGACAACAGCGATTTACTTGATATCGAACCAAGACGTCCATTTCTCAAAAAGACATCAGGGAACCTAATAATCTTCAGCTCCCAGGATATTTCGAGATGCGGCGCAGTGTGGCACGGCTAACTAGCAAAATTTGATCCCGGAGACATGGCTCGGAGAAGGAAATTTCCGCCTGTTGCCTTCAAGAAGGGTGTACCGACTTCGGGAGAAAGGTCAGTAGAGAAAACTCCCCTGTCCTACTCGTTTAATGCCCAAGGCCTGGATATTGATGTTCAATTTCGTTGCGTGGCATCCCTGAGCTCATATTCTCGCCGCAGCCCCTCGACGGCTTTCCGGCCTGGTTTCCACTCACCCTGACCTTTTTTGTGCCTTTCAGCCTCGTGGATTTCTGTGTATTCCTAACGTATGTTATTCAGACTTCTGTTTGTGTCTCTGGCTCGATTGAAGATGAAGCAACAGAGCCCCACCTGATATGCTTGCGCGTCTATTTAACTCAGATCAGAGAGGTCACTCAACATGCCATTCTCTGTAGCACTATTACGATTGCCTTGAGCCCTAGATGAACACCCACAGTGTGAAATATCGTCTACACAAATTTGAAAACATTGTCCGCTTCAGTAGGGCTAGAAGTTCTTTATGGATAGTAACAAACTCCATTGGAAGAAAAAGCAATGAGCATCGGAGGACTTTCCCGGATCAAAATGAGGAATTTTGTGGAGATGCTGGGGGGATTCAAGACTGAACCAACATAATTACGAGACGAATTGTGAGGGCTTTTGAAAGGATTGAGGTCAGTTCCACTGCCTTGACCAATCATGCCCAAGTTGGTGTGAATATCAACGGCCACATCCGCACCTTTGAGAGCTTTTAACCTTGCGCTTTATCCATGGGGTTCCGTAAACGCATGGGTCTGGTCGTATGAAACTCCATGGATCTCCTCCTCTTAATCTATTACCCATGGCATATGTTCCTTGCCACTTGTTGGTGCAGCACTCCGTAGCTAAAGGTAACCCTCATCCGATTCCCCAGCGGCCCTGTTATTGTATGGGGACTCTCCATATCCTTGCTCCAAGCCGTACCGAAACGGGAAAGTCGAGCGCTGAGCCCCACTGATGGTCTTGTTGGCTCTTCGATGTGCAAACACAGGAGTCTGTCAACCGAGACTTGTTGGTACGAACTCTGACAGAATGTTGTTGCAAGAACATGGATCCCGAGATGAAGAAACGAATGCAACACAGCGGCGCAGTGCAGGACAGCAATTTCCGACTATTGGGTGCCTCAAAAGCATTCTTAATCCCCCTTTTACGACTTGTGATGAACAGGTATGTGCTGTTGGTTAAACGAGATCGACTTGCCAGCATTCAACATCTCGGCGGGCGGTAGGTGCGTCTGGTTCTGAATTGGGAGGTGGAGTCTCTTCGGCCTGTTTACGGAGCGAGCCTCCGACAGTGGGCGGCTAATCCATGATGAAAGCCACGCCAGCTCATAACATTGCCAATGAGTCTGTTTACTATTTGCGCTCAGAACCCAGGCTCTTGGTCAGCAATTTTGCATCTCTAGACCCTGGCGGATCATTGGATAAGGAGTGGGCTAGGCACTCGTGAACCACCTCATAGAGGAAATTGCCGGAGTCTCGCCCCTCGGCAGCTGTTATTTAGCCACCTTGCAAGGAAGACGAAGTTACGTATAAAGATCATGGGTTTCTAGCACCAGAGGTTAGCAAATTGGTTTTCGCTTCCTCAGCCATCCTGCTCCGTGCCGTCTGTCGCCTGGCCCAGTCATTCGTTTCAACGTCTTCCATATTGATTTACGATATTTGGACTTCAGGACATTCGCCACAATGTCACGAGCTGCGATTCTCGCGGCCCTGTCGCTTACCAACCTAGCACTTTGCCAGATCATCCAGGGTGACGGTATGTTGTTCTTGATCTGTCACATGCTGCTGCCCATCTCCTTGCATCTTGTCTAGGACTTCTGGGCTACAGCTGTATGCTTATGTGTCACGCCAACTAATCCTTGTGCCTTGCAGCTATTACCAGCGACACGGTCGCCCCTGCAGTTGAAGAAGTTGCTACCACGGCCGCGGCGTCGGGAATCAGCTACTTCGACTTTGAGGTGTCTCAACTTACCACGGAAGTGATTGCCAACCTGACAAACTACAATCTCAGTGACGTGAGCCTCTTCGAGTTTGGCGATGAGGATGCTGCTGTTGCCAAGAGAGCTGCCCGCTCGTGCAAGGTCTTCCCTGGTGACCGTGCCTGGCCTTCGCCTGCCACATGGTTCTTATTCGACTTGCTGACGGGTTTGGCTTTAATCGACGGTGTCCCTTCCGCGGCTGTGTGTTACAAGGACTGGCCTCAGTACAACAAGGCCAAGTGCGATGAGGTCACTGCCAAATGGTCGAGTCCTTTCTACCAGTAAGTTACGAAAGGTATAACGTAACAAACATCCCTCTGTTAACCTAGCACAGGGCATCTGAGCCTACTGGTCTGGACTTCCCCATCTATGAGGGTGTGAGCTGTCTGCCTCCTAGCTTTGCTCGCTCCAACGCCACCTGCACTCAGGGTGGACATCCTTCCTACGTCTTGAAGGCCACCAATGTCGCTCAAATTCAGCTCGCTGTCAACTTCGCTCGTAACCTCAACTTGCGTCTGAACGTCAAGAACAAGGGCCATGACTTTAACGGCAAGTCCACCGGTGCCGGTGCTCTATCCGTCTGGACCCATCACCTTCAGGGCATTCAGTACCTTGGCGCCAACTACAATCACCGCGCCTCTGGCTACCGGGGTCCGGCCTTCAAGATTGGCTCTGGTGTCACCATGCTTGACTTTTATGAGGCGGCTGATAAACAAGGCCTGCAGGTTGTTGGTGGAATCGCCCGTGTAAGTCTTTTCCGACACCCTTTTCACCTAAAACATCAATTAACCGTGAGCAGACTATTGGAGTTGGAGGAGGCTACATCGCCGGTGGCGGTAACGGACCGCTGATTTCCGCGTACGGTACAGGCGCCGACCAGGTTCTTTCCATGGAGGTTGTCCTCCCGAACGGCCGTTTCGTGTCTGTCGACGAGAAGAACTATCCTGACCTCTTCTTCGCTCTTCGCGGCGGTGGCGGCAGCACCTGGGGTATTGTGACCTCTCTTGTCGTCCGAGCCTACCCAAAGACACCTATCACGTCTCTCAGCTATAGCTTCAAGACCGGCAGCAACGTTTCTGTTGAGACCTTTTGGTCCGGCGTCGATGCCGTCTTCGCCGTGTTTCCCGAGTACGCCGATGCCGGCATGTTCAGCCACTGGTCCCTTATGTGTGCCGGTGCCTCAGACTGCACCTTTTCCATGGCCCCCCAGCTGGGCATCGACATGAGCGCAGACAAGCTCCGCACCGTTTCGGCCCCTCTATTCTCCAACCTCTCGGCCCTGCACGTTCCGGTCTCGAACGTCAAGTATACTGAATTCAACGGCGTCCGCGATACCGTTCTCAACACTTGGAGCGCGGAGGCAGAGGCCGGCGGTGGCTGGGGCTTCCACACTGCCTCTCGTTTCTTCCCGCGTTCCAACTGGGAAAACCCCGCTAAGCTGGCTGCACAGACAAAAGCAATCCGTCAGAGTGCCGAGGAGGCCGGCTATGTGCTTGGATACAACATTAAGACGGGAGTCAACCCCTCCGTCAACCAGACCAATGCAGTCAACCCGGCTTTCCGTGCCACGCTGGCACACGTCATGTTGGGAGCCACTTGGGGCCAGGAGGCGACCCCTGAAGACATTGCTGCCGCGAGCAAGAAGCTTGTTGATCAGCTGCAGCCCTGGCGGGAGGCCAGTCCCGGTGCGGGAGCGTACTTGAATGAGGCGGATATCAACGAGCCCGACTTGCAGCAGGCTTATTACGGCAGCAACTACGACTATTTGTACCAGCTCAAGCAGAAGTATGACCCTTGGGGAGTCCTCTACGCCGCCACTGCTGTTGGTAGCGAGGACTGGTATATCACGGGCCAGATCGATTACTACCCGACCCAGAACGGTCGTCTCTGCCCAAAATAGGATAGACCATAGATGAGCCAGTGGGTTAGCAAGTAATCAAGAAATTATATCACAGAACTTAAAAACAGTTTTTGATCAAACGACACAAGATAAACGTCAAAACTTATTCCAATACAGTAGTAGTATCGATAATTGGCATGGTTCTTTCCATTTTTGGTTTACTTATAAAGTGGGAAGCGCCAACTAAGCCGCATTCCAAGGTTTGCCGTTAGAAACCTGGAAAGACAATGAGACCAGCTTCTCTTAGAAATAAATTCAAGTGTTATATGTTAGATAGTGTCTTTCGCATAGTAGTTGATTGTATTGGATATTCGGTTCTCTACACTCTTCGTTCCTTTATACCAGCTTCCCAGCTTCTTTCCTTACCTTAGTCGACTTTAGTCTGTTCCTACCACCCTTAACACTATCTAGCTTACTACGTATCTTTAAAATAATAAGTAGGACATCACATGTTACCTTTAATATTTATGCCATCACTTTGTGACATGATGAGTCTAATACTGTGAAAGTTAGTGCGGCAAGTGCTTCTCAAGATGTAACCATAGTCCGACAATGCATCAACAGATTGCGATATTACTTCTACTTCTGATGCTAGTAGCATACGGGGGGGGATAGGATAAAAGTTGGAAGGTATGGCGGGTCAGTTAACTACAACGATTGCATTAAGCCTTCATGTTTGACCACCCAAGAACCATCTTTAGGGAAGCCAGGCGCGTGGCCTTCGGAACCTTCCCAACCGGCCGCCATGTAACTGATCGCCAAGAGAAATCCTCCGTTTCCAGGGAAATACGGGGGCGGCGATGGGTCTATAGAGCGATTCTTGTTAGCTCACGTTGATCCTAGAAAAGTATTGAAGATATCACTAAGGATAATGCGGTTGTGGAGGAAGATTGTAACTCACTAGGACCCGAACGATGGGCAAACCCTTCATCACCAAACTTCCAGTAACCAAAGTTTGTGAGATGGTAGATAGCCCGTTCGGGATTACCAATTCGTGCGGCGTGGATAGCCAAAAGATTACGGCCCCAGCCTCTGATCTGCTCATCACCCCAGACCTCCCAGACTTTGTCAGATGTTTTCAAACCTACGGCAGGGTCCACCTGTTACCCAGATGCGTGATTAGCTGGCTTTCAATTGTAGTTTTTAGGACGTTTATCGATCAAATAAGAGATAGGAATCCTTACCAAGGGCGTATCCGGAAGGATTCCTTGGAGCATGATCACACTTCGGGGATCTTTCCTGAGCGTCGGATCATCCCACCAAGATGCATTCAAGCCGCCTCCTACCCAGGGGGCGTATAATCCGTTGAATTGTGGTGGAGGAGCAAGGTTGTCCGCTACCATCGTCCAAGCTTCTGGACAAGATTGTCCCAGCTTCTTCTTCCACTCGCAGGCGGATTTGAGAGCCCACTGCCAGTAAGCAAGTTCGTAAGCCAAGTTGGATATCTCCGTCGGTGACGAATTCTCAGTCACACCTTGGATCGGTGGACCAATATCGTATTTACCGGTAACGTTATTCAACCAAACAAAAGATGCCATATAGTCAGCAGTTGAAGTCAAAACACGGTCCCATCTTTGGAGTGTCTCTTTCGTTGGTGTAGCTTTGTATGCCAACTCAGCCAGGTATATTGGATGAGGTTGCTGCCACTGGAGAAAAGCGCGAGTCTCGCCAGGCGCAATACCCTTGGTGACAAGTTCTGTCATTTTGGGCCATCGGGCTCCTTGCCAGCCCATCCGTCGAGCCCTTTCTACCGAGCTGGGGAGAAGGCTTTCATAGACGGCTGGGAAGATTCGATCAAAGTATCTCTGTCGCCCCCAAGTCGCCCACTGCGCGCAGTGCCAGACAACCATCTCCAAGTGAAACTTACCCCACCAACCATTGTATACGAGTCCGCTTTCTTGTGGAGGCTGACCAGTCGCTGCACTGTTGATCCTCATCACATACTGAGACAGGATGATACGACGTTGCAGCTCTGTTGCGTTTGGATTTGTTGACTCGGTGAGATCCACAAAGCCCCCTTCTTCCCAATACTCATTCCAGCCTATTCTGTTACGTCGACGGATATCCGATGGAAGTGATGGCTTTGTGAGTTCCGGGCTGTAATGAGCGGTAAACGATAGGGTTCCGGCGCAGGTTTGATTCTGTTGACTGACAACCGGAGAGAGCGTGTAACGATGTGCTGTAGTTTTATTCGAACCATCAGGTTCATTGCGCCTCAAGGACAGCGGTCGTTCTTGGGGCCATCTTAGGTTCAAGTAATAGGCTGTGTCTTGCATCTCGTGATGAACGTGTGCAGTATCTATCCAGGGGCTTGGATGTTGAACAATGGAGGTGGTATGGTTTTGCGGGAACTGGTATGTTCCCATAAAAATCTCAAAATCGGTTGATTTCTCAACTTTGTGAATGGGAGGAAACGGAAAATCAAACACTACTTCGAGGTCCCCAGACGCAACACTGTCTGATTGAATGTTGAACGTGACCGAATCAGTTTCAAAGTCCCCTTGCGTAACGACTTTTACGTCGTGACCGTTTATTTTGAACACTGAAGTGACGATGCCATTCCACAAGTCCAATTCCTGACGAGGGTCGGTTATCTCTGTCAGCAAGCTGTTCTTGTAACTCAGCGCGATGCGACCTAGGTTAATACGGTTAGGGTTTGCGCTGAGCCATTTTGATATTTCAGGTAGTTTTGGGTCTTCGATATCATAATTGACCTCTCTTCCGTGAGTTTTAATTGGAACACCTTTGTAGTCCTCAGGCTTCTCTCTGAACGTTCCCATGTCAGCTGTGTCATTTGACGAATTGCTCGAATGATTGACAACCATATAATGAACACAACCTAGGTACTCACCCATTGTCAGGCAATCTGTCTTTGTGCCAACCCCAGCTAGACAAAGTATTGAACGGTATCAAAGACTGCGTGCCAGTGATGTCAAGATTGAAGGCAAAGTCTCCATTTCCAACCTGAAGTGGTGTTGTTGTATTATCAATTACTTTAGGTACCTCAGTTCGCACAACGTTGAATGATTGGACTATAGCACGCCTGCGTAAGAAAGCGTCAGTCGGACCTTCGGAACTTTTTGCTTTAAACAGTTGCATTTCTCTTAGATGCCTACTGACCTATTGATGGCTGCCGCTGCCAAACTTGGCGCCAACAAAAGCGTCGTCCAGAGGTACATGATGCCACAGGGGGTGCTGTACTCCCTAATGGTCAAGTAGAGCTTCATGTAATGGTGAGACTGAATAGTGTATAAGTACTTTTAATTATACGAACGGATAAATGCCAAGACATATCCGTAGGATTGGGTTTGCACTACTGATGCTTCGGTCGAAGAATCTACCGAACGTGGGGTAAACCCCCGCTTCCCACTATCGCGTTCTCGGGCCCCGAGCGAATAGGATGGCTTGGGCTATGAGGATCACCAACCCTGGATGTTTAGACAACTATACAGAGTATCTGTCCGGCATCTCGGTTCCGGCCAGTCGATCGGTAAGCATAATTCTCTTTGATGAAATTGTATGGGCCTAATCAATCTCTTCACAAGGTAAAATGTCGTTGGTTAAATGAGTTTAGTACGCCCTCGTATGCCCCATGAATCATCAACGAACTTTAACCAGGAAAGCTGAGATCCTCAAGTTCAATGCATAAAGAGTGTTATAGAAACAGGTTGCTCGACTTGAGAGTGAACCTCACTGCACTGCACAGGATGGAATTGAGTGGAGACAACGCGTTGCTATCCTCCTCTTATCCTATCGGCTGCAGCATGTCAACAGGCACAAACCAGTCCATTTAAAGAGCCATATTTCTCAGCCGATGGGATAACTGTAAGTTCTAAACTCTGAAATATCTGGCATTGGTGAGAGGAAGGTATCCCATCGGCTGCGGTATGGCACCAGGTACGTAGCCCGGAGGGGGACTAGCTAAATGAAATACGATACTGTAACTTTCGCTCAAATAGCGAGCATTAAGTGATTCAGTATTGAGAGAAACGTGGGTCTTGAAATAGATTGGATTATAACTATTGCCATGCCGCAGCCGATGGGATAAATTTGTTTCTTTGATCTAAAGGTTCGCACTTTTGTAAATGAATTCGGCAACGCGGGTGTTGAACTCTGTTTCTCTCTCCCACATTGGTATGTGTCCACACTCCTCAAATACATGATACTCTGGTCCGTCGCCGAAACCGACCTTGAAAAAATCAACGTGTGAGAAGGCAATAGTCTCATCATGAGTGCCATGCATTACCATGATCCTCGACCTTCCGACTAAATCACCTATTTTGCCCAACTCTTCTGAACTGCGATGATGCCACCCAGCAGCGATAGCTTGCAATACGATTCCTTTCCTGCGTACCAAGCCATCGGATTCCTCTCTCTCTGCTAGATCTTCCGCCACGAATCGATCGTGGTTATTTGGGAATCTGTTGTTTGGATCCAGAGACCCGTTGTCCGGAGCCTCTAGAAAACTTTTGGAAAATATTCTGCGGGCTTTGTGATCAAGTTCCGAGTCCACTCCAGTGGGGAGGAACATCAAGATACGTTGTAACACGTGTGAATGAATCGGAGCTGTCCGTATCAGCCTCGGTGCGGTACCTATCAATATCAAGGACTGAACCCGTTGTGGTATGAGTAAAGCGAGCTCTTGCGCTATCATGCCACCTAGGCTGATGCCCGCAATATTTATGTCGTTCGGATAATGCGGAGAATCTGAGTCTAACCAGCCAATCTGTCTCAATAAGTCGAGAATATCTTTGGCCATTTCTGTGGTGTTGTATCTGCAGTTAGGAGTAGCTGTCTTGCCTACTCCACGGTTGTCGAAAACAAGGCAGCTGTAACGGTCACCATTCTCATGACCAAAATAACGAGTCTGGCGTTTCCATAGATTGCGTGTTCCTCCGAGGCCCATAATCCACACCACTTTCAAGGGTCCATGGCCATGAATCTCGTACCACAGAGGAAAGGGGCCCCCAGGCCTGGACTCTGCCACATTAACGAAGCCCGAACTATCCGGCTGGAGATTCCATTTGGTTGTCGCGTATGCGGGGTGCTGGGATATCTGTAATGCTGACAGATTGCTATGACGCTCAGACATTTTGGAGTGATTCTAAGAATTGTGAGGGCGGTTGAGTGTATGCGGCCTGCGTTTCCGAACCAGCCAGTAGTCATTCGGTTGAGGGTGGCCGTCTCCTGTTATGTTTATTTTGACGAAATAAAAGGAATTGACTTTAAGTAGACTTCTTCGGGCTCTTGACAGCTTGCTTCTTATGCCTGCACGGGGCACAGTCACATGAGCCGAGGTCGCAAACTCTTTGTAGCATGATTGTATCAATGCCCGCTTTCCAGATTTCTTTGTTAACCACACCGGTGCGTGATACAATTGGGCGACAAAACTATTTCAGTGTCAACTAATTTATGGTAGCAATTATCTACTGTCCCGGCTACTTGTCACTTCGTACGTAGCTTATTAGACAGAACCACGGAATGTCGTTATGGCTTTCGACAGCGCGTCAAGTTAAAAAGCTGCTAATTAATAGAATCGCGAAGCTGAATCTCTTGAATCGGCTTTCTGTATTTTGTTTCGTTGTTTTCAAAAACTACTAGGGGTATCAATTAGGTTGTTTAGTTTGTTCCTAATGTTTGGTAATGGGCCGTAACCTGGGAGTGCTCGGTTCCGGCCGGTAAGCCAGTTTAGTCTTCATTTACCGTGGCCATTTCTTTTTGGCTCGAACGACTAACTAACTTAAGTAATGCAAGCATTCTAACTTTCCATAAGATCGGCTTATAAGTTGGAGGTAGGGAGGTATTGAATTGCATTTGCTCAGGAGCTCTGCCTATTCGAGTCTTCAACTACCTTGAGATTAGGACTTAATTTCTTAGCATCATTCGGTTTGATAATCGTAAAGTCATACAAAGTTAAGATTCACAGTATTTTTACGTAGTTATCAAGTAAGTTATCTGCTAATTTGTGATGTGACTGTAGACTCCAATCTCCGTCAAGCTAGTCTGTAGCAGTAACAAGCTCCTCCAACCTTCACAGTTAAAGCAAAGCAACTAAAAGCAGGCGTCCAACAAAATGAATCCAAAATACATCAAGGCTGGCTAGTTAACCACAGCAAGAATGAAACCGTCAAGAATCGTTCGCCCTTCCAATTTCGTGTGGGCAGTCGATATCATCGGGACCAACGTAGCTTTGACCCTGTCGTCCTTGCCAACATGCGTCAGCAGAGACTTCTTGCCCTCCTCTGCCAGGCCACTGTCCAAAAGGGGCCAAATAACATTGTCAATGTAAATGCATCCCTTTGGCCTCGTCAACTTCACTGCCCAATCGAAGTATGTACCCTGCTCTCCCCAAGAAGCATCCACAAGGACCATGTCGAATTTGCGACCCTCCTCCGCCAGCTTAGGCAAGACATCCAGTGCATTCCCCAGGATGATTTCGACATCGAGACCAGCGACATTTTTTAGCGCAACATCGCGATGCTTGGGGTTGATCTCGATGCTGGTGACTTTGGCGCCCGTCTCTGCGAACCAAATGGTTGAATATCCCCCGAGCGTCCCAATCTCGAGGACTGTCTTGGCGCCAATAAGTTGACACTGGATGGCAAGGAAGTGGCCTTGGAGGGGAGACACAGTGATGGCGGGAAGTCCGTTCTGTTCGGAGCTGATGATTGCCTGATCGAGCTTCTGGTTAGGACGCAAGAGGCTCTTCTCGGCAAGTCTCTCGACTGCAGTCGCAGCAGCAACGGTAGCGTTCTCAGTGGATGACATTTTGGTAATATGCAGAAGGTCAAAATGGTATGATGGTAGTTTCAGTCGATCTTTCGTTTCTTAACCTGATTAACAGTGTCTCGTATTGGCACGTACTGAGCATGTTTATATAGACCATCATGCTGCACATGTCTTTGTCGGATTACGAGTTTCTCAAGTTATCATGAGGGGTTAAGCTCGGAAAACGAGGTGGGAAGTAGACGCTTTAACTTGGCTGCCTGAACTGTCTTAATGCTGTTTATTGTGCTAAACTCAATCATTGGCTAAGGCGGATGGGCAACTGTGTCGTCATCCCGAGAACTTAGTTCGGCACCGAAAAAGCCGTCCACGGCTGCTGAAGGTATTAAGCGAAGGTTACCATTTAGGAAAAGCAGGGGATGGATACTTTAGCTGAAGAGGGGAAAGAAGTTACTGTCAGCCCAAAAGTGTTCCCATGGAACTTGCCTGTAAAACACGTCTGGCTTAGGCCATCAGCGATGGAGGGGCCGAGACCGGGGAAAGTCCGACACCGATGCCGGGGCCGATGCCGAGGCCGACAATGCCATCTCGCTCCCTTTTGTTGAATTGGTGTAGTTATGGTCTACAATTGAGGCTTTATGAGGTATGATCCGCTCCTTCCTAAGCCTCTTTGTCGATCAAGGAATACTTCGAGCTGGAGTGCCAGGCGATGATGGTCCGAAGCAAATCAGACTCGACGGGAGTTATTCAGCTGATGTGTTATAGATTGATGACTTTATTGGTGTCTATCATACTGCAACGAAAGAAACCTCGTTACAAAAACAATTCTTTCTGCTTCAAGACTGCTCTTTGTTGTACCTAGAATATTGATAACCAATGGCGGCTTCGCAGCCACCCTCGCCATACCGCGAGGCATTTAAGCTGGTTGCTAAGAACCAGGAGAGACCGGCCTTAAGCTGTAAGTCCTACTGTCAAACCTGTAAATACCATAAACCCATTCGTATATATTAGAGACTAGTGCAGACCTTTGGTTCCCCCCTCGTGTAAGATACCTGAACCGACTGCAGCGGACGAAATAGACGTAATCAAACAGACAGATGGGTAAAGAAGATTTTCTTTGGTTCCTCTATATTGAGCCTGCTGGCACATAGCTCAAAAACTCTTAAACCTGCCCACCATAAGTAATTCGGTCTAGTACAATCCACTGCGTCCCCGCGGCTCAAGCCATCTTCACAGATGCCCTCAGTGACGAGCTTATCAACGCAACTCTTTCAGTGCCATCTTTCTATGAGATAACCAGCGCATCAAGGCTGCGAGAAATAGGACCATCAGACTCCCCACAGGCATGTATCTGGACGTCGGCGGAGCGCTTGAGGTGAGTCATTCTAAGAAATCTCTCTCATCCGGCTTCCCGTCAAAGAGCCTCTCGTTCGCGGAAGCACGGCAATATGTACTCAGCTCCTGATAATTCCGTATTAGACCTTGTCCGTAGGTCCCTACGCAATGTCTGGAACGAGTGAAAATGCAGAGGTTTGTTGTCTTTGGCTTCGTAGTTTGTGTCCCGTTTCCTCCGTTGCCTTGTCACATTCTAGTCTAGCACTTGGAGTTTGATGTCGACCATTGAACCTATTACAGACTATCCTCGTGCGCGACGCTCATTCTTCCTAACGTTCTCTACATCTACTCTTTAACCTTCCCTGGATTGTGATCTATGAAGACACGGCTTTGCAATAACTGTTTTGCTTCCTTACACCGACATGCCTACGCCGACGTAACACATATTTATGAACCTCATTGCACAAAGCATCCCGTAAGACGTAAAACACAGCTCTGGGCCAACCCTAGAAATTCTCTCACGGAAAGGCAAGTCCAATGCCACACCAATGCGCAATGCCGTAGGGCTCATAGCTGGTCAACAAAGGGGGGATAATCCCATCGCAAACCATCTCAACTCTCACAGCACACGAAAGCCCGTCACTAAAGCCATAAAATGAGGTGTCGAGAGCCGACAAATCCCAGGTACACCTACGCCGCACGCATCCCGGGGGAGCCAAGCAACGATACATACCTTGCAGTATCCACACCCTAGCCCAACGACTGCTTTTCCCAACGCGCATGCGCGGCGGGACCCGTAACTCAGCTGGTTAGAGTATTGTGCTTATATCATGTGATCTCACATCCGTATGCACCACAAAGGTCGAGAGTTCAATCCTCTCCGGGTCCATTTTTGCCTGTTCTTTTTTTTTTTTGTTATTCTTTTGCTGCTTTTCAAAGCCCCTTGACTTGCGACGACAGTCATAAAAATGCCACGTTTCGGGGATGTTGCAGTTGTGCGGGTTGGTATAGTGCATCCCACAGTGGAGAGAGTGCCACTAACGGACCCAACTGACTGCAATAACGAATGCCTCCAAGAAACGAATACCACGGGCCCCAAGGGAACTGTAACCGGGGGGTGTGGTAGGAAATATCATCAATATGACACGGGACTACTTAGTTTTACGGCGTCACAGTAGACGAGGGGGAGAAAAAAAAGTGAGCGGCAGAGGAGAATACGCGACTGATACATGCCAAACCTGCTCTACACAAAGGATTGTTGCTCTAAAAACAACGCTGCGAGAGGTGGTATGCCGAGCAGACGTGGTGGAGTGACAATTTCATCCTACGCTTCCATGTAATTCAACATCCTGTCGCGTAAAGACCTGAGAGTAGAGTAGACTCAAGCAAAACAAACAACCAACATGTCCCTGTCGAGCCCGTAAGGCATCATCACGATACAGACGGTGAGAGATACATAGCTGCTGTCTAAGATTGATATGAAACAATGCTCCCAGCTTTGTAACATTGCTTCTTGTATCAAGGTCCTCGAAAAACCAGCCGGATAAAGAAAACCTAACCACCGACCAGAACTCTTCGGTACAGGACGACCCAACAGACAGCACTTAAAAAGATTCAATGAAATTCGCATATGCTATTCCACCCAAGCCCTGTTTGCTCGTCGGCAGCGCTAATGAATATGCTACAATGATGACAAAAAAGAATAACACGGTGTGTAGTGTCGTACCTGACTTTCTGCACTTTTGCCTCCCGTTTTTTGGGTATTTCCTCAACCGACTATCGGCTTCTTCTTATCCATAACTCCCTTCAACACCTTCAACTTCTCCTCCGTCACCTTGATCGCCTCTTCAATGTCCCTCTCATCCATGCGGTCCTCTCTCAGCCTCTCCTCTACCGTGCTCGGCTCGATCGCCCTCTTGCGGGTAGGGATGCTAGACTCGTGCAATCGCTCCAGCCCAACTCGCTCTTCCAACCAGTCCCACAGCTCACTCTCCTCTCGTCTCCAAATCTCATCATATGCAGCGAGACGGTCGGGATAACCGTACATGCGCACGTTGCTCGATGATTGTCGCCCGGGAAGACCGAAACCAAACCACGTGGCAACAAGCAGGCCAACCAAGAGTCCATACATCATGTTGCCTGTCATCAGGGGCTTGAGAATATCGAGGATCGGCTCTAAAATACCGCGGACGGGTTCCAGAGGCCCCCAGTCCTTCTTGGGAACATTTTTAGGCCGAACTTGCTCATCCTCGACGTCAGTCGACGAGCCAGTGGCCTTGCCCTTCTTGCCCCTCCTCTTGCCCTTCACACCACCTCCGCCTGCACCATTGGTACGAGTCTTGGAGGAAACAGCCTGCTTCAAACTAGCAAATAGGTCTTTGCAGTATGCGGTTTGACCTTCGTTAGCACCCTTTTCAATGGGACCTGTCACAGCGTTAGTTGAATTCTTCCTTATGCACCTTGATTGATCCTTTGACGTACCTCTCAACCAACTCTTGCCCGTCCACTCAATTGTGCAATTGGTCTGGACTCGAGTCGAGTTGTTTTCCGCCCAAGACAGACAGTACTTGGTCTTGACGCTGAAGATGTTGCCGCTCGGAACGTCAGGTGTCTGGGTGACGACGTTGAAGTTGATGGCCTTCTCAAAGTCGAGATTCTCCAACGTTTCAGTAACAAGACATTTCGTCTGCTTCGGGCCGATAGCTCCGTTCAGAGGCTTGATATAACTGAAGAATCGCGACTTGTTTTCCAGGGTCAGGCCCTTCTTGTCTTCCATCTGCAGCTCGGTACATTTGCCCTCGACAGTGAGCCACTTGGACATCCATGTGACCGAGGCCGGGCCAAAAAGCAGGTTGTAGACCTTTCCTATCGGCGCCGGGATGACATCGTCTCCGACGACCTTTTCATAGTGCGTCGCCGAGTCTCCACAGTCCGTGGGTGCGTGGGTAGCTGGTCCTGGGAAGTCGTCTCCGCCGGCGGGTTGACCAACAGCGTCCTTGACTACCTCGGAAACGGCGCCGTTCGCTCCAGCGCCAGATACCTTCCGTGAGACGGTCTTCTCGGTTTCAGGCTCAGCGTTCATTTCTGTTGGCTGTGTTACTTCCTGGAGGTCCTCGTCGTCGTCGTCCTCGTCGTAAACGTCATCATCATCGCCTGAATCGCTTTCTTCCTCGGTGCCGGACAGGCTCTGGTCGTCTACTTCTGGGACCGCCGTGTCTACGTCAACTTTCTCCGTTTTGTCGCCACCTGTGCCCTCAAGTTGCACTCCATTCAAAGAGCTGCGGAGAGTTGGGTGTCCAAGTTTCCAAATATTGACAATTAGGTCATAAGTGGAGTCGCGACTGGTGAAACTGGCAAAGATGTGTTTCGCATGCAAGGTTGATATCATCAGGCCGTTCTTGAAAACGAGGGCCGTGCTCCGCTTCTCGACGCTCACGATCTCGTCAAAGCTCATGACGAGGGTCGTCGACCAGCCGAGGATGTTGCTGCTAAAGCAAAGGTGGCCTTCGGATACGTACAGCCGGCCGTGCGCCAGGATCTCACGCTGCAACGCACAGCTGTAGTCTTCTATAAGGTAATCATCGTCGGGCACGCTCTTGAACAATGCGTGGAAATCACGGTTGCGCTTCTTGCTCGCAACGGCGAATCCGGTGAGTTTCGGCACGCTCGCATTGGCTTGAGGATGAGCGACTGACGCGTTAGCCGCAGTGATTGCAGCGCCTACTGTGGTTGCCGTACCTCCAGAAACAGCGGAACTTCCCCGTTTGCGATGGCGTCCAATGGCGCTTCTAATACTTCCGCTTCGATGGATGCCGGAATTCTTGTCCTCGTTGATACTGCTCGTGGGAGGCGTGCGGTCGCCTCCACTTCCTGGGTCGTACAGCGACTGGGGTCTCGTAGCCTGCCGGTCGTCAGGTCCTAGGTCACGGGTAGCGGCTGCGTATGCGTTATCGGTGGGAGCTGATTCTGATCTGGTGCGCGAGTCGGAGGTATCGGGGAACTTGGCCGTGACGGGAGTTCCGGCGACGCTGCCTGTATCTGTTATACCGAGCTGGCTGAGGCTCAGCTCGCCAGAGCCAATGGTCTTGACTGCTGGTTCCTTCTCCATGGCTGATCCTGACAGGGACGGCAGGGGTGGTTCGACTTCGGGATGGTCCTGAATCCTGATGTCGGGTGGTTTTTGGATGTTCTTGTTCTTAGGGGGGTTTGGTCCAATGCCGGTGTTTTGAATGGTGCTGCTGAGCTGTGTTGCGGCGTTCTGCGCGGCAGAAAAGACGGATGAGAAGAAGCCACCTCCCGCGGCGGGGGTACCCGGGTTGCTGACGGTGCCGTTCTCGGGGGTGGGTGTCAAAGGAGCGTTGGTGATGTTGGAGAGCTTGCTAGGCCCGATACTGCCAGATCCTGACCTTCCCCTACGGTGAGCAATCATGTTACCCGGGGGAGAGCCACCATTCGCGTCGCCTGGGGCGGCTGCAGCTGCATCAACAGCGGGCTGCGGACCGGGCCCCGGCGAAGAGCGGGCAGAGGGGTTTTTGTGATCGGTCGGGGTGGGAGGGGTATTGACGATAACGGGCGTGCCCTTGTCGGCGTTGGGCGGGGTTTGAGGCACGATAGAGGTGTCGATTTTGGAAGTTGCCGTGGAGGCTCTCGAGCGACGTCGCTCAGGAGAATGGGAAGAGGTTACACGGGAGGATGCATTCGTGTTGGTTGTCGGATTGGGTTGTGGCGTCGACGCAGCTGACACCGGTGGCGGCGGGTCTTGGAAGTGAAGTGGCTTTGTGGTGGTCGAGATGAGGTCAGAGGTCGACGCTGCAGCTCTGCCTCGGTAAGGATTTTTGTGGTTGTCTCGGTCAAGATCGGTGTCGTCACCGGCCACACTTCGCTCCGGACTGGTGGTAGCGCTGGGAGTCTTTTTTGACTTGAAAACACCCCTAAGACGGCCGACGGGCGAGGGCGACCGCGTGGTGTTTTTCTTGGGTGGTACAAGACTGGTCAAGCTGCGCTTGGGACGCAGAGACGAATCTCCCGACTCAGCTGATTGCGTCCGTTGAGCTGGCTGTAAGGTGGATCGCGCCGAGGCGATCTCGGTGAGTTGTTCGTCCAGTATCTGAGGTTGGGGTTCAGGCAAGTGAGTTGCCTGAACGATCGGAGAGGAAGTTGTCAAATAACCTATTTGTGAGGGATGGGTCGAGATTGCATTTGGGCGGGAAGATCTAGAATTGGAAGAGAAAGGACAGAGTCAGTTTGGTTGGAGTCGCCGAGGGTTCGAGACTGTTAAGATGCGAAACGGAGGAGTCGGGGAAGACATGGACGACCCTGTGTTTCTCCCCCTCTCTCGCTTGAAATGGAACACTCGTCAGGAACATAAACGATGCTGAAGGGACCCCAGGCAGTGTCATACGGCGATTGCCGCAGAGTGGATGAAGGAGCCCAGACCCAGCAGAAAGGGCGCGGCGGTCAGCCCCAAAGACCCCGGACCACCAGTCAGACTGTCAAATGCCAGGATAGGTAGCCTACTGCGAGAATGGGAGACCGAGCTTTGGTTCGGGGGGGGTGGGTGGTGGGGTGAGTGCTGGCTACTTTGTGCATTTCCCCCCATAATCCCCCTAAACCATAGAAGGGGGTGTAAGAAAAGAGAAGATGGCACGCCGTTAGGTTTGTCCAGCAGGCTGGGACAGAGCATGACTGTCCGCCTCGTCATTTGATGGAGGCACCCAACGATGGCTTTTTACTAGTAGGAGATGCGCCACGCCATCCATAGACGTGGCCTTGCGAGGCAGATGATGATGCAGCGGCATCAGTGCGCTCGGATGCATGTGTACGGGACCGGTGCATATGAAGCCGACGGGGGAGGGGAATGGACACAAAGGTAAGATGAATGGATGATGAGGTAAGGGAGGTGGGAGGTAAGCAGGTGATGATGATATGCAAACAACAAGAGTGACACTTGTTTGTACTGGATTGCAGCTGCACCTAAAGAGCATATAACGATATTCAAAGGACAAAAAGAAAAGAAAAACAAGAGAAAAAAAAAAGGATAGAATAAAACTCACTTGTCATCAACCTCTTCCAGCGACACCATACTCGTGGCTTCAGTGCTCGCGTCGTCGAGGCCGCTGGGTTCGTAGTCTCGGATACTAGTGTCGTAGTCGTAGTCTGGGTAGGGAATGCCTGTCGAACTCTGTCTTGTGAGGCTGTCCGTGCCATCAACGTAGGAGCCGCTGTCGCGTCTACTGGACAGATGGCTGGAGGCTTTGTCGTGTTGGTCGTCTTCTGTTAGTGGTGCAGCTGGGGCTGTGACATCTTCTCCCTTGACGCCAATGAGCAAGGCTGCCGTCGCTGCTGCTGCGTCCTCTTCTCTGGCCTCTTGTTTCCTGCGGCGTCGCTTGGCTGCGATAGACTTTGGAAGTAATTTTCCCAGCGCTCCTCCACTTCCAGCCGTGGTGTCCATTGTGGTTGGCCCGGTTTTGCTGTCGTAACGCCGTACCCTTTACGAGGATATGCGGGTTCGTCAAGTGGGCAGGACCAGTCACGACAAATACGCGCGTTGGACCCGAGATGGGGGCATGAAGATCACGTTTCCGAGGGTTCAGGGGAAATAAGGAGATTAAGGTCGAAGAAGGTAGGGATTTGACGGGGTGGTTGGTATTGGCGGGAGGTCCGTCTTGTTTGCTGGATAATTCGCCGGGTTTGTCGTTTCGTTTGAGATGATACCCGTAAGTAGTAATGTTGCTATGCTCGTAATATCAAGGTGGAGAAGATGAAAAGAGTAAAAAAATGACTTTTGCAAGTACCGATGCAGTCAGTCACCAAAAGTAGTGGTAGTAGTAGTGATAGTAGTAGTAACAGGTAAAGAACTTGTTTTTTTTCCTGTCAGGCACAAAACACGATACAGCTTGTCCTACGAACTTGATTTACGGATCTCGGGTCCCTAAAAAAGGGAGTCTTAGGGGGGGCAATTGCTCCAAGGTAGTTCCAAGGCAAGGCAAGGCAATGACCCAGACGAATCCAGTCCCACCTTTTGCTCGCTTGGAAGCTCAAGCTTGACCAACCCAAGCCGGAGTTTTGTCTGCTCCCCATAATCGTCATCGTCACTTGAGGCAAATAGCTTGTATGGGCTGGGCCGGCAGGTTGAGGGCTGGCACCTGGCTGGGGGGTAGGGGGGAGTGAACGGCCACTACGGGAGAATCCTCTTGGCCCAAAATGGGAGGAGGAACGCACCAGTTTACCAGTGAGAGAAAGGGAGACGGTGGGAGAAGGTACTTGTTTGCGTTAGTGGGTCCTTTGCGACTGATACTACGTATGTAAGGGCGGAATAATCAATATTCGGGAGTTGCTCTGCCCTGCCACAATGCCGTTGCACCCGATGGAACAATCACAATCTAGAAGGATGCAAACATATTCCCCAGCGTGCTCAGTGGTGGTTTTCGTTTCGTTGGAGCCTCGCTGGCTTTCCATTATTACGAGCGCCCTAGCCTCTTGAAGATTTTGGGTATCTGGGGGCCCATCGACCACGCCAAATGCTATGGGTCTTTGTCTGACTGTCCATGTCAGGTGGCTTTAATTACTATCTGCCTATCCAGTACCCCAGGTCTAAACTGCTATTTTTGTTTGATAACTTCTTTCGCTTACGTAGATCAGGACGCCTATTGCCGCGCTGGCCCCTTTTACCCAAGTAGCAAATTCGGTTTGGCAATCCTTTCCATAACTAAGATATTCGAATCTTCCGAGTAGTAGCTCCCCCCTTAACGAGATCATGTACCTCCCCTTGTCTTTCCTTGGATGGCCATCCCCCACCTCCTCACCTTTTTTGCCAGGCAGCTGGCTTCCTCCGCTCCCTGCCATTCGAGGGAACTCAACCCACACACTGCAGCTTAGCTGCAAGGCGCTTGTTGATTGAGCTAGCTAGGCACCCAAGTACTCCTTAGCAAACACACACCAAATCTAGCCTTCAGGGCCGACCATGCACTTATCTCACGGCTGCCTCGGGAGGCCGCTGCACAGCGGTCATCCCACCTCGCCACGTTATCCTTTCTGACAATGTATCAAATTTTGTATGTGTGGCAGGCGGGCAGGCGGGGGGATCTCAAGTATGATTTCGATGGCTGGCCCGATCGAGGTCTGCTGTGGCTGGTGGATTACCTCTTTAGTCCAGCTAGTCCGTACCCGCGGAGGAATCCAGACCACAGAACGAACCTACTACGTCAGGGGGTGCTGGGAGCTGCATTCCTCGCCTCTGTGTCTTTGGCCAAGCGACCCTCCCGGAGCTCGTATGATAGGTCAGTTCCAGCAGCGACAAGACAAATAAGACGCCGCGCCGCTGGGCATTGGACAATGCTTGATTGAATCTCTGGGTCCTCTGTCGCCCGACCACGACCAAGTTAATCCCGCGCGGTATGCATCTTCCGTCATTCTGTTGGCTTTCCCGGTGACGATGACTTAAACACTGCCGTTTGCCATCGCCGTTTTCCATTTGTCTCGGCAACTGGTGACACACGACATCCAGGGTACCGCTACCGAACTTCTCGGGGCATCAATCAATTAACGAACCAGCGCTACCCACCGCATGACAAAATTACCAGCATCTGCCTGGGCGTTGCGGAGGCGTCGGTTCGCTGAAGGGATCATGCTGACTGCCCCCTCATTCCGGGTAACAGATGACATGCCTTTTTTTCCCACGCCTACCAAAGTATCAATTATACACCAAAAGTCTAGAAGCCTGTCATTTTACCATCTACTGTGATTCAATAACTTGATTCAGCCTTTTTGGCATAGAATCGATCCATCTATCAATCGTTTCCGGCTTTATAGTCTGCCACACAGCCTCTGTAAGCTGTTTAAGGGTTTCATAGTCCCAATCGGGTGTGTTACGAACCCAATGCTTAGGTATAGACCATGCGTTCTCGATAGGCGATAGCTCTGGGTTTCGAGGGCAATCAAAGAAGTAATCTAAACCGTTTGTATCCTTCCAGGTCCTCGCTTTAATAGGTAGGCCAGGGCCATGGCCAGACTCATCGTCTTCCTCAAGCACAAAGTACTGGCCTTCTGCCTCTGCCTCTTGAAGCCGCTGCTTAACGTGAGGCTCTAGAATAGCCTCGATAGCGACCTTTTGGTTCATCTTCCCATTCTGGTTGGTAGGCACCTCATACCAGACAAGAGAGCTCTTGAATCCATAGCCAATAGCAGCCCAGCAGTATATAGCCTTTCGTTCGCTCTCATCTGGTTCCTGGCGTTCCTCGAGGTTGGAGGGGTCGCTGCATGTATTAGGCGTCCTCGCAATATGCGATGGGCGCTCGTCAGCAAAGCCAAAGTGGCACTCGTCAGAGAAAACAACATCATGCCAGTCAGAGGCTAAAGGTCGTGCTCGAAGGGCACTTTCGGTGTGCTGTAGACCCCTTGTAGCGGTCTCTTCATCGATATGGGCAACTTGCTTAGCAATTCGCTTAGCCCTCCCTCTTGTATGGCATGCCTTCTGGGTATCTCGGTTTGCAGGCATAGCCTCCCTTGGTAATCGCTTTGCTTCAAAGCCCTCGGTATCAACCAATTCCTCACTTGAACTAAGAGCTTCGTTACTGGAGAGCTTTTTGCGGCCACGAGTCTCTGGAAAAGTTGGGTTGTTATGGCGCCGACGGTCGGCTGTAGCGTCTGAGATATCCTCAGCAAGAAGTCGACGCCCAATCCTCTCGGACACGCCAAAATGGCTGAAAAGCTCTTTTTTCTTGTACTTGAGGCCTTTCGCTTCGAGGAATTCATAGGCACCTCGTAAACGGGCCTTTCTGGGCGTATCGTAATGTGCTGGCATAGTAATGGTATGGTAGTGGTGGTGGTGCTGGATTTGGGAGATTGGGGTGTGCCTGCCCCTCAGTCTCCAAAAGTGATCCGCCCCGTAGGCGTCAGATCAACCTCTTAGTTGAGGCTACATCATCCCTATGTCACCACAAATAATTGACTCTCAGCGTGCAGGTGACGTGGGTTGGGTGAGCACAAACACTACGTAGTGAGGTACCCAAAGCGACCGTTCCAGGCCCTTTTCTTTCAGCCATGTACCGCACTGCCGGAGACTGCAGAAAAATTCCAAAATCATTCTTCCAAAACTCTAGATTTCTCTTTAAGCGAGGAGATAAGTACTGGAGAGCTTGACAGATTGATAATTCAATATATTTACCTCTGTAATAAACGTAGACTTTGGACAAGAGAGCGAGCATTACAAGCAAGCATTATAGGCAGGTAGAGGCCGTTTTCTGCGGCCTCCAACGAAGTCATACAAGTATCCGCCTCCATGGCATTCTCTCTTTTCCAGCTCGTATTAGCGAACTAGGTAAGTACTGGAAATGAATTTCGTAATCCAAATAGATGTTTATTGCTGTTGTAGAGGGCGAGGATATGCACACCATTGACATAAGTGCGCATGAACTTGACCCGCATGCAAAATGCAGCGGTTCACCAACTGAGCCTCAAGTGGACGAAGATAGTTCGACTTGCTTTATGTTTTCTTTTCTCTCTGGTAAAAATCAGATACGACATTCTTCCGCTGGGCATGAGATAGGTCAAGTGTGGTATGAGAAATGAGCGCGAATTTGAGCATGTTAAGGAAGGTATGGCAATGTCATGGAAAATGTCGCTCTTTCTCAAGCCCTAGAAACTGAGTTAACACAATCCCTGTGTGTAATTCAAAAAATTTCATCAGACATCATTCCATCTCGAGGCAACATCTCATTCAAATCTCCTCACCGCACTCTTGCAAAGGGTTGGGCTGGAGACTCAGTAAGCACATCGAATGTTCTTCAACATGAGGCTTCTGATATGAAGGCATTGCAACGCTTCTATCTATCCCTGCAAGTTGACCGCCAACTCAGCTCCCAGAGAACTCGCGATTTACATGGCATACACATCTACTCACTTATTCGCCAGAGCGCCCATAACGAGAACCTTGACTCGTTGTCTCTATGGCCCTGTGATTCTATAAATATCAAGCTGTTGTCGAGGGTCTAAGGCAGCGTACCATTCCTTTTTTACTGTATCTGCAAATTAATAGGCTGAAAAGATCATCATAATCGCAATCACGCGCGTATGGCCTTTCCACAATGCCCATTGCCCTTGGCGTCACGGATGTTAGGCTGAAGGCACGATGGGCCTTCCTAAATGCCCAATATGGGCGGACCATAGCAAGCCCGCCCAGTACAGCAGCATGAAAAGAGTCACAATAACAAAGCTGGTTCGCGATGACTTAACATCGTTCAAGATTAAACTTCTTGGCCTCTTCAATCATCCTGGAATGATCTCATCTTTCTAGTTGTGATGGCACTATCGAGTATACTCCGGGTCACAAAATTCCATCCGCGCCGCTTAAACACTGACTCCAACTGTACTTTGAAGTACTAAAAGTCGTGTATAACCTCATGCAAGAGATGCACCTCTCTCTGTTGCGATTATCCATGGATAATTCTATATTTCTTTTTTGACGGTTCTAGCAGACGGTCCGAAAACTGCCTGTTTCCTTTGCTGGTTCTGTGTCCGTTTTGCGCCTACTAAATCAGCTGCCTAAAACCAGACCATTGAAGTTGGGAAACGGCTAGATCTGGGGGTTATTAGTTATCCGAGCTTATATTCTATAGCACCTAGAGACAACAAATACTTCTCTGTTCGGGTTGATCTCTAGTCTGCTTCATCAAGTCCGCAACCATAATGTTCTTCCCGAGGGAAAAGACTCGACAAAGGGGTGTCTCTATGGGCTCACCCGCCTTCATATGGGTAGCCGGTGACTGAAGGGGGTTAACTGAGTAACATTGCCATGTTAAATCCTGCCAGTACGTAGGAATATGCCCAGTTGTCGTGACTGGAGAAATGAGTCTGCGACACAGCATCTTCAGGGCGTTTGGAAACTAAACAAATTTGATTCGGTGCCAGAACAACATGAACTCCAAGAAACTGCAACTAATATCAGTTGTCATCGAATTAAGTATCCCTCTCCATCTTGGCCTCAACGTCAACGATTGTGGCTTGACTTAGGAATCGAATAGACAAAGACCTCAGGTACAAGGGCGTTCATATTAATTTGTGACATAATGATTGGGTATATGTTGTGGTGAGCATTCTTTAAAGTCTATATACCGGGCTATAGTAAATTTGATTACAGTAGGTATTTTACACCATTAATATGTCACTAGGAATGCTCCCGTCTCTACCCCTGCGTCGAGGACTGATGCCCGACATGTTCTTCCCTTCTAATGTCTCAAACTTCTGCTACCACACTTTGGCTTTTCATTTGCAATGATCTCAGCAGCCTGCTCGGCGAGGGCGAAAGTAGCCACTTGAAGATGTGCAGAGATCACGACTGGGAAAACCGAAGCATCAACGACCCGCAGTCCTTGAGCTCCTTTAACCTTGAGGTCAGTATCCACGACCTTGCCCATTGCGACTGATCCCATGGGATGATGGACAGACCTGAAACCAAATTAGCAAATATCTTGGACACATCGCTGAAGTCTACGTACCGAACAGCAGCGCGAATTCGTGCATCAATGTACTCATCAGTTGAGTTGACGCTGTATGGCTCGTCGAATCCTGCCGGGACAGCCTCGCCGTTAAGAACCTCTCGGCCCAGCACGGTGGCGTCACTGCCGGCAAAAGCAATTTCTTGACGGATACCCTCCCGGACGATGTAGCGGTCGACCGCAGTGCCGAGGTAGTTTGGATCAATGAGAGGAGAGTCGGTGATGTTTGCCGAAGCAAGCTTGATGGAGCCACGGGAGCTTGGCAAGATGAAGATGCCAGAAATTGAAAGCTTAGACCCATCGGTCGAGCCAGAGTAGAGGAAGAAGTGTTCAAAGAATGTACGCTCCTGCTTGAGAAGGGGGTGATCGGGACCTGGAGTAACACCCTCATCCTCTTCGATGGCCTTGGCGAGGCCCTCTTTGGGTACGCTGGAGCAGACAATGAAGTCTGTTGCAGTTCCCCATCTGTACTGTTCAGCAGTGGGGAAGGCCGGAGAGCCAACAGCCCAACCTTCTTCGGGGTTCTTTACATTCCAGGATGAAGGAGAAAGGAAGTGGTCAGCGTAATTCTTTCCAACCTCGGGCGCATCCAGCTTGACATCGATTCCGAGGGCCTCGAGCTCATCACGAGGGCCAATACCTACAGGCTGGTCAGAAAGCGAAGTTCTTCTTGATAGGATATTTACAACAGTCAGCCGTCACTTACCAGAAAGCATCAGAAGCTGCGGTGTGTGGACAGCACCAGCAGACAGGATAGTCTGGCGGCCCAGCAACTGAGTTCCGTTGGCCAGCTGAATGCCTGTCGCCGTCAACCCTCTGGTAGAATTCGAGAACAGGACCTTGGCCACTACGGTCTCCGTCAAAACAGTCACATTTTCCAATGAGTAAACGGCAGCTGCAATTTGTCGCCGTCCATTGATCTTGTTTTCGGTGTACTCGGCAACGCCAATTGGGTTTCCAGCGTTTCCGTCAAGCTGCGAGATGGGCTCGATGCCAATCTCTTGCCAAGACTGAAGGACCTTCTCGCGCAATGGAAAAGGACGGTTAGTAGACGTGATAGACTGGATATTGACAGGGCCCTCGTAGCCATGCTGGTCGGGGTTGATGGTTGTGTTCCAGTAGTTTTCAGTCTTCTTCATATAGGGCAAAAGACCGTCATAACTCCAGCGATCGTCGCCGACAGTTTCACCCCAGAGGTCATAGTCGACTTTGTCGCCTCGGGTCCACAATCCTTTATCACGGCTCAGCATTGTGTCACTTGGAAAGCGGCTTTGGGTGAGACAGCGTACCCATATTAATCACAGTACCGCCTCCCAGAGCTTTACCCTGAGCGAGGGTAACGGATCGATTGTCGACATGTGCCTGGGGAACTGAAGCAAGCTTCCAGTCAAAATCCCCGCCAATGGTGTTTGTTGAATTTGGCCACACAATATCTTGGCGTTCGTTGGCGTTGACACCGGCCTCGACCACGAGAATCTTGAGCTCTGGGCGGTACTCTGCAAGCCGGTTGGAGATAACCGAGCCAGCGAGCCCGCCTCCGACGACGATTATGTCCCAGATCATCTCGGTGGAAGTTGAAGATTGACAGCGGATAGGTCGGATGGGTTCCAAGATGGGCATGCTGAAGGAGAATCTGCAGAGGCGAGGATAAAAATGATCATCTTATGTTGCTTAGCGTGTATGAGGGCTTTAGAGTGGATGGGAGGTCCCGTCTGGGGTTCTGATCCCACGTGCAGTCATTATTCCGGAATACAGCAAAACTCCGCTCCGCGAACCACGCAGGGACGCGCGGGTGGTGGGATGATACCCCTGGCGTTTATCAGCTATCAAGGCGGAGAAAGTGACCCAGCGTTGCATTATCGACGGAATACAGGCTCATGAGCATCCAGATACAGGGTCACGCCGGGTTCGGCCCGTAAGGCGTTGGACGGGTAGCTCCAGCTTTGAAGGACACCACGGATAACAGAAGCGCAATCGAGGCTAATCTTGGTGCCAAGCAAGGGTATGGATAGCGTTCGGTTGTAGCATAGGGAATCTAGGTACAAATTATCCCCGTTTACATAGTACATAAAACCTTTGAACCGGCAAAGGCTGCATTGTTGTCCGGTAACCGAACCAGATGTGAGACCAAGATATCTGCAAAGCTCACTGGCAATCTCTGCAGATAACAGAAAGTCATTCGTTAAATCGCTCCGTCAAATAGCACACATGCGCGTTATCCTCCGTAGGATCCACTTGGGATCCCATGAGCTGCAATTTCCGTGATCAAAAGATCCAAAGTTCGACCAGGTCCCTGGTCCAAACACTGGAGCGAATCTGTGTTTCCGGTGTTCCATATTAAGTCGCCACTTGGTCTTGAGCCTTCTTTTGTCGTGATTGGCTCGCATACTTCAAAGCCTGTTCTTTCTGTTGGTTGCAGACAGGCCTGTTGGTTCTAACGTTGAAGATCCTCTTAAACCGGAGAGAGCCCTGTTAGCGGCCTCCGGTTTTTCCTGAGACTCAACCTATTAAACCATCATACTGACAATATCGATGGGTATATGGGCAGGTCTTTGAAGATTTGAACTCTTAGGGACTTTGGTATTGCGAACTGTTGGATGCTTTTGGTCCCTGTTACCGAGCCCAAAGGATTTATTCTGCAGGCGTATTTCCGGGCTCGTGGTATGGCACCACCTCGCGCTAATCGGCATATCGACCAGTTTTCCAAGAACAAGCGGTGGTGCATAATTTATCAGGTATTATTGTTTGAAGAATGTTTCGCTTTTCAATCCATATGGTAGACATAGGAGGTTGGCATTGAAGCAAATTAGCACCAAGTTGTTATTGACCAATAAAACCGAAGACGGATACCTTATCCAAAAAAAGAAGTTTTCCATGACCATCCAACCATAGCATAAATACCTTTGGGCTCAATTTTGCGGCTGTTTGATTACTTTTACTGATCGAATGAAGAATAATACGGGCTGCAGCCATCCCATGCTCGCGGCACTTCTGCATATGCTACCTGCTGCGTCGATGCCTTGCAGCCAAAGTCCCTTCCGACATCTGATCAATCCCTGCAGTCGATTCAACAGCCGCGTGGGATGAAGGAGAAGAAAGGTGCATAAGAGACGAGAGTCCGCTTCTGGATAGCGTTCGCCTTTGACTTCGTCCCGGAGGGCTTCATTCGTCGATCGTCTGTAGCCACAATGGCAGAAGGACATTTCCTCATTCGAGATGTAGCGACGACGACGCCGACTGTGATTACAGCGGACCATCCGCCGATTTCTTCTGCCGGGGCCGCCCTGATTGCAGTTGATATAGTTATGCTGCTTCTAGCTACGAGTGTGAGTGATCCCAACCCCTTACTTACCAATCCCGTCGGCATCTAATCCTAAAGAGCAGTGGACCGGAATGAGAATCTGGGTTCGCAGATACAAGCACCTTTCAATGTTCATGATTGAAGACATCCTCTGCTATCTCTCCTTAGTATGTCATAGAAGATATATCTCTAGCATGTTTTGGGCTGCAATCTGACCTCGCTGGCTCGTATAGATGTGTTATTGCGGCGCAGTCACCGGTCACATCATCTGTAAGCCCTCAAATTTGATAAATCCCTACGACTATAGGGATTGTTTGTTGACCAGGTGATTTCCAGCCGTCGTCGGCGGTGGCGTCGGCCACCACATCAAAACTCTGTCCAACTTCCACGTCGAACGTTATTCAAAGCTTTCCTTCTTCGCACAAATAATCTACGGTCCAGTTGTTGGGTTGGTCAAGCTCAGCATCATCTTCATGCTCCGACGTGTATTCTTCACGAAACGGTTTCGCATCGCATGCTACGTGGTTATGGGTGTTGCCGTGGCATGGATGACCATGCCTATTCTCGTGGCACTTCTCGTTTGCCGGCCCTTGGAGTTTAACTGGAACAGACAATTACCACATGGCCAATGTGGAAACAAAACGTTGGCGTACGCCCTGGTCGGCGTCGTGGACCTGATATCTGATGCCCTGATTCTGGCACTGCCGATGCGTATGGTTTATCAGCTGAGGGTATCACGGCCACACAAGATCGCGCTAGCTGGTATATTCGGACTGGGAACAATGTGCGTTAACTATCAGATCAATCTACCAACTGCACAATGGAAGACTAACCAGAGCACTTTTCATAGAACCATGGTTTTTACCGCGATTCGGCTTTACTACGTTTACAACCTCGATGTCACTGATATTACCTACACGACAGTCGTTCCGAGCATCATCGGTAGCGTACAAATGGGAGTGGCCATTATGGTCGCCTCAAGTCCCCTTCTGAGACCGTTATTTGACCGTGCATTCGGCAACTTGTTCGGTCTGTCTTTGCGGAGCATTGGCCGAACGTCAGAAAGAACCCCTGCCAGCAAGCCAACATCAGGGAAAGAGCTTGTAACTTTCGGAAGGTTAGGGGTGAAACAGGAATTTCAAAAAATGAATGACAGTGAGGAGCATTTGAGAGGGGAGCAAGCGGGAGCTAAATAGAGCAAGCAAACACAATTCAAGTAACAAGACAGCCAAAGTTTTTCGACCATTACCAAGTGAGGTGACTGCTTCATCATAGAGAACCCAAGTCCTGGTGAAGGTAGGGATGAATTAAGGGCTGTAATAAGAGTAGTGATAGTTTACAGGGGGGAAGTATAAACTGCGTATATCGTTTTGAAGATGCACAAGGCTTTAAGACGCTCAAATAGGCAAGCGAGTCGGAGACGTGGGTACCAAAAGACAAATACAACAGGAAAGCGAAGCCAGCTGAAGATTCCATCGACTGAATGAAATAAATTCTCCCATAGATCGAAACTAGTCAAACAAAACACAAAGGAACAAACTTCTTTCAATCAATAAAGAGAGCAAAGAGTTATGCCAGCCTGCAAGTCCAGTTCCTTTTCATCAAAGAATCTAGTTACACTTGAAGCGATCATGTTTTCCGCAAAGTCTCTCTTTTGGTTCTACCTATTTTAGACGCGAGGCAACTTCAAATTGTGGGCGAAACCAGCACAGAACGCTCAGAATGGGAAAAGTGGTGTTGTTGGTTGAAGAACTAACTAACTGGCTAGAGGGCTGTGGAGGCTGGCTAAGACCAGTGGTGGCGGCCGTCAGCCCACGTGACGGGCCGGCGAGGCCTGCCACCCACACCCCCTCTCAGACTCCTCAGCGAAAAAGCAGTAGAATAATAGGAAATACAGGAAAAGTCCCAAATCCTCCAAATCCGAGGAGTTCTCAACTATTAGAAAACTCGGTCAATTATCGGTTAAACCTGGCCAATAGGAGGCCGTGAAATCCTCCGAATCCCGAAGTCTCAATATCAATAGTCCCACAGTCTCAAAATCCCCCTCTCAATCCAATCCCTCCGCCATGCCCAACAAACGAACGAATTCCTTGTGTTTGACCGCAACCAGTGGCTTCGTGAGTCCATCGGCGGCCATATCAGCGCCCTTGATGAGTCGGAGTTCGATGCTTTTCGCAGTGTGAACCTCCTGTATGATCCATTTGTATCGGACGTCGATGTGGCGGGTTCGTGCCTCGTTGAGTGGGTTCATGACGTTGTCGTAGCCGTTGGCACTGTCAGTGAACATGATAGTAGGCGTGGTGATGGGTTTGCCGAGCAGTTGGGAGAGGCAACGTCTGATCCACTTCACAGCAATTGCCGTAGGTGTGAGATTGATGAATTCAGCCTCCGTGGTGCTCAAAGTCACGAAAGTCTGTTTCTTTGACTTCCAAGCAATCGGCGCACCAGCGAGGAAGACGACGTAACCACCTGTCGAGACTCGTGATGGCTTGTTGTCAGCGAAAGAGGCATCTGCAGCAGCGTAGAGCCCCAACTCGTTGATCGTGGGGATGCCTCCAAGTACAATACCGAGATAAACGGTGCCCTTGAGGTATCGGAATAAGTGCTTAATAGCACGAAGATGGGCCTTAGAAGGCCCTGAATTCGCCTGTGACAATTTACTGACGGTGTAGGCCATGTCAACGCGAGTTCCAGCCACCAGGAAGTTAAGGCAGCCGGTTTGTTCGATGTAAAGTTGTTGTTCGTCAAGCGAGCACTCGTTCTTGTCCCAGGTGACGGGCAGATCGTCAGTGGTCGCCATAGGCGTCTTGACAGCACTCAAACCATCAAAGTCGAATCGTTGAAGCACTGCTTTTGCGTACTTGGCTTGGGAAACGAAAATCTTACCGGCAGCTCTGTCGCGTTCAATCTGGAAACCGAGAAAATCGGTAGCCTCGCCGAGGTCTTTAAGAGAACAGACCTTCTCGAGGAGACGACGAACTTCCATCATGACTTGCTTGTTGGGAGCGGCGATGGCGTTGTCGTCGACGTACATAAGAACGTACGCTTTAATCTTGTGATTGACGAAGAGACAAACCTCCCCATCAACAGCAGTGAAGCCAATTCGTTCCATTTCACCCTTGATAAGTCGAAACCACCAAAGTGGTGATTTTCTCAATCCATAGAGTGCCTTGTGGAGCAGCCAAACCTTGTTGTCTGCAGTGGCGTAGCCAGCGGGGGGCCGGACGTACACCTTAACCCCCTCTGGAATCGAGGCGGCTAGGAAAGCAGTGTCGAAATCATATACTTCGTATTCAAGATCGAGAAGTGCGACAACTGCGAAGAAAAGGCGGGTTGCGGTGGCAGAGGCAACTGCAGCGTAAACCTCTTGCGATGACCAGTCACCTTTCTCGTGGTTTCCACAAACCACATATCGGGCCTTGTAGCGCACGATTTCGTTGTTTTTGTTGGTTTTGATGTCACATACCCACTTGCCGGGCAGGACTTTAGCGTCACGTGGTGGGTAAACGACTTCGTAAGCCCCCTTTTCCGTGAATTGAGTCATCTCTCGTTCGAAGGCTTGTTCCCACTGGGGCCACTGTGGGCTCTTCTGCGCCTCACGGTAGGACTTCGGGATCACCACGCCGTCGGGTAGGACTTTCGAAAGGGCAGTAGCAGAAAGCACGCTGAGAGAGAATTGACGAGAAGTTAGTGAAGCTGGAATGTCAGCAGATAGAAAAGTCTTTTTAGCATAGGAGCGTACGCCACTGGCGGCTCGGTAGTGACCAGGTGGTCGCTGGGCTGAGGCGCGGCGAGGTCGAGAGGACTCTGCCGGTTGACTCGTTGCTTCCTCAACAATCGTGGAGAGGGAATCAGGGTCCTGGTGATCAGTTTCCATTGTTTCCACGGAAGCGACGAATTCGTCATCATTCAATTCGTTAGTAATGCTGTCACGAGGTGTAGCAGTGGTCTCCAACAGGTTCTCTGGTGGCGGAGACATGAGATGTGTATCAGTGGGTGCCATCGCTTTTTCAACGATGGTCTCATCTGGTTTGGGATCACCAGTCACGGGTTTTTCACCTTCAATAGGCTTCTGACGGATGGTGTACTGGATGATGATATCTGGTTCGACAAACGCAGCATCATGTTCAATTTCATCAATGTTGGGTGTGCCAGTAGTTGGAGGCAACACTGTCTTGTGCGGTTCCTCACGAAATCGAACATCTCTGCAGCGAATAACCTCCTTTCGATCAGGCAGGTAAACGTAGTAAATGTGGCCACGAAGAGAACCGTAACCGACGAGGAATCCCTTGATTGCTCGTGGTTCCATCTTGGCAGAGCGCATAGGGCGTCGAGGGCCCTTCTTGTGTACGTAGGCAGCACAGCCAAACGTTCGGAGATGTTCAATGTGGGGGGCCTCACGTTCAGCAGCCAAGTTCAGCTCTCTCGCCATGATCTCGTGAGGGCTCAAGTTACCCTTGGAGGGTGTGGGCAAGAGGTTGAGAATCTGAGTCACCGAATCGATGCTGTAATCCCACAGTTCCTCTGGAAGGGACATGTCAATCAGCTGTGTCCGGGCGCCTTCGACGATGGTACGACCAGCACGCTCAATAGTACCGTTCATGGAAGGCGTGTAGGCAATAGTCGTGTTGTGGCGAGTACCCTCGAAGTAGGGGTCGTTGAAAACCTTGATTAGCTCGGGAGCATTGTCAGAAACCCAAACCTTGGGCTTGAGGCCGGTGAGACTGTAGAATTCAGTATCCCATTTCTTGATAGCTGCCAGGATGGTGGCAAACTTGTGGTTGGGCAGAAAAACAACCCAGTGGTAACCACTATACTTATCCATGAGGTGTAGAACCTGACGGTTCCCTTTTGTTGATAGGGGAAGAACACCAACGAGATCAAGGTGAATTTCATCGCCAATACTCGTAAGTGGAAGTGGGTGGTCTCGACTAATCCGTTCAGTGGATTTGCTGAGATGGCAAGACTCACAGAAGAAAGCGTCAATTTCTGACGTTGTGAACCGAATGCCAACACGGCGGCAAGCCTCCACAACACGTGATGGGTGGGCGTGAACCAGCCGGCGGTGCATCAGTTCAAGAGACGGTCGCTGGGTAGCCCGGAAGGCGGCGAGGCTGACAGCAATATCTCGAGGCACGTGATTTCCAGTATCATGAGTCTCAACGACGCAGACGTCAGAAACCCAATGAACTTTGGCAAGGGAAGTGCGCTGTGTCACGTGTATGAGGCTTGAGGTCTGCCAATCATATTCCACGTGATCACGACGAAGTTTTCCAGGGCTCAGTAAGTTGGCTGGGCTGGAAGGGTTGTACTCAACGTTGTGAAGTGTCCAATCGTGAATAACGTCAGGGTTGGTGGGGTCTTGGGTCTGGAAGAAGACGGTGCCCACGCCAAGTGACCGGACTGGGGCGCCGGAGGCAGAAGTGGAAGGTGTCAAATCGCTCTTTTCAGCGTACTTGACGAAATATCGCAAGTTGTTGAAGGTTGAAGTAGTACAACCAGAATCGAGAACGATATCGTCTCGGGTGATGAGGTCATCGCGGGCAGCAGTGAAAACTGCTGGGCTGGCGATGGAGGCAAGGGCAGACTGACCCAAGATGGCAGGTGACGCTCTGACAACAGTCTGGCGGGTGCCATCAACAGAAGTAGGCTGATCCCAGCGGCAGCGATCGCCACACACGTGCTTTCTCGCTTTTTCAATCAACTTATCCCGGTTGACGTAGTGTAGAGGGATGAGATTGGGGTGGGCGACATAGCACTTTGTGGTCTCGTGATCACAGTTGCAGTGGTCGCACTTCTTCTTTTCCTTGGAGGCAGTGACAGTGGAGGTGACGGTGGTGGTGACGGCTGGAGAGGCAGGACCCCCACTGCCAGCAGACTTGCCTCCAGGTGTGTTGCGAATAGTGGCATAACTGCGCTTTTGATCCTCGTCTTGGGCAAGCGTGTAAATCGTATCAGCCACCTCATTCCACGTGGGATGGGTGGCGCCCTTCGATGTGAAATGCTTGTACGTATCGGGAAGTCGGTCCTTAAAGAAGTTAAGGAGGAAAACAGCGAGGAAGGAGTCTGGCAGACGACCGTGAATGGTCTCAATACGCTTTCTGAGGTGGTGACAGCGATTGAGGGCATCGTGAAGAGTCTTGTGATCGTTGGCGGTGGTCTTGGCAAACTCGTCAACAAGGGCAGCTGTGGCGTC